GTCATTTTGGCAGTATTTTAGGGTAGGGTTGACTGTTTTCTTGAAGCCGTAAATTGTAGATAGTAATGAAAACTATTGATTTAGATGGTGGTGCTGTTGCTGACTTGCAAATGCGCAGCAGCCAGCCGATTTATCGTCAATGAGTGGAGGCTGGTATTATCCCCAGGACTCTTTGTGAAGCATTCGCAGTGTTTCTCAAAACAGGAAAAAGGAATTGGTGCGTTTGGGAGTCTACTGTGTGCGCACTTGACCCAAAATGATGGTCCTTTCTGCCGCACCATGTTTTGGCTCAGAAGAGTAACGAATCTCATTGATAAGCGCCACTACAAGAGTGGGATGTCATCGGGATCGCAGATGTGGGGATTGAGTCACCGGACAGTAGTGGAGATATCTGGCGTAGGGCTGCTGCGCCTTTTGGGTGTTCAGTCGAGCTTCGAGGAGTCTTTCGTTGATTCGTAGGGCCCTCAACCTTGGTAAACAGATTAGCAGTATGCGATCGAGTCGCATTAATGCCACTCTAGTTACAAGGCGCGAGCCAAGAAAAGGTGGTTTGGGCTTTGCTGAATTTTCAACTCTGCCCACTTTTTAATCTTGTTTCCCTGATAATCTTCAGGGAGAAGAAATAAAACGCATTTATAACTTCATAAAACAATATCCTTCTCTATAAGTGATTCTATTCTCTGCAATTACTCTTTGCGTATGTTCTAGACTCTGTTGCATCTCCACGAACCCTTTTCTGGGGCCTGATTGGTCTGCTGGACCCTGGGTGTAGAGGGCTCCTGCTTCTTTAGTGTTACTGCGTAAAGGGCGCCTTTGTTCGGAAGAAAGCAGCTGGAGACATTATGGTGGTCGTAGTTTACTTCAACTGGCTCCAACTTACCTACTTACACCATACTGATCCACAGTTTGGATTGTAACTTCAACTCTGCATAGGGCTAGAACTTGTCATCATCTAGCCCTTTCATGATTTCCACATGCAGCAGTAAAAGGGGGTAGTAAGAACTTGATCACATCCAAATGCTTCTCTTACGCTCTATTAGACACACTCTACGAATGATTTTACATGTATAGAGCGAAGCTGCGCGCCTGTGATATGGCCTACTACGTGCAAACGTGTATGAATGCTCGGAGTGCTCAGCAGGTGCATCAAGGAACACCCCTGCTGTCCCGACTCCACAGGCCTCCGCATGAGGAGTGAAGGTAATGATGGAAAGGCTTCACTGTGCATAAACACGCGATAACTTTTAAAAAGTTGCATGGGTTTGAGGCTGAGTGCCTCTTTGCGCATGCCATCGAGGGGGAATTCAAAACGTTTTACAGACGCTAAATTACAACCTGACTGCGTGTATGTATGAGGTATGTATATGGCCAGGAGAAGCTTTGCCAGTTGCAGTCCCGAAGCTTAGGCGGAAGGCACTGCCTCTTCTTTCTTGTTCTGTAGTTGGAAGCACAGAAACACCATCTATAAATCATCGGGTCTTGCATGGTGAATATTCTTCAGCTTACTGAAATAGCGGCACACTTCTTTGGGAATGTGCATGAGCCAGAAAGCGTCAATGATAGCAAAAGGGTAATAGCATGAACAATCAGAACGACCACTATAGAAAATATTCCCCGCCTTCCGATCCATACCTGAAATTCGCATCCTAGTGGTCCTCCGTTGCATCCAACAAAGCTTCAAGCAGAGTTTTCACGACTGTAGATGAGATTTCAGTAACAGCGACCAGTAGCTGTATCTGTCTATAAAACGAACACCAGTGAATTTTGGCGGGTTATCCACAACCCCAAAATAGGGGATGAAAAATGCACGAAGCGTCGATGCATTGCCAGCAGGCCAAATAGACACGCATAAAATGATTTATTGATGTGAACGCGAGGCGTATTCCAATCCTTGAAAAAGCGTCCCTATGCTTCCCCGCTCTTCCTCCAGTCATTTCGGCAGCGAGCCGGTCGCAAATAGAGCGAACCAGCTTCTCTGCTATGCTTTGCGATCGTTTTGTTAGCCTTTTGCATCTTCAGTTTTCGGTTGATATTTCATGTCTTATAGGTGTTGCCTTATTGTCTTCAGGCTTACTTTGGAGGGTTTTCCTGCAGGTGCATACAGCCGGCTCGGGCGGCAAATCACTGAGCTAGTATGAGGCCAACAACCGGATCGAGCCAAGTCGCCTCCCTTCTTCCCTCTGCCTCGATTCATAAATGTCTACTTTGAGCTAAGGAGCCATTCTGGAGGTCTTTAGCTACTCAAAATTCTCTGCTTTTGCTGAAATCGGCGAAGAAAGTGGTGTGCACTCTCGCCGACTGCTTCGAGGCAACTCAGCTAATCGAATCTTTCATTGCTTCAAGAGGAATCAAATGCAGAGAAGCCACTGCATTGTATATACCTACTATTATCTTCGTATTTTTCCATAGGATTTGGGTCCGACAATGCTGAATCGGTCGGCTTCGGCGGTTTGCTTGCCACGCCAACTCCAGGATGCACCGCTAGGCCAGCGTACATACTCTACAGCCTGTCTGTCCGGCACGATGAGCTACAAAATAGACACCCATGGCCACTCTGATTATGCTCAAGGCTTATGCACCTCAGCTCCCGTCGGTATGCTGGATAATTTGCTTCTAAATATACCCATGCAGCTGAAGGTTTTGGTATACGCCTTCCTCCCATAAGGGATAGCAAACTTTTCATTATGCACGTAATTCAAGTGATATATCGTAGAGGGGCAGCTTATGTACTTAAGAAAGCAGCCTTTCTGTCCTGGCTTGTTGAGTGGCCACAATGCACTTCCCCGGATTTTGTTGCGGTCTGTTCCATGCTTCAGGGCTATCAGATGAGGAAACCTGCAGCAGTAGTGATTCTGGTTCTTCCCCAGCTCCCCGTCTTCAGCGTTCACTTAGCTCAATGGGTAGCCGAAAGGTCTCGACAGAAGCCTTTGAAGATGCCATTGAGTCTGTGGACTTCAATTTGAGTCCTCGCACGCAGTTCGAGGCACACTATTCTGCATTTTCCTACAACCTTAGAATGCCTCGACCTGTAGCCTCTCGAAATGAGGCAAGATCTTCCCTAGTCACACGCAATGCAGGGCCCCCCGTCACAGGAGCTCCTGGCAGCAATCCTTTCGCCCGCAAGTTCACCTCCTCTACTCCTTTCCTTGAAAATAGAAACAAGCTAGGGTCAGGGGGAGCTGCCTTTCCAAAGTGCATGAGCAGCGACATTTTGCCTTATCAGCCTGGAGAGGTAGGAGCTGCTCAACAGCTAAAGACAATTGAAGAAGGGACCTGCGTTCGACGAGGGTCACATAGAGAGAGGTTCGTACCCAAGGTAACTGAGTCTTGCGGATTCCGAAGAGCCTCTGCGGATCACGCAGAAAAAAAACGCTATGCAGCTGCCCAATCCAGAGATCGGAAGAGCAATGCTTCCAGTGATTTACAAAACGTCACAGCTGCTGCGTCTAAGGCTCTATCTCAGGAGACCTGCTCTATTAGGGCAAAGAACAGCACAATCAGCCGTTATGTCTCTTTACCAGCATTTTCTGCTGCAGACCGTAAGCGGATCAATCTCTTTAAGGTAATTAATGGGAACCATTAAGGCCAATGGGGTCTCCCGATTTGAGTGCAGCTGCAGTGGGTCCTGTCGCACCAGCCCCTTGTATATTTGACACTCCCTGTTGGGATTTATCAGCGGCGACATAGCCGAGGGCTTTGGACGCCCAGAACGGGATAAAACATTGCATCTGCTGCTACTGTGTGGAGGCGTTGTGCAGGAAGGGCTGCCTCAAAGTTTGAGCACACAGGAGGCACTACGGCGGAAGGAGGAACGGGTGTTCGACAAGAGCGAAGAGAAGGCAGTGCTGCCGAGGCCCATAGGAGACGGTCCTGATTTGATGGACCCTGTGGACTGGCGTTCACTTCTGAATGCAGCGGGGCTCGGTGATATCGCGGATGAGGACATTACTCTGGAGGCTGAAGAGCTGCAGGCCAGGCTTGATGAATATGCACCCAGATCCCCTGTCAGCTGGTGTACCGCCCTCTTAGGCTGTTTATGGCAGTGGCGGCTGTAATTGGCGCAAACTGAGCTTTTAGTGAAATGTGGAAACCTTAAATGTCTTTAAAATAACTATTCTTATCAATGTGAATCTTCGAATTCCCCCCAAAGCATCGTTGTTTCTCTCCACTAAGGCGAACACTGTTACAACAAGGTAGCGCTAATCAGGACTATTCGAGGCATTACTGGGCCATCTCTTTGGTCTATGCATACTTTGAAGTGCTACCCGCTGGAAGCATGCAATTAGGCAGCGTTTTCGCCCCAGAGAGAATGTAGCAGCTGAACATAATGTTAGTGTGGTTTCAGCACCCTCGCTGTAGTGCGAATGGGGCTTCCTGGTCCGCAGTAACCATGGCGTGAGTGATGGCAATTAAATTCAGTGTTATGTATAGAACCCCAAACTGGCTAAACGAACAAACAGGGGCGCTTCAGTTGTAGGCGCGACTCATTGCTGAATGCCTCGCTAGGCTTTAACTATGTGCAGTTTAGCCCTTCCACACAATTTTTTCACAGTCTCCTCCGAGGCAATTGTCTGTAAGGCAGGTAGCCAGCACCTCACAGTTCTGGCAGCACGCAGGTGGCCTAAATGTAGCATAGGCTCTGGAAAAGTTTCTTAGGGCTGTGACTAAAGATGGGCAGCTGGTGGTGAGTTCAGGGTCCACTTGAGTGAGGCAAACTCGCGAGTCCCAGACCTGCCAAAGCAACTCAAAGAAGCACACGAGCACATGGTGGGCAGCATTCACGGTAGTTTGCCTTGCTCTGTACACCACAATGTCTTCTTCTTCTAGGTTAGCCACCTCTGTAAGAGCTGCCAAATGCAAAGCAGACCACACGCCAATGCCATAGGGAGCATCATTCTTTCTTGTCCTCTGCTGGCTCTCTCCTTGCTTCCCTACGCCCTCTGCCTGCGCACATAAGCATGGAAGAGCACCTTACTGTGAATCATCGAGAAGAAGAAGGCGCTTCTTTACATGAATGTGCAGCCGTGCGCACGATGTTGCAACAGCGGCAACAAACGGCTCCATGTCTATGACCGAGCTCAAATGTGGAATGTTCAACAAGTGTTCATTCCACATTCCTCTACATCTCAACCAAAATTACGCCCACCGTTCGAAATTTTGACCCTACCCTGTTTCTCTGAGGCGGCGATTCGTGGGATTGAGTGCCTGCTGGGTCTCGTGCAGCGTCAACTATGGCTGCCGCCAAGACGAGTATGCTGGCCTCGAGAAAGAGACAGCTAGATTCGAGAGGGAACAAGTTATTAGCCAAGGCCATAATACTACTGCAGAAGGCCTTAAGGGCCCTGAAGGTGCAGAAACGCTGCTTAGATGCTGATGGTTCGGCTAGTATCAATTGCTTCTTGCAGCTCTTAAGTATAGCCTCGGCGGCGGCAACAGTTGACACCAGAGACTGTAACGCCACTACGGCGTGATGCTCCTTCTCCTGAAGCCACCGACGTTCAAAGGCCTCCCATCGGACTACAAGGCAGCTCTTCTGTGTACAGGTGCAACATCCCAAAGTTCGTATAACGGACTTCTAAGAAAAGAAGAGCGTAGACACGTTCACTCCAATTTGGTTCCCCTATTGAATCACAGGCGGGAAGGTGGGGTGGCTATAGGTAAAGCAATACGACGTACAAATATACCTGGCAGAGTTTAGCTACCCAGTGTTTCCTCTGCTCTGCGGTCCCCCGCCCTGAATCTGGGACGCTATTTTGTATGAAGGCATTACAACTTCCGGCGGCGCGGGGCTGAAGAATGATAGCGCGCTTGATCCTAAGATACTCTTTAACCAGTTCATCTCGAAGTTTTATGAGCAATGGTGTAAAATAAAAGAAATGGCGTTGAATCCGTTCGTATGGGGGCAGCTGCAGGGCAGCCATGAAGACAGACACTGGTAAGAGCTGGCCATCGGCGTACAATGCATTGCACCGTTTGAAATCCGACCGCACTTCTCGCAGGGCACTGGCGGCGAGAGCTGCTTTTTTATTTAGGTAAATAGGTGGGGAACCCTCTGCTTCCTTGCTGGCTATGGCATATTTGGCACCTGGTGCAGAAAGTGATACAGCTTCAAGAAAGGCTTGTCTAGCAGGAGCCACATCCAGACAAGCCGACTGTGCTCTATAGTCAAAAGCAAATTTTGTTGCTGTTTCCAGGGACTCCGCAGTAGCAGCAGCGCTCTTGAAGATGCGCTGGGCTAAGGCCAGCTCGTCGGGAGCCCTCAGCCGATTCAGGACAGCTCTGGAGATTACCACGTCACTCATTGACTTGAAAGCATAAAATGCCCTTTTTCAGATCAATAAGTTACTGCTTGTAAAAATTTTAAGCTTTAATTTGAATAAAGACTCCCATGCTGATCCGCTATTCGAACGGGGTCACCAGTGAAACGGAATGGGGTCGTCTATTGACCGAAAGATCTTGAGGCTCTATAGCGCCGTCAAAATCCCCAGGAAACCACTGTATTAATGGTAGTGCAGATTCAAGGTGCGACTTTTTTTCTAAAGCCCTGCACGCTGCGGCCGCACCCCACGAACTTCGGCGATGCCAGGGAAGGTCACTACTCTATGAGGTAAATCAATGGGTTCACTCCAGTAACACGTTTGAAAATTTCATTACCCGTAAACAGAGAGGATTATTGTAACTATAGGTATCGAGGTCCTAGTTTTCAACCGTGGTCACTGGGGAAAAGCAAAATTGTGGTTCCCTGCCTGAACGTGTGCCGTTTATCAAATTGGTATCGCAGGATGTTACACGCATTTGTTTTTCATCGCGTTTACAAAAAGGCTTTCGTTTCATCCATACGGCAACGGTAGCGGCATGAATTTATGCCTAGTTACTCGCTAGGGTGTCGCCTATGCATAAGCATCCGCATGTCAAGTAAAATTGCTTCACTTTAAGTCAATCTTATGTCGTAATTGAGGTGAGTCGTACTGAAAGCATACTTACGTATCGGGTAAACAGCATGCTACACCCAGCGTCTCATAAGCGAGAGGATACCACATCCTTTGTCTCTTACTCAGCACTGAGTCTTGCTGCTGAGCCTCTTATCTATGCGAACAATGAAAGAAGGGTGGCTGGCCATACGGTTCACCTCACTGGACTTGATTGTGTGAGGCGTGCTAATTCTTACAGTTCTGATTGCTCTTCTCGTGGTTTGGTAACAAACGAGCACGGAGTAGCTAGCAGGAGAGAATTGTTTGCGACCTTAATATTTTAAAGGTCTTGTCGATGGATTCTGTCTTTGATGAAAGTCTTTAGCAGATATTTACCCCTTTGCTTCATATACGGAGAATCACCCTTACACTTGTGGAGCAATTCACTATTTCTTGCCCCTTCTTACCCCTGTAAGAAAAGAAACACATTATTTCATACATCGCTATTGGCAGTTGACTAATAAGTCTGCAAAAATTAACCAGGCACGAATGTATACCTACGGGCACCGCCGAGTTACCTCAAATAGATTATTCTGTCTTTGGCTTGGTATTGCTCTACCTCTCGAAAAAACCTGTAAGCAAAATGTCAAATTAAAGTCCTTCCCTAATTCGTTTCTTCGTTGAAACTAATCACTCGCCGATTTGCGAAATGCCGGCGCTGCAGCAAACTCCAATGCCTTGTTCGTTTTTTCTCGAGAACGGCATAGTAAACTTTTTGGCCAGTTGTGTCCTTCCTTGCAAGGTCAATGTAAGGAAGGCACTTTCTGTTGGATTTGAGTTTGCCTAAACAATCTTCAAATATTTACCTTTGCCGTTACCCTCGGGGGACACCACATGTGGCGACAGCCTTCGTAGGGTCGGAAGCGTCCCACATGCCCCTGCGTGAACTTGTACAAAGCATCCTTATTGTAGCTGGCCTTTCATTCCAATCACCGGCATGTTCTCCCTCACTCACACTTTTCCGGTTTTTTGGCAGCCAGTCCGCGCAGAAATATTCAACGTCTAGGCAATGAGTCGTATGCTGAAGAGTAAACAAATCAAAGCAGCACAAACGAAGCTCATTAGTGCACCACACAGTGAAACGCGGCGTTGCTCTGTGACTCACCAAGCGCAGTAAGTCAAGAAACAGCTGAAAAAAATTATGAACCAGTTATGCTCACTATTTTAGCACGTGAAAATGTATTCAACGGCCTCCCGGATGCAGTGCTGGGAGCATGATGAGGCTGCTGTGCCCCAAACACGCTGCAGTGCATGGTTATTAAGTAAGAGGGTGTATCGATACAATTCATATGTATAGAAGTAATTCGAATTCATCATTTCCGTGTTGGGACGTCAAAAGTAGCACTTAAAAGTGCGATGGGTTTGCAGCAGGCTACGCTAGACTCTTGGCACTTACATTGCATAAATTCACTTAAGGATTGGTACGGGATTGACCATTTAATGTTTGTGCTTGTATTCTATGATTGACGCAAGCGTCAACCTAGAATTGTCAGAATCAATATTTCGCATGCGTACGCCAGATGCTATGGGAAAACGAGCTGCGAATGCCCAGTCTATCTGTTTCTCTCTTCTGATTCCAAACTTCAGAGGAGTAAAGGTAGGGAAAAGGAGTAAGCCTTTACGCAGAACAGTCAGTACCTTTTTATTAAAGGTTGTATTGAGTTTGGTGTTAAGTGACTTCCGACCAACACTTCAGATGGATAGTTACGTTGTATAATATTATGAAGAAAGGTTTGTTGCGTTGCTCTCCCGCTCATCTACTGGCAATGAATGTAGTGGGATGCCAGTGCCTCCAGGCAGCTGTTTGACTTTGACTAAACTCTACGGCATTCAAAAAATTCAATTTCCAAGAAACAGTATGGGAGAAGCGCTTTCGAATAATGAAAGTTGAATGCAGTACAATGGCTGTTGTGGCGGCAGAGGCCGGCCTGGAAGGTGGTGTGAACGCAGGAGCTCGACAGCTGGTGAACAGGCCCGAATCTCCAGGCGATCTTTCAATGCAACTATGCTAACCAGAAAAGTATAACGGTGGTATGAATAGTCAAGTACTCGACGATTTCATCAGCCTTTTGGAGATGCGCCTTCCTTTGTACACTATAGATGAAGAGAATCGAGTGCCTCTTGCAACGCACCGATTGGGGAGAGTAACACATTAGTGGTGCCATTATTTACACAGATAAAATCATCTGCTTGCAGGAATTAGTGTAGTTTAAGATTTCATGCACAACCTGACTTATTGGTTCTCGCCGCAACATCAAGCTTCGGAGAATTGAAACCGCTTCAGCACAAAGTTTTATCAATAAAGTTTTTGTCTAGAACTGAAAACGTTGCTCCGCGAAAGCCACAACGTACCCCAACAGCTGCATTATCAGTGGCGCATCTTAGGTTTGCCCCAAGTGTCACGTCGGGTGGTGGCATGATGGGCAAAGACTCAGCAAATTTACAGCCAATCCACGGCACGTCCGCATGTGATGAACCACTAGGGTTTTGCGAGACAAATGAACGAGAATGGGTCTTAACACAACAAAGCCAGGCCAAGTTGGGGTTTTAGAGCCTAGACAGGTCGGGGCTATGCCAGGAGGCCCTAGACTGCGGTTTAGCCTACAGTGGATTATAAAATGCAGGCAGGTGAAAACTAAGCTTCCAATTGCTTCAGACAGCGTCCTATGAACGTACCTGCTTCTATTTCAGAGAACTTTGTAGTATGAATTAGAACTGTAGGCGCATGTGAAGCAGCCAAAGGAGTTGAACGGCGGGAGTGGCCCAGAATACTCAAGCTGCATGGCAAGCAAGAATGGACCATCAGGAGTATGGTTTGCTTCCTCAGCACGCTGTGGCGCGGTCTAAGGAGTTAGAAAGGGTAGAGGCAGAGCTGGGGATCTACCACGGGTCGACTGTCAATTGCTGCAGGTCTAAAGCAATGGGCAAGAATTGCTAACCTTACTCGACATTGGATGCGAAGTGGTTCTGTCATCAAAGCAGACGATGCAAAAATATATTTCACCTGTTTACTCTTTGGTACTGTCTCAAAAAACCGGTTTTACTAACGAGAGGCAGAATGTATGGCTTGGCGAAGATACAGCAGTTCTATATCAATTAGAATAGGGGTTGGGGCATATCGACATGACCCGTGAATTCTATTTTAGTCCGTGCACCGCCATGCAATCCTAGCTGTGGGTGACCCAACGGAAGGCGGTCATGTGGCCACACCTGTCCATTGTCGGGCTCAGTATATCGGAAAATGCTAAGAAAAAGCATGTCCTGGGGTGCCTCAACAAGGCTCTTTTCATCAAGTGGTGAGCGAGGTGTGGGACGTTACTCGAATAAGGGAGCCAGAACCTGCATGCGGGTGGTTCGACAGAGCACTACGAAACGGCAGTCCTGAGCACGCAAACCATCATCGAGGTATGAACCTATTTTCTTTTGGGGTAATTCGACTAGACTTTGAGTCTAAAAGCAATAAGAAGGGGAAGTAACAACGAGTTCGCGAGTGTGCTAAATAATGAAGAGCTGGTCACTACTACTAATTGGCTAACGGTTAGTCGTCCAATGCACTGACATGGGGTAATTTGTTGGTCGGTCCCAAGCTAAGTTCAACGACATTGAAAAAACCCACGGCTTGCCGAGGCGAATGAGCCTCAGGCTGACTATTCGTAGGGAAAAAGCAAAGAGCAGGCGGCGATTAGGTCTTCTCAGCATGGCTCGATGCTCAAGGCGACGAGGATGAAAGGTGGTGCGTGCGCGTTACTTCTAAGCCCCTGAACAAGATCCCTGGAGCAGAAGCTTTCAAATCCTAAGGGTGGCGAAATGCTTTGCAAATTATTCGAACCAACAGTCCACCTGACATCTGACTTCCCAGACGCTTGCATCCAAACCTGCAGTCACTCGTCTGACAGGCGAAAACCGGCGATCACACTAGCACTCGCACTCTCGAACCCGAGTATAACCGCATTGTGTGTGACCTTGTTGATGCCATAGCTGAACTGCATTGGTAAGCAAATTTTGGACTGACAGAGCCAATCAACGGGGGGTAGACGCCTGCCTACCTTTGCAAAGTTTTCGTACCTTCAGCCAGCATTCAGTAAAACCCACAGCATCTACGTCCTGTGCTTCAGCTGTTGCTGCGCAGGCACAGGTATGTGAAGGCACACAAGTGTTCAATCAATATCCGAGATTTCGTCCCTTGGAAGCAGGAGTAGAGCCAGATCCGGAAAAATCTCAGGCAGTCAAAGCGTGGCCTTCACATTTATATACCCCATAATGAACCTTGCGGTTGCCTACGAGCTGGTGCCTGAATAACATTTCCTTCATAGATGTCGGATCGGTGCTCCAGTGGCTGAGCGGCTTGAGTAAAAGCACTTTAACCTAGGCATAGGACGCTGGTGGCGCAACAATGACGCGTATTGGCTGCCTAACAACCCCTCCGGCATTTGCGCCTTCCGATCATGAGCGTTTTTTCTAGGAACGAATCTTGGTGACGCATCGATGAGTGTACTTGCCTATAACAAGCTGCTGATTCAGAAGCACCAAAGACTTGCTTTGTATTATTATTGCTTTGCTAAAACCGAGCAGCGGTATCCTGTGTCGGAAAAGGAACTCTATGCACTGTCCTGGGGAGTGTAAAATGTGCCGAAACTACTTGTATGGGCGTCAATTTACTATGCATGATAATCAGGAATTCCTGTTCTACCCTAAGAAATGTGATCAGGACAGAAATCCTTAGTGTTGTTCGCTGCCGAGGGGACATTCTGCAATCTGAATCGACAGTGAAGAATGCTAAGCTTATTACCAACCTTGTAGCAGACGCGCCCATGAAACGCCCCCATCATTTCGCTACCGTACTTCATAACCGCATTTTCTGTAATGATTTACGGTTTTCACCGAGCTCCATGAGTCTTATGCTTTCAAATCTATGCACCCGCTACCATTGCCAGCATCCAGAATCGCAAAGGGGTGAAGCACTACCACGGAGAGGATGACCTGCTGTAATTCAAAACGAGGCGAGCACTCCATCTTCTGTGCGTTCCCGACTTTGCACCGCAGTTCCATTTTCACAAAGCACATGACCATGCCCCTTCGTACCGTGATGGGCTTCACATCATACACGAAGCCCTCACGGTCCTTTGGGTGGCCTGCAATGCTTCGTGCATCAGGAAAGTATGCACTCTCATGCCCAAATTGCCAGCAGCTAGAGTTGCAAAATTTTCCTAGACCCGACCTCTTCAGAGGTGTCCGGATGCAGAGGGGAACAGACTGATCTGGCAACTACCAGGGGTAAGGGTCAGGACAGCTTCTGCATCATAAGACGCAGCGAAAATAACCATTTCATTACTTGCTTCAGCTGTGCTGCACCTTAGAAAGTTGCTTCATTACTCTCAGCGAAGTATGGAAGCTTCGAGGATCAATCGGGAGTATCAATACGGACATGGAACCGAAGTCGTCAGTGCATTGTGGCGTGCCTTTGTGAAACGCCTACGCATTTTTCACAGTATGGGCAGTGCGGATTACCCTGAGGGAGATATGGATATACAGCGCATCACTTGCACTGTCCTGATATACTCTGCGCACTGCATGCTCGCAAAACTTGAATGGCTTGGCTTGTGTATTTATAATTGCGAGAGTTCAGTCGTCTGCCCGTTGCTCTCCTGCATATCTGGCGTACACTTAGGATCTCTTCTCTGATTCAGGCCTGATCTAGTGGGCAGGGGTAAGCGGACACCCTGAAGAGCAAAGTAATTTGGGGAGTAGCTGGCCAGCGTACGCAAGTATATGCGGGAGGCTGAAGAGAGACAAGCACGGCATGAGCATCAGCGGCACTCAGCTATGTATTCTAAGCACTGAGATTAGGTTTCGGGGATTTGGCATGCTTTATGAGGTGCAAGCTGATCAGGTGCAGATGTTTGCGGCTCCATGGCCAGTACCATTTGCCATCCTCTCAGAAATCAATGCCTTTCATCCTTTGTCGACTTCCCTTATAGCTGTAGGTGCCACATTTCTGCCAGCATTGGTTTTCTAAAGTAATGTTTAAGTTCTTTCAAGTGCTCGAGGACTCCACCGCGAAGGCCAGTGACCCATTTAGAGGCGGAGAATCCAGGGATCTGCAGAAGTGCTGGAGTTCAGGAATATTTAGCGCCGAGGACACAGTAGACCGAAGTGTCTAGCGAACGGGGTGAGGACTGCTAATCTTAGTTATTAAATAGGGAAGCCGTTGCATGCATCATTGCCTGCAGGATAATACGCCGCTCTGTTTCACAAACGCTGGTCGCCGTGGACGCGAAGTTGTTTCTGCTGTCCTTCTCCAACGCATGTTCTCCCTCAGATAGCTACCAGCACACGGTAATGTTGCTTAAATGATTCCCGGCCTTTATTCTAATGAGCGTCTTTACACTCAGACTTGTCCGCAGGCACTTCGCTACCTCTCTGTACGGCTTCTTTTAAGATATCCCTAGTGCTGCACTTCATCTTCGACTCAGTACGAACTTGATAGAAAGTTACTCATTGTTATTCAAAATGAACTCCCACCTTCCTCTGCTCGCGCTTCTTAGAGTCCCTGATATTACGAAAGGGGAGAGCTAGGGTGCGGCCGGCTGTAACCTTCAAGCTCTTCGAGTATTCACAGGTAGTTGCCCGTAGCATTTGCCGCATACGCACACAACAGTGCGTGCTCTTGCATAGTGGGAACAGAACTTTGCAGTAACAAGGTACAAGATCGGAAAAGCCGCATATTCATTCTTTTCAATGATTAGTGAATATAAGTAATGTAGTAGAAAGTGATTTGGTGTAGCTTAGCGAGCTACAGTGTCCCCCTCGGTTCCCTTAATTGATATTTGAACAGATCCTGTGCCGACTGTTGGCTCTTGCCAACGTGAAACCATGCCATATTTCCACCAAAAAAGTACATATCTGCCGCATGTAGGACAAGAGACACAGCTATGAAGGAAAGACCGTTCTGTATTCGAAGTATGGTTTGAAAGCTCCTGGTTCTTTTTGGTTGTAAGGTTTTTCACTGAATTGACTGTAGAAATAGAATCCACGTCTGCAATCATGCGTTGACGGTCTTAATACTCGAACAGCCTTATTTACACGCTGAATTGCGTTTTGAAACATCCAAGCAGCTTTCAAATAGAGGAGATCCATATTACCTTGGTTTGTGGGACTTTGGGTAGGATGCAAGAAATCCCTTATTGAAAGCAAGTTTTGGGGGTTGGGATGCAAGGGAAACGAGTTTCATGCAATCATTTAGTCTTGATTAGAGAGTACTGGCCGGTGTATGACTTGCAGTCAGTGGGAATTTGAGCGTCTTACGCGGTCATTTTCTCTTAGTCGTAAGGAATAAGAGAAAAGTTACAGGTATAGATAATGCCTTCAACGAGGCTACAAAGTACCATCATCAGCTTCTCAAGTTGAAACGAGTCATGTTACACCCAATTTGCAAGTAGCCAAAGATGCTTCGAGTGACCATGGGGCCCTGGAAAGTTCGTTTCTGTTCCCAGACCGCAGCTTACCAAATCCAGAAAACCGGCCTAATCTCGACCCATATTTCGTGCTTACGTATGTAATTACCAGAAAATGGAGAAAAGTATTAGATGAAGTATCCGAGGAGTGTTCTAAGTATTAAAATACAGCGCTCGGGACACAGTTGCCTGTCTGGGGGTGACTGCACAACGCACACGGCATTCCAGAGCAGCTGGCAGGAGTCGCACACGACTTCTTCTGAAACCGCATTCTACTGCATTTCTTCATTTATTTGTTTTATCTCGTTGTTCTAACAGGCGTAGCATCAGAAGTCAGCCAGAGCTGTGTGTTTCATGGAACAACTCCCCGAGCACTTTTCACAGCAATAATTCCGGTAGCGGTCTATAGCAGGGAATTAACACCAGGCGCTGCCCCTGAGGATTCTCCCAGTAAGATTTGAAGGTTTTCTGCATATTCGACAGTATTTGGTCTGCCATGGGCCATAGCATTTACAGCTTCTTGCCCCGGCTGCTCCGTTGACGTCTCTGGCGCGACAGAGTCACCACCGGAGACCACTGCAAATCGCCACATAGAGGACGCGTTCAAGGTGAATATTTTGCATTTATACGGCCTCAAAATTGGATTGCCTAGTGCATAATTCGTGATTTTGCGGCTCTATCCTCTATGGTGAATACATAGAGGATTTACTCTATGGGGTCCCCCGCCTCTCAGTCAATGAATAACCTAGGGTAAAAACCCTCGGTTGGAAAAAAATTTCTCGGCATTTTCAGCTAGACATTTGTGCACAGAAACTTTTGAAGAGGTCAGCGAGGCCGAAGCGGGGCTGGAAATCCAGGGACATTGTCGTTTTTATACACACTTGATGACTGAGCCGTCAAATTTACCCTTACCAAGTATGCTAATGGGTTTCCCCCTTTTAATTTTACGGCCTGATATACGCCCTGACGGGACGTGTTGCTGGGGGAAAGCAGGCAGTGAGATGCTCGCCTATGTGCTGTGCTCTTTGCGATACAGTCTAGAGCTATGTGGCAGTCGCCATGAGGAAATCCCCCTACTGGATGTGCCCTTTGCGGCAAAACCTCTATAGGCATCTCACCGCGTTAATTCTGGCTTCTGTAGCATTTCTGATTTTGTTTAAAGCCTTGGTAGCTCATGCCAGTAGCACTTGGGCCCCGGCCCCCGTCCCCGCCTCAGGATCCTTCCCCGCCAGTTCTCCCCTGACCCCTAAGTCCATTGAAGGCACAGTCGATACACTCTCTTCTTCGACCCTATTCTCGGAAGTTTCTAAGCGCCTGTTGGACTTGAACTCTTGCATCTCTGATGTGCAGTGCTGGGGCAGGGGCAGGCGTTGCATTGACGGGCGCTGCTGGGGCTTCGCAGGACCCCGCCACGATCCTTTTCGGTGTGAAGCTGGGACTGTATGCGCGTTAGATCGCGTCGATGGACACTTTTATGGGGAAGGCGGCAGAGGAAGCGTGGGCCGGTTCCTGCTCCAGCCAATCCAAGGGTCTCTTGAAGACTGCGGAAGCGACAGGGGTGTCCTGCACAAGCCTCATATCCTTTGCGAGGGAACATCCCCTGGGTGTGATCTTACCGAGGCGGGGCACCAAAACGGTGTGCCAGCCGAAGATACCTTCCAGCTGGGGGCTCCTGTTGAGTGCACTTACACTCCAGGGATCACAACGCAGTCCAGCTGCAGCGCAAGGCTTGGATTCGTTCCACCATCACTCCCGGTTGGGCGCTACGCTCTCTGTGGCTGCAGCAGCACTGACCTTGGAGGAAATGGACGGGTTTGTAGCTCGATAGAGGACTTTTCGGCTCCCGTTGGCGTGCTGCTGATAACGGGATTTGCTGCTCCCGCTGCTTCTATCGCTTCTCCTCGCGACTCTGAGATTGCAAAAAAAGCGGGGCTGGAATCCCAAGCTAAACCTGCTCATATTGAAGCAGACTCGACGACTCAGGAGGATACTCAACTAGCAGCTGAATCATCAGAGGGCATTATTGAAACGGATCCCATACAAGTGGTTCCATCTTCAGTTACGCAGCAGCATCTGTTGCTCCCGCGCTTCTCCTGCACCGCTGATCTCCCATGTGAGCTGCCAGGAATTAAGGGGTTCGGCCTTAACTCCAAGGATCATTTTGTTAGGGCCATTTCCGGAATCCACAGCAGCTGCCAAGGAACTGCAAAGGCAAGTTCAAAGCACGTTAAGCTAAATTTGCACCTGTAATTTCGTTAACGAATGCGCAAATCGGAGATGTGCTACTTCGCCTGTGCTGGCGCTTCTCTTCTTTCAAGGGAGGAGGCGATCTAATACCTCTGCTGTGTTCCGCAGACGTCTACGCCACTGCGCCTCCCCTGCAACGCAGTCAGCCGCGGCAGTCGCTGCGTCGTACGTGTTCACCAGGAGGATATGAAAGCCCTGCTGCAGTCCACAGGACCAGCAACAAGGACAGAAGATGGTGGGAACCGTGTTGTAGACGCCACCCTTTGCGGGTGCCGAAGAGGTTCCACGCTGCTTGACTGTGTCGGAGGCACTGTCGTGGGCCTGTTGCAGCTGAAGGCAGTCGAAGGCAAGCAGCAGCATCAGCAGCAGCGTCAGTTGCGCAAGCTTCAGTTTATAGAGGGTCGTGCTGCGAACTTGCCAGAGGAAGAAAACGAATTCACCCCAGTAGGAAATGAATGCCAGAAGCATGCGGACTGCCTGCGTGGCTATGGGAGCTGCGTGTCTGGACGCTGCCGAGGGTTCATCCCCGACCTGAAAGGGGATCGGCTAATTCGCTGTGTTGAAGGGTACTATTGTGACGCGGGGGCAGGAGATATACCCACAAGGGGCAACAAGGAGAACTTTACAGTCATTGGCATTGGACCAGACGAAGAATGCGGAGCAGCCGTCAATCTCAAAGCAGACAGTCAGTATTGGCACATGCATGGCTGCGCGCACGTTGATAGACGCAGGCACAGAGACAGAGAGGCAGCTAGGGCTAATTTCACGTAGAATTCATGCCAGCAGTGCAGGTGTATCCGTGGGAGTAGCAGCAATGCAGCAACTTTGCATTCATGAACATACAAATCTCAATACGCCTTCTCTTTTCGGACCCGCTTTTCATCTATCTTTGTGAACACTGTTACTGCATTCTGCCTACATGGCCTGTCTGAGATACGCTTAGCAAGTCTCCGGTTCCATGTTTTAACGCCTTCGTACATATTTGCCCCCTAAACGGTGTTGGTGCCCCTCTTCTCTCTCCATGGCAGCTGTGGCTCTTCTGCACTGCCACCTTTGCGGACGCCTATGGTTGCCCATTTGGGGTATGTGTGTGTGTGTGCTCTCTAGACTCAATATTCAACAACGCAAACAAGTGGGTTTGTTCCTCGTCCGTCTCATCTTCTTGCGAGTTGCGTTTCGGTGTGGCTCGCCGCGTCAGTCGAGCGAACACAGTGGAAGGAGTGCGGCTTTGCGGCTGCCCGGGCGTGGACTTAAATGGAGATAATTCGCCTTGCAACCACATGCGAGATTTCCGTGTTCCCCTAGGGCGAGTCTCGGTGCAGGAGTGCATTACCAATGCCCACTGCGCCGATCGGCAGTTGGCGTACTGCATAAAAGATCACTGCGGCGACTTTCTGGTGTCCGCTGCTGCTGCCAGTGTGAACGCCTTCGCCTGCGTGCGAAATCAGGACTGCACCATTGAAAACGTCACAGCTCGCAGTGTGAGCGAGGCCCTTAAGGTCATTCCCATTGCAGCACACCTCAAGTGCGGGCCAGATGCTGCCTTGGATCCAAACTTTCTGCCCGAAAGCGCAATGCCGTGTGTGGCGGATGTCGATGGAGACGGAAAATGCGATGTTCACCTGGGAGTTAACCATTTTTTCGGGTCCGGCATCAGCCCTCGCACTTTATCATTGTGCACATAATAGATAAAGTTGTCCTTGACGCCTGCTGCTGCTGCTTCAAAAGCTAAACGTTGCACCCGCAGCGGCGGTGTTGCGGCTACCCATAGAGTGTTTACCGATTAGAATACATGTGGCGAGGCTGTTCCTGTGGATTCCAGCGACAGCATTCGTGTGAAAGTCTGTGTCCACATGTATGCGGAACTAGAGGATTTGCAGCCTGCCACAACCCCTTTTTCATGGGCTTCAGTCTGCGCTGCTGCCGTGCCGTTTCCTGTGAACTTCAGGACGCATCGACTTTGTGGCTGCAGTGGCGGAGACTGCGACGACCCTTCTGACTTTGGGGTTGAGCTTGGCCTGCTGAATACTGTTGAATGTGTCGTGCATAGCGACTGTCCCATTCATTCATTATGCGCCAAGGGGGAGTGCATCGCCGATGACATGCCCCCCGTCCTTGTTGCATCGGAGCCTGCAGCGGGATCAATGTTCATTCCTCCGCTCAGACAAATAGAGTTGCAGTTCAACGAGGACATTGCCTTCGGTAGACCGGGGGCCTCCCTTGTTGTCGCCTGTCTAGATCCAGATATCAAGTGGGTCGTTACCCTCCCCGATGGAATTCACGAGCTCCAGACTATCCGGTACAACCCTGCGTTGTATCCACGCGCTCCTAAGCGCGCAGCAACGGCAGATGCAACTGCAGAGCAAAGCAGAAGTGAAAACAGCAAGTGGGTGCTTGAGAGGCAAGGCCAGGTGCTGACCGTGACGCCTGACGATGACCTCCCTTCGCTGCCGCAGGGAGAGTACACTGTAAGTTTAGACTTCGGATTCGCTACCGATCTAACGGGCAACCCATCGGAGGGCGTGCCAAGTCTGAAATTTACTCTGGCTCGGGATGCTGGCTGTCCCCTGCTTTACGTCACCGGCTTGGCAACGGAGAACGGTAATGCGAATGGTCTGTACACTCCCATCGAGCCCATCAACAAGCATGCAGCCTGGAGGGGAGCAGAAGGCAACGCCTTCTTCATATACTTCAGGAAGGAAACGGAGGGAGAGCCGGGCAACTGGGTCGTTGACACGGATCTCGATGAGACGGCCTTCCTCGGCTTCGCAGATGTGTCTCTCCTCGCAGGAAAGATCACGAGCAGCAGCGAGAGCGATGCCATTCCCCCAACTGGACTCTGGCACAAGTGGACAGGCAAGAAGAGAGAAGAGCAGCCTTTCACCACCTTCATTTGCAGAGACACCCCGGACCACCTTCCTCCCACACTGACCGACGCAAGGGCTACCCAGAGAAATGCACCGGGAGGGGGGGGAGGCCCCCATCCTTTGAAGCTCAACAGCGATACAGGAGCTCCCGAAAGTCCAATTACGCTTGTCTTCAACAAGCCAGTGAACTACGGACACTGGGCATCCCTGCGCCTCGTTCCTCGTGGGGGGGGGGCCCCCGTGGCGGAGTGGATAACAGACCAGGAAGCAGGCATGCGCGGAGAGGGTGGCACAGTGATGATCCGCTCAGCACCGCCCCCAGCTAGAACCCCCAAAAAGGCGACCAGTGCCTCTGCCGAAGGCATGCAAGGGGATTCGGAAGAACCCAAGCAACAGCCCGGCATTGTCGAACTTACGGTGGAGGCCCCACTCGAGGGTGGCAAGGAATATGACCTCATAGCAGATCTTGGGGCTTTCACAGACTTTTCGTACAATCCTTGGGGGCCGCTTGCTCCTCAGACGGTCTCGTTTGTAGCCGTTGCAACGCACTGCTCCCTTCGCGTCGGAGCAGCAGCAGTTGCGGCGGCAGCAGAATCCGCCGAACCGGACGGCCCCGAAGCACAGGCTACTGCAGGAGACGAAGGCTCCTATGAGCTGGTGATCGCACCCTCCGGATCCTACGCGGAAGGAGACACCCGGGCCGGAGAAGGCGCCATTGCCGTTGTTCGGTGCACTGAGGGCCTCGCGGTCCCCTCAGACCTTGTGGAAGGCGCAGATGTCAGAAATGCTGGCATGGTAAGGTGTCGAAACGGACGCTGGGATGGACACCTCACTCCCTGTGTACCTCGTTGCGGACCGTATCCCTCGCTGCCGGAGGCCTACGAAGTCGAGGAGAAAGAAGAAGGTGCAGCGGAGGGGCTTTTGGGGGCTTCCATTGTGATCCGCTGCACGGAGGCTGCTGCCGCAGGAGAAGGGGAGAAGCCGCAGGAACAAACGCTCAGATGCGCGGGAGGTCGATGGGAGCCTCTTAAACTCAGCTGCGCCGCTTTGTGCCCACCGTTGGGGCCTTCACTTGGACACCAGTACTCTGTGCTTCTGCCAGACGGCTCTGAGCCGCGTGCAGCGGGACAGGGCGACGTGGAGGCAGCCGCAATTGAGGGCGATAAACGCGTCGTCTCATGCAGAGACGCTGGCGTTGCGACGGAGCAACACATGGAAGAGGCAGAGCACGAGCAGCTACGGCAAGTCGTGCAATGCACAGAGAAAGGATGGGCTCCGCCCCTTAGCTTTAGCTGCAACCGCAGCTGCCTTCAGCCCCCTGTGCCTCCAGAAGGGGCAGATATTCAAGGGGAAAGTCTGCGGCACGGGAGTGTATGGACAGCAACCTGCAAATCTGGTTCGTCGATGTGGTCTGCTGCTGCTGCCACTGCGGGTGTGTTGTCGCACGTGCAGGTGTGCTTCTTCGGCAGTCGTATCGGCGTAGTGGGCATGCGTGTGTGTGAGGGCGTGATGGCAGCTTTCGTGCTGGCAATCGAACTGCACGCAGTGCTGAGGGAGCAGTGCATTCATGTGCTTCCATGCTCCCTCCACGACGGGGGTGAGAGCCCGTCGGTCTTGCAAGGGCCACGTGTTTACATCGTGTCGCCGATTTGCGGAGTCTTTGCATATTTTTTGCAGGCTACGAAAATTCTCACGGCATGCACTCTGTAGCCTTCACTTGTACGGATGGACAGTGGCTTCGCCAGGTGCCTGCGTGGGCTCCATCCTTCTCCTGCATGCCCTTATGTGCCCCCCTTGTCCTCGATCCGAGGGCATACACCCTCACTCCGATTGCCTCAGAAGCAGACACAGGCACCAAGGCGGAAACAGCAGTCAAAATTGCCTGTGCCAAACACGGCGTGCTGCTTGGAGGACCACCAGAAGAGATCCTGAGATGCGAAGGAGGCCTTTGGAGTCTTCGTTCCACTACTTGCGCTGCAAGTTGCCGCAACCCCATGGACGTCCTCGGCTCGGATTACACGCTGAGCCAGCAAGAGCAGCAGCAACCTCAGAAGCAGACTTACGCGCATGGGGAAACGGCGCAGATCAAGTGCAGTGGTATCAACAGCAATCACAGTCCGGCAGCAGCGGCTGCAGCCGCTGCTGCTGCAGCACGAGCACCACCTCACACCATTACGTGCATCGACGGCAGCTGGGAGTCCAAGCCTCAAACGCCCATGCATCAAAAGCATCAGCTCGAATCAAATGACTCGACAGCGCTGAACAGCAACGGCAGCAATCGTGGAGGCGGGGTGCTGCTTCGCTGCACAGCCACCTGCGGCCTGCCGCCTCTACCTGCCCATTTTGCGGTCCTTTCCTCGACTGGAAAGGGCAGTCACCGTCAGCTGCGCAACAAGCTCTATCGTGGAGGTGAAAAGCTTCTCATCGGCTGCTCTGCGCCGTTCGACGCGACCCTCAACATGCCTTCTGAGCTGCGTCAGGAGCGCCTGCAGCGGCAGCAGCAGCAGCTGCAGTGCGCTGATGGGGAGTGGGTGGGGGAGTTAAAAGACGAGGTCTGCGTCAGACAGTGTCCAGGGAACCCTGGAGACCTCCCCGAGAGCAAATGGAGAGAGCTGGGAGTTGTTTGTGGTGCCTCATGCGGCAGTGGCTGCGGCAGTTGCTACAACAGCAAGAAGGACAGAGAAGAGGAGGGAGTAGACTGTGGAGGTCCCTTCTGCGTGCCGTGCAGCAACTGCAGCCCCTTGCCCCTAAAACAGTTTTTGTTGCAGCCCAGGCTTTATGCAACATCCCTTGCGCACGCGCAGCACCGACAGCAACAGCAACAGCAGCAGCAGCACGTTGAATTTCCCCTAGAAATGACCAAGCACGGTTCCAGAATCGGAGTTTCGTGCATCAGCAATCCTGCTTTGTCTCTTCGCGTCACTTGCAGCAATGGCAGATGGGTAGCTGGATCCACGACAGCAGCAGCAGCAGCACTTGCCTCCGTACAAGACGATGCTACCCGCCTGGCGGCTTTTGCTGCATCGTGCGTTCATGCCGATCTAGGGGCACCGGAAATCGCAAGCATCACTGGCACAGAAGACGCAACAAGACCAAGGGCGATGCGTGCGGCTTTGAATGCAGCGGCGCAAACGGAGGACAGCGATGCGTTGCTCTCAGGAGCATCAGCAGCAGTAGAAACGGCAGCAGCGGAAGCGGGGGGGGGGGCCCCCCCCGCTTCCACCCCTCTTCAATGGCGAGAACCTGAGCTTCTGCGCTTTGGACCGCCTGTGCTGCGACTTCCTATGGAGCATGACGCTCCGCTTTTCCGCCAACAGCAGCAGCAGCAACAGCCACTAAGTCCTTGCATGGAGGATCTCGTTAAGGCAGTTTCGAAGCTCCTTGTGGGGGAGTGCGGTGCGCTTGCATTCGGTTCCACCCCTTTTAAAGTCGCCTCATTCTGCAAGGGAACCTGTAGCACCTCGTTCAAAAGGGAGCTGCAAGTGGCAGCTGAATGCAGCAGCAGAGCTGCAGCAGCCATTGCAGCAGCTGCGCCTGGGCCGGCAACAACTGCAACATCCGCTCCAGACGAACACCTGCTGCAGACATTCCACCAAATGCTGGATGTCTTTTGTGAGGTCAAGGACGGGGACCACTGCTTTAGCAACGCCGCTGAAACGTTTGACTTCCTGCAGCGGCTTCACCAAACACGACAACTCCAGCAGTTGCTCCAGCAGCACGTCTGCCCTGGAAGCCGCGGCAGCGCATGCTTCAGCAGCAACATCCGCTACATAGCTGTGTTGCAGGAGCTGCGACAGCACATGGACGTTGTGATGCCCGGACTGCAGCAAACGCAGCAGCAGCTGCCGCCCCTTTCTACGTTGGGGGGAAATGAGGCCAAAGGGCCAGAGGAAGGACTTTTAGGCTTTGGTGTGAGAGGCCTCTTGACAGACTTGCGGCGACTTCCGGCGATTGCTTCTCTGTTGTGCACTGCAGTGGACGGTCAGAGCTGCGCTTCCCAGGTGTTAGCTGTTGGAAGCGTCAATCCCTTTGCACCGCTGCCCCCTCCAGAAGCAGCAGCAGGCTTTTGCAGCAGCAGTCCTGAGGCACCGTGTCTCCTCGAGGTCTACAGACTTCTGGGAAAAGAGCTGCTTCAGCCTCACGATGCGGAGACACAGCCGCAAAAGGAGGAGTCGAGAGAGCAGCGGTTGCTACGGCAGCAGGTGCACCCTTTCGACTGGGCCCTAGGCACAACTCTACTCAGCATAGGACGAAACTTTTGCTTGCGCAGCGCAGAAGATCAGATCTGCGGTGCCTTGTTGCTGTCTCCCGATGTTACAGAGCCAGTTATAGCAGCCTTTGGAGCACTAGTGATGCGTCCGTATGAGCCAGTAGCACAAGCGGATCTGCCATACTGCATGTGTCCCTTGGCATTTGTGGGGGATGGAGAGTGTGATCGAAGCTGCAATACGGCGGCCTGCGCCTTTGACAGGGGGGACTGTCTGGCTCAGCAGCAACCCCTCCTGCAGCCTATCCTGGAAAGCCTCGAAGCCGCGACAGTGCACCGCGCAGATTCGTGCTTCCCTTTCCTTAAAGGATTCGATTGCAGCAACAACGAATGTAAACAGGCTATGCGTGGTAAGGCATGGCGTGCTGTTTACACCCTTGGTGGAGTCGCGTGCCCCCTCCCCCCGTGCTAGGGCAATAAAAAAGGACCTTGTTTCCTGCTACGGCAGCCTTTCTCTGGGCATATCCCTCTTGGCCCCCTTCTTTTCTAACCTGTGCTGCAGCCTGTCGTCTCTGGACTCTTGTCGTCTGCCTCTTTTCCCCTTAGTCTTCTCTCTCCTTAGCTCTTTTTTTCGCGCGGTATTTCTAGGAGCCCATGAGGTCCGTCGGGTGGTGCATCTGCTGCCTGTATTTGTGTGGCAGAACTCCAAGCAAGACACGGCTGCTGTCTCGCCCCCCAGCTAGAGCTGCTGCGCGACTTGCTGTCCATAGACGCCTATCAACAGCAACAGCAGCGGCTGCAGCTGGTCAGGCTGCAGCAACAGGCACCAGAGGCGGTGACTCCGCAGTTGCTGCGTCTCGTGGACTCCTTGTGGAACGAGGCCGGCAGCGAGGGCCCCCCCATGGAATACTATAGATCCATAGCATTTTTTGAAGGGGATTGCAAGGTGACAGGAGCTGAAGCCGTGTGATGTTTCTGGTAGTAGCCGTGCAGCCGCCGCTCCAGCTCTTGCGGTATTGGATCCAGCGAGCGTGGCTGCTGCTGTCCTGCTGGTGTTGCTCTTGCTGCTCTTCCATGAGTCCATGACAGCGTGTGTTGATGCCTGTGCGAGGAGGGTGCAATCTGCAGATGGCTTTTGACCGTACCTGCTCTCGAGGGCTCAACCGCTTTGTCTTTTCAGTGGAGGCGACGCTGGAGGGCCTCGATTACGACTCCCTAAGCAGCGGCATTGGCAGCAACACGGAGGAACTGCTGCGACACGTGCTTAGAGACACGCTTTCTGGAGCATTTGGTGTACCCCTTGGTGACGTCCTGCTCGTAAGAGCATGGAGAGGCCTCGACATCCATGCGATCCTGGATGCGGGCCCACTAAGCAACAAAAGCCACTTCCTACAGGTCTCTCTCGTAGAATCCTCAACGCAATCATACACGTGCTGCGAATAACAACTCCTTAGCCTCACGCAGTGTACTGTAGCGAGTAGCAAGAGGGCCTCAACGAAATGCCACGCCTTGCTCCTCAATGAAATGCCACGCCTTGCCGCGTGGAGAGGAAGAGGCCCCATTGATTGCATGTAGCTCCCCAGTGACGCCTCCCGAAAGAGGAGAAAACGGCCAAAAGGCTTTCTCGACTTGCATCACTACAGTAGTACAGTCGACGACGCGTGTAAGAGCGTTGGAGGTGCACACCGGGAGAGACACAGAGGGCCGCATGCTATATAGGGGGAACGTTGGATAGTGTTTACGCCTTTTCTTGTTTTTTTGTCAGGCGATAGAGGTCCTTCGGAGTGACGGATCCTCTGGTTTGTCTGAGCTGCTATCCACTGCACTGCAGCGGCAGCACGCTGGCGCTACTGCCGCCTACCCGAGGCAACGGCGTCTGCAGGAGCAGCCGCTAAGTGCCTTGCAGAAGCAGCAGCATGTATGGGAGGCACTCGTACTGCACCCCGTGCCCCTCCTGCTGCCTGAGCCCCTTTTCACTTCGTCCGCAGTGTCAGTTCGCCCCTCAAGTGTGTCGATCACGCAAGTGGCCTTTGCCTCACCAGGCACCAGCAGCAGCGTCAGTGGCAGCAGACGACAGCAGATGTTGCAGCAGCTCAGACCTGAACGGGGAACGTGGGGTCTTGGACGCGTAGTTCCCCGCGATGTTGCCTGCAACACGAATAATGGCCTTAGCGCTCCTCCCAATGTCTCTGTCTTCGAAGCCTATCGTCTGCACTCTACGCTGACCACAAACAACCACGGCGCTGTGATTTCAGTCCGTCATGCCCCTGTGCCTCTGCTATGCCTGCCTGACTTTGCTCTGCCTGCCCTTACTCTACCTTTGCTCTGCCTGCCGTTACTCTGCCTGCCTGCTTTTGCTCTGCCTTTACTCTGCCTGCCTTTACTCTGCCCTTACTCTACCTTTGCTCTACCTTTGCTCTGCCTGCCTTTACTCTACCTTTACTCTGCCTTTGCTCTGCCTGCCTTTGCTCTGCCTTTGCTCTGCCTTAACTCTGCCTTTGCTCTGCCTTTACTCTGCCTTTACTCTGCCTGCCCTTACTCTACCTTTGCTCTGCCTGCCTTTACTCTGCCTACCTTTACTCTGCCTTTGCTCTGCCTGCCTGCTTCTGTCCGTGCCGTTCACTGATGTGTGCGCCCTTCTCGTCTCAACCGACTCCCACAGGGCCCCCCCTTGTTGCCTGACAGTGCAGCAGCGCGAACGGGTGGAAATGCTGCAGACTGTATGTGTATGTGCACGCATGTCCACTTTGCAGGTTGAATGCGGCCACGGGTATGCCCCCATCGAAGGCCGAAGCCCCCAGGAACTGGTGTGTCAACAGGGTCGGTGGGTGCCGCTTGAGAAGGAGGCAAATCTACCCAGTAGTCCTGAGGACCTTTCTACGCGCATTTTACGCTGTCGAAAGCCTTGTGGGGCTTATGAGGCCTTCGATCCCCTAGTGCTTGGACCCGCCTTCGTGGCCAGCGGCTTAGGAGAGGCAGATGGCGACCACAGGGTTGTCTATTGCGCTTCTGGATTTGTGGCTGCTTCGGATACCATGCCGAGGACAGAAACTGTCGTCTGCAGTAACGGCACATGGAGCAAGAGGCAACTGGAATGCGTAAAGGATTTTGCGGCGATAGCCGAAACAAGCCCTTGTGCGGCCAGCCTCTCACGTCTTCCCCCCACCCTCAAGGTTGAAAGTCTTCCTACGACAGCGACCCAGCACGGAAGCTCCTCGGCAACGCCTCCCATCAATAGTGATGTTGCGGCTGCGCTTGCCACAACATTCCAAAGGGCCGGAGTGTCTTTGCAGCTCTTCCGTATTGGCTGTGCGAGAGGCTTTGTCTCGACTGTGCTGCAGCAACAACAGCCGCTGTCCCCAAAACAGCAGCAGCAGCCCTTTGCGTATGCTGCATGCAAGGATGGGAGGCTACTGGACCTAGGACCGGAAGATCCTCTACCCATGGGGGCCTTCGCCTCTGGGGAGGCTGCGGGGGCCCTCGCTCAGCAGCTCAAACTGCGTGTTGACTCATCCCCTGAGGCGGTTACTGCATATGAAGCTGTCACCGTAGCAGGATCGGGAGCGCCAGCAAAACAGGCGTTTTTGCTTGACGGCAGCTTGGGGGCAGAAGCAACGAACCGAATCGCAGCAGAAGCGCAACAGCAAATTCTTAAAGGCAGAAGGCTGCAGGACCCGACCCCACTTTACCTGGGGGCCTGGCTGGGGTGTCAGCGAGAGCTGAGACAAGAGCCTCACAAGGCCCCTAAACCTGTGAGCGATACGCTGCTGGTGTTCAGTTCTTTGTTGCTGCTTTTCGTGCTGGTGGTAGGAGTTTTGGCCTTCTGGTGGTTTCGCTCCCACCGTAAGGAGAAGAAGGCGGCAAAACTGCAACAGCAGGATGGCGGGGACTATTCTAGACAAACCATTAGCGACCTCAGGGGGGGCTTGTCACCAAGTGAACTTGAAGGGCCCCCAGGCATAGATGTCGGCAGCTCCGCAGAAAACTATGGAGGAGGATCTTTGCAATCCCATCAATTCCTGCAGCGCGAGGGCATCAGCAGCCTAGCTGCTCCCATATTCTCCACGGGGTTATCTGGAGGGCCCTTACCCTACTTGCGTGATGGAGGACTGCTCCTGCCGCAGCAGCAGCAGCAGCAGCGACAGCGCCAGAGGGCTGCGACACCGCCTCCTGCATTTCCTTCGGAAGATACAGCAGGAACGGGAGTGGCCGCTGCCTCAGGAGCACCACCTGCAGATGAGCACTCCCTCGCATTTTATGCTCCCGTGTACTACGCAGGGCTCTCCCGAGACGGAGGCCATTTAAGGCAGGACAGAGGCAGCTCCAGCAGTGGAGGTGGAGGAGGTTGTGGGGGTGGTGGTGGTGCATCTGAGGAGGACAGGATGAGTGCCCACTCCGATTTGCTGCTGCCGCAACACCAACAGCAGCAAAGGCACTTGCTGCAGCAGCAAGCAGCCGCTGCCTCCACCTCTGCAAGAAGGGCAGAGCTTGGGCCTGCTGACACCTTCAGAATCAGAGGGAACAGTCCTGCAGCCGTCAGTGCGGCCTACATTGCAGCAGCAGCCGCTGCAGCCACGGAGCAGCACCACGTGTACCCAGCTGGAGTGCCATCAGCAGGGCATGCCACCCAACAAGTCATGGTCAGGCGTGGCTCCCTTCCCGCATATGCCGAAGGGGAAGACCGCAAGCAGCAACAGCAACCCCGAACAGAGCGCAGTATGTCGCAGCGCTTTAAAGCTCTGACAGAGGAGGCCCCGGCAGTCTTGGGTGACAGCGGTGTTACATCTGCTGGGATTTCTCTCACAGATGACGAAGAGTTGTACCCTGAAGACTCAGCCAGCTGTGTAGCTATGACGGCTGGCCAGAGGCAGGCAACTACAACAGCTGCTGCTTCTTCACGAGGACGGCCTTCAAGGATTCCTAAGAACAAGGGGGCATCCATGACGCACTATCCCTCCTCGCAGGGGCACGGCGGCAAAGGTAGGACTTCAAGAAGCTTATTTCCCTCGGGAGACAGAATGCCTATAAAGCATCTTCACACGTAGGCCTACCTCCACCCAACTGTGTCTCTGATGGCCGCTTCTTCCTCCCTCCCTAGCCAGCCAGCCAATTCCTCCACAAGCAACGGCGGACCACATGCTTAGCGGGACCCCCGTGTACAATGAGGTGGCCACCTAGCTAGGGAACACCGTGCAGCTAGATAGCCTTCAAAGCACCCGTCTACACATTCAGATATTCATGTAAATTTTGTGCGCCTACTCACGCAGCCAGCTCCAGTCTGTATCCCTCGCCCGGCACCTGGCCAACAAAGTCAGGCCCTAGCTAGGCAGTCATATAGCCGTCTTTATGGAGACCGCGCAAGCAGGACATATAATTCATTAGTTTGCTGGGGATGCAGCTGGCTGAAAGCTTTGGCAAGGGAAGAGTGGTAGCTTCGACCGGTTCATCGGCAACCTGCTTCCAATGCTGAAGCACTCTCGAGGCTCTCTCTAGCGCATTCGAAAGTCGTTTTTCAAGCAGTAGCTAACATCGCAAGGCAATGTTGCATACAATGTCGATATAAAAGTGGGAGTGGGACTCAGAGAGTGCTGCCACCAACTTAAAGCTAGGAACAACTACGTTGGGAAATTCTGTTACATGCACAACTGAATTTATGCCCCTAAATCCTTAGTTTTACAGATTTGATGTGTCCAATGAGAAAGGGGAAAGAGTCGTGCCAGAACAGTCGCCCAGGCACTCCATGACCTTCGTACACCCTAAAGAATTGGGCCCTGTGATAGGATTGCTCTAACACAGTGGTAGATGAAACTCGACTGAGCCGCTGGTCTAAGCAGTTGCTGAGGAGAACAATGTTCGTACGACTCCCTTCTCACAGACTGCACACTTGAGAAACAGCTCTAGCTAAGGCAACCGTTTCTTACGGGTTTTCAGCTGGACGGTTGCCCAGTCGATGTAAAGGGTACTGCGCCGCCACGAGCGGGCCCAGCCACCCAAACCACAGAAGGCCCCCTCTTGTGCCCCTCGAAAGAGTGGGAGGCCTCCATATCAGTGCCCTCATGCAGCCCCCCAAAGAGGCACGTGCATCTACTGACTGTGCCTTCAAGGCCTCTAAGAGGATTTGAAGGGCTACAGGAGGGTGTGGCTCCAAAAAGATATATAACCCGGAATCCTCTTAAGGACCCCTGGTGAGCAGGAACACACAAGGATACTGCCCTTCGCCTCAGGAGCACTTGAAATCCCGTGTATAGTCCCCTCTCTCCCCCGCCCCCCCGTCCTACAAGGGCCCTTCAAAGGATCAGAAGATCACTTCCTCTTCTTATTGCCGGCTGCGTTCTTCTTGCTAGGGCGCTTTTCTGGAGCGACTTCGATCGGGGGGACGACACCCATATCTGACGCGTAAAGCTGTGCAATTCGCTTGGGGTCATGGGGGGTCCAGTTGATGGGGTTTCGTTTGTAGATCGGCCAGGAGGGGATGCACACGAGGGCGGCGACAAGCGTCGTTGCCAGGACTGTTAGGAAGCAATCATAGAAAGACTCCGTGAAGAAGCCCAGGAGGAAAGCACACAGAGTTCCAGCGACAGAAATGTGCACGAGGAAATCCTGCAGCCGATGCTGGGCCTCAAAGTCTACCACTCCCTCTTTCAATGCGTCCACCGTCCGGCGAAGGCGTTGAATCATTGTCGAGAATAGGAAACTTTCCGGTTGGTTAGCAAGTAGAAGCGTGACATAAGATTCAACAATTCAACGCACGCTTCTTCAAAACCCTCCCTGTTCCCTTCTGCCTCGTTTTCCTTCTACCCCTTTCCTCTGACTGAAGCCTGTGCGGCCGGGTCAACTAAGGGGCCAGTAGGGTCTCCTCCGTGACTCGGCGTATTCCCGAGCTCAATGGGAAAGCGCTGCGTTTTCGATGTTCTCCCAGTCTCTGCGATGCTCTGAATATGCGAAGGAAGAGGGGGGCGTCTCAGGCTGCAAAAGTCCCAAAGTCCTTGGGGTTACGGTTGTAACGCTGTTCACCTCAGCATGCGTCAATAGGAACACAGGCTGAAACAACAACAGAGATCAAAACTCAGACAAATTTAGTAGGATTGAAGGAGAGCTTCTCAGGAGCCAGACGTGTGAGACTGCAGCTGGTGCTGTGTTCCTCACGGGCTGGGGCGTCCGGGCCCCCAGACAATCATCAGTGTGCTGCCTTAGATGGAAAGCACCTGTCTTTCCAACGAATTCATCAATGCGGAAGACAAAGATGTTAATACAAAATTAACTTAGATAACCGTTAGGCGGTAGAGTGAGTGGATACCAGGTGTCGGCTCTTCCCCCTCCCGGTACCCCGAAACCAGGGAGCAACACGTTGCTGCAGGGCGTTATTTCCCCGTAGAAAGCTCTTCACCTTATCATACTTTAGGACGAGGGGGAACTCTGAGGTGATTTCCGGGCCCTTCCACGGCGCTCCTATGCCGCGCTGCTACGGCATGTCTGCGGTGAAATGCTGGGAAAGTGCTTCCTGCGATGGGAGGAAGCTAAGTGGTTGTGTCAGTCTCAGCGTTACGATCGACTGACATAGGGCTGTGGAGATGTATATATGTCTTGGGGCATCTCAGCAAAGACGCCTGTCTTGAGTACATCTGTAACGCACCATCTGTGGTCTCCCTGCGTCGACACTTAACTCAAGGTTCAATACAAACTCAGTAGAAAGTAAGTGAGTGTTCCTAAAAAGAGCACCCTTCCTCCTCTGCCCGTTTATATCATAGTTCTTGACATGGAGGGAGAAAAACTGCTAGAATGCACGTAGCTACACCCTTCAAGCACTCCGCTACACTTCACCACTAGTCGCACGTAGCCCCTAGGGTACACGGACACTACATTGTGTATTGTTTACCAGAATGGCATTACTTTGCAATAAATAAAATATTCCAACGGACAAACCAATTGGGCAGCTCTTCTGGCCACTTCCTTATAAAATACAACCAGCTTAGTAGAAGTGGTTGAGTGTTCTTTACCTAGCAACAGTAACGGGCCTACTTGGGGATGCCTCTACATGCGGGGGCAGGGCCCTGAAAAAACAAAGCTCGCGCGTGCACTTTACACCCTCGGCACAACAGGCATGCCTTTGGGCTGCGGCGTGGCTGCCCGTCGTCCACCGGCGGCAGCCTAGGGGCTTCGAGAGGCTGATGGCCTCTCTAGAGCGTAACTGCCATTTCCAGCTTGCTTACACGCAAAGTCTGGTTTAGCTACGCTTTTCCACATCCCAGGAGCGCGGCAGCGCTCCCAGCATGCGTTATAAAACATGCAGCACTTCATACAACATGCAAGAGCACGCAGAGCCCGAGCCCCTCGAGCATACATGCCGTTTCCCACAGAAGGGTCTCTATGTAAAAACCGGCCAACATATTGGCACATCCACGAATAAATTCGATTCAGGGCTTCAGCGTACTCTACATAACTAAAATGTAGGTAAGGCGCTCATACAGAGGCTCGCTCTACGTGTTCGGGTAACGGATACCTACTGCACAGAAAATCACATACAACCCTGGATGCGTAAGTCGATCATACACACAACTCTGCGAGCTCACATAAGCGTGCACATATATCACAGGAGGCACACCATAGGGCACACCCGTTCGTCTAAAGACCGATAGCTTCCTTCAGACTCTTCGCAGCTCGGAAATCTGCCGATAGATTGGCCAACCCCGGCGCTGCAGCGCTTCCGACACGCGCAGCCTAAGTACAGTCATAACTGACCGGAGACCTCCTACGCATGGAAAGCTTTGAAGAAACGGGGGCACTGCTGCTCCGTCAGCACTGCACTACGCGCGGGATTAAGCCGCAAAGTCGGTAATACCCCGCAGAAATACATTTGGAGAAGGCGGGTAGAGGCGGCGAATGAAGCCTACACAAGACAAAAAGACTCCGTGGAGAGGAACTAGGAGAGGATGTTGTTTTTTGGCAATGCCCAGAAAACCGCCCTCCTTCAGTACCCCCGACGGCTACCTTTGAAATGCCACAAAGGCCCCTTCCGTGACTTCTGTGTTTTCTGCAGCCGCAAATGCGATTGCAGCTGCCCTTTGAACCGAGGACGAAATCGATTTGACAAGAGGGAGGTAGAGTGGCAACTGGAGGGTCTAGGTTTCTTTCTGTTGCGGAATGTTCGCTTCTCCGAGTCTCTGCGTGAGCCTCAATGTCTCGTTGCCACAGTTATCTGGCCAGTCAACTGGGCATAGCTGCTGCCACACATCGCCTTGCACATGCTGGGACCGATCATCCTGCTGCTCCTTTTCGTGCTGCTGTGGCGCAGGCTCCGTAGATGGCTCCCCTTCTAATGCTTGCTGCTCCTGATGCCTGTGCTGACTGTGCTCTTCCTCCTCATCTTGCCTTTCGTCAGCCTGCTGCCCAACAAGTTCAAGCAAAAGCTGCTGCAGCAAGTCCTCCGCCTCTGCCTGCTCCTTCTGTTGAGGTTGCTCTTGCTGCTGCGGTGTAGGGGTATCCGAGCATGGCTCGCGCTTCAGGCTAATTTGCTGTAGCGCTAGTGGCAGCAAATCCGGGGTTACCACAAGGACCGTAGAGTTTGGTGCTGGGGGATCGCTTGCAGCTGAAACAACGCCATCACCTGCCGCTGTTGCTTCTGATGCTGCAAATCCAGCGGCTTTTGACTCAGCTCTCGTATGCAGCGGCCATATTTGAGTCCTCCTGCGCTCGCCTGTGGAACCCCCGCTGCCCTCTTCTCGCTCATCGCAGGCAGCAAAAGGCGGGGTACCCGCAGCAAACATGATGCTCCTCCGCTTCCTTCTAGACTTTAAAGGTCTTTCGCAACCTTCTTCTGGCGGGTTACCTTCCTGCCGTCCATGCGGCTCCTGCCGCTGCGACTGCTGCTGCTGTAGCAGCGCCTGCAGCTGCCGACATTTTTGCTTCTTCTCGTTTAGGAGACGGCAGCACCCGAGGAGCAGCAGCTGCCTTTGTTGTTGCGCGGTGGCTGCAGTCGCTTCCATGCAGCGCACATTTTGTTGAAGCTGCTGCATGAGGCCTGTCGCAGCTTTCTGCATCTGCTCCAGCTGTCTCTGTTGCATTTGCTGCTGCATCAGAGCGGCTTCAAAAGTCTGTCTGCTGGCAACAGTGGCAGACACGAGGGATAACCGTGTGGGAAGGCACAGCTGCACGAACATGAGGCCCTCGCTGCACAGGAAGAGGGAGAGCAGCATCTCTGCCTTCGCTGTCGCCTTCTCCGAAGCCGCAGGCGCCACACAAGACCCTGATGACATAGAGCTAGTGCTTGATCTACTCGGGTGCAGTACAATCACAACCTTGCTCTTGCCGCTGCTGCCCGTGCTAGTGATGCCCCCTAATGCAGAAGCAAGACTGGCTGCAGCAGCAGCACTGCGGCGGAGGGGTTCGTACAGGTCAGACACCCGAAGAAGACCTTTGGCATATCTGCTGGGAGGTAGATGCACGAGCAAACTGCAGATGATCGCACTGTCGGACTTGCGATTGGGAATGACATTACTGCCGTCCTCCGGTGAACTGCTGGCGCTCTCGCCACCTCCATGCTGCACCGGTTGTGACGCAACGCCTGCAGCTGTTGCTCCAGACTCTGAAGAAGAAGGCGCAGGCGGATCCACAGGGCCCTTTGCTGCAGCAGCAGCAGGAGCAGCAACGGGAGGAGGAGGGTCACTGTGATGAGGCCACCCAGCAGGATACCACTGGGAACAGATCTGAAGAGGCACACGCTGAGAGCACTCAGCAGCACCATCCACACTGGTGCACGCCTTGGGGTTGTTGCAGAAGCAGAGGAAACCCCATGTTGCACAAAACCGCATCGAGACCTCTGAATTCGGGCATGTTGGAGCTTGCGTTGTTGCTTGAGCGGCCTTCCACTCCATCAGACGCCCCTGGAATATCAAAGCACTGCTTTTGGCTGTATTTCTGGTCTTGGTGCTTCTCCAGCCGGCCGCTGCTTACCTGTTGCTTCTCCTTCGCGGCGGAGTACGCGCTGCTAGCGCAGATTCCGCCGCGGCTGGCCTTGCCACGCCTGCCTGCTAAGCCCTACTGGCGACGGTAGGCATACTTGCGAAAAAACAAACCCGATGCGGGTGTCACCTGCTCGGGAAGCTGTTGTTGCACCCCCCTGCTTGTGCTATGGTTCGTGTGTGGCTTAGTCAACGCGGCTGGGGTTGGGGGGGCCTCTGTCGGCGGCGCAAGGCGACATCGAATACAGCGAGAAGGCACACATTAGGATGCCGATTGATGAAGGAATTGAGGAATGAGGCTTATGCGCTAGTGTTCGTAGTATTTTTATTGGTGTTTCCGCGCGGCAAGCACCGCTCTTCCGCTGCGAACACGGTAGCCCCCGAAGCCGCATAGAAGCCGGAGGGAAGGACCAGCGGCAGCACCACCGGCAAAAAGAGGGGCTTTGCTCTTAAGCAGTGCTCAGTTGTGCTGCCGAAGTTACTTCTGTCTCTATTGCGCGTTGCAGCGACAGAACCTACAGCAGCAGAGCAGAGAACGGCAGCAGCAGTAGTACAGAGGTGGCACAGCACGTCATGCGCAGTCGCAGCCACACCAATGTTAGCGGAGCGCCCATACTCGTCCTTGTTACTCACACAGTGCAACGGCAAAAGCGATTCCAGAAGCTGCAACAGCACTACGAACACCAAAGGAAGCAGCAGCATCCACTAAGGGCGACCTTCGACAACCGCTGGCTTCAACAAGAACAGGATTAACAGCACCCCCTAGCAGCGCTCATCAAGCTGAGCCTCCCTAGGGAGGCTGCTGCCATGCCTGCGCCGTCTGCCCGCGAATCCGCCGCTGCTGCTGCCGTACGAGTGGTAGCCGGCGAAGTAGCGGGCCGTTCTTCGAGCCTCAGCAGTCCTCCTACTGCCTAAGCAGCAGCAGCGGCATGAATAGGAGCAGCAGCAAGAACAAGAGCGGCATGAATAGGAGCAACGGCAGCAACAACAGCAGCAGTAGTAGCAGCAGCAAAGGCAGCGCTCATGCAGCAGAAAAGCAGGGGGTGGGCATCATGTGCTCACAGACGTGGGGACAGTGCAAACAATGCGAAGGGGACGGCTGCAGCACCTGCTGCAGCACTTGAGGCGCCAGCAGGAGCAGGAGCAGCAACAGCAATATCTGCTGCTCTTCCGCCCACGGAGGCAAGTAGCAACTCAGGCCAGCCGCGGCATGCTCGCCGAAAGTCGAGAAAACAGCAGCAGCAGGAAGCAGCAGCGAAGCGGAAGGCAAAGAACGCTCTCAATGCGAGTAGCAGCAGCAGCAGCAGTAGCAGCAGCAGAGTTACTCAATGCATTTGTGGATTTGAGCTGCGGCCAGGGAGCAGCGGCTTTGAAGAAATAGCAACGCGGGTGCTACAGCGGCAACAGCGTCTCCCACTGAAGGAGTCGGTACAGCAGGAGCAGCACTCATGCTCTGATGAACTGATGGACGAAATCAGGGCAGTGGATGCTCTGTATCCTCCTCTTCTGCTGCTGCAGCCAGGGTACGCTGTGTTGCTTGCTGTTCTCTTGTTCTCCTGCTGCTTCAGGTTTGCTTCTTTTTCTAGGCTCTAGAGGTGTAAGAGGCAGCTCACGGCTGCGGCTGCTACCCTTCCCAACTCCCTCAGGCCGCAGCAACGCCGCATTGCTGCATCTGTGCGTTGCGTTTTCAGTCTCCTCTCTGAATGTTTTTTGGCCGAAGTCGAGCACACGCGTGCTGCAGCGGCTACTGCTGCTGCTGCAGTGGCTACTGCCGCTGCTGGCATCAGTGATTGTAGCAACAGCAGCAGCAGCAGCAGCAACACGAAGGTGACTCCTTGGGATGCAGGTCGCTTATTCACAACACCGTGCAACACGTTCTTGCTGCTTTCTCCCATGAACTGCTTCTACTGCCGACTCGACGGTGTCTCTGCCTCTACTGCTGCCGCGTCTGCTGGAAGCTGCGCCAGCAAAGCAAAAGACGAGGGCAGCTCCTCGCACTCGGAGAGCATCCAAGTCAAGACTTGTGAATCTCCCAGGAAAGTGTGCAACAGAGGGCCCAGCGGTCCTACCAGTTCCAGCAGGAGCAACAGCAGCGTACAAAGCTGTACGGCGGAAATGCTTCGGCCAGAGCAGCAACTGCTCGCAGCCTTCCGCTGCCTCTGCGAATGCTGCGGTAGCCGCCTAGCAGCCGATGGACGCATTCTGCGTAGCAGCAGCAGCAGCAGCAGTCGACGCAGCAGCGCAAAAGACTCGGTCCGCATTTTGTTTCGTATCAGCACGTCCAGGGCAGAAGAGCACGCAGCAGTCGTGGATGCTCTCTTGCCTCCGACGTGCGTGATATGACGCTGCTGCTGCTGCTACTTCTTCTTACTGCCGTGCAAACTGCCGGCTTATGGACTCCCTACGATTGCGTTTTAGGCTCGCACTTGGCTTTTGCTGCCGTCAGTAGGACATGCGGTGTACAGACCTCGGCGCCGTCCAGCTGTCTCGGAGGCTCCGCGCGATATTATTTCGACGGCGGTCTTGATATGTGTGTGTATGTATATGTGTGTATGTATGTATATATATATATATATATATATATATATATGTGTATGTGTGCGTGTGTGCGTGTGTGTGTGTGTGTGGCTGCAGATATCCGGCTATGCGGCCTACGGTTTGCATTGGTCTTACCTGCAGCCCTTCGGAGGAGAGGCTAGCAACGCTGATGCATCATTTGTCGACTGCGTACCATAAGGAGCCGTGAGCCTTGTTGCGATTTCTGGCTGTTGTAGGGCTGGTGTTTTTCTCTTGTGGTTGTTAGGTGTCTGTTCTCGAGGTTGGGAGTTTCGCCGCCATTGTCACTTTGCTGCGTCCGTTGTTGCTGCTGACGGCTTCTGGCTTGTGATGGCACTGCTACCGTTGTTGCGGCAATTTCAGGCGGGAAGTGTTGATGCATGCACTGGCCCTTCACGTAGAAACATTCTTGATGGAGCTTCCCTCGCAGCCAAACCTCTGGGAAGAGATGCAACAACGGGTGCAGCTCAGACTGCAGCAGCAGCAGGAGAGGCAGCATCTAGAGCAGCTACAGCTGCAGCTCAAGCGCGATCGCGTTCGGCAGGCGACCCTCAAGAAAGGCACTAAGGTAGCTGCGGCAACATCCGAGGCCGAAGCAGCAGCAGCTGCTGCCGCAGGCGATGCAGCAACAGCGCAGCAGCAGGCAGCAGAATTCCATATGGCAGTTGCTGCTCGACTCCGCAAAGACAGCAAGCTACGCACTGACGATGCCCCCCTGCCTTCCTTGTTAGTTACACACGGCCGCTGCCACGCTCGTTCGCGGCTTTTTGTTGGTGCTCCCGCTGCTCTCCTGCCTCCACTCTTTTATAACGGTTTTTCTGCTTTGCTTCGTGCGCTGATGATAGTGATGCGAAGTTATCGGCTGTCTTGCTGCCCTGCTCTCCGCGGTGGGCTCTATGAGGCCAACGGCAGCGTGAACGCAATCTTGCAAGGCGTCATGCTTGCTACCTTGTTGCGTCGCAGTCATGAGTCTGGAGGGTTGAGGGAGTCTTGTTTTTCTTCACCCGTCGCGAGAGATCACACACCTGGTCTGCAGGTGCGTTCTACGTCGCTGCTTCTCTTGCTGCTCCCGCCCTTGGACTCCCTATTTTGGCGAGACGCATGCTCGTGTGCTTGCTGCTGCATGTCTGCTTTCACAGAGCTACTTGTACGGAGACACGGCTCTCGACTCCTTCACCTGCAGTTCTAAACACCACCGATCAAGCCCTTCACAGGTTCGTTTATTTCTGCTAGGACACCTCTGGGTGCTCTTGATGCATCCCCCGCTGCTTTACTACGTACTAAGTGCGGCTGTTTCACGAGTTGCCGCAGCTAACAGATGCCGCCGTTGTAGAAACATCTGTCGCTCCAGCTCTGCTCCCCTTAAACTGGGGGGGCTTCTTTGGGTGGATTCAGACGTCTGTTTTATGCACTCTGTTGGCTGTTGATGCTGCCCGCAGCGGAGCCTGAGAGCAGCGTATATAGCTGCATGCACAGCAGCAGGAGAAACACGCATTGCTCGCGGTGAAGACGGCAGACTGGCAACACCGCCTTTGCCAAGTCAAGAACGGCTTGGGCTTGGTGCAGAAAGGCCAGCAGGGGCCATAGCAGCTGCAGCTCCTCTCGCTGCCGCTACAATGCCTGTTCGTTCACCGGATGCCAGCAACACCACCAACAGCGAAGCGCCTTCTGCTGAAGCGCAGTACCAAAGCATTCGCCGCTTCCTACACCACATCGTTCACCAGCAGCCCAAGTACCGAAAAGACTTTATGCTTATTGAAGTAAGGGCTGCTGCTGGTGCTGCTGCTGCTATCGTTGCTGCCATGTTGCCGCAACTCCGAGGGGACAGCGATCTCAGGTCGTGAGAAATGGGGGTTTCAACATGTATCTCTCCGTTCATTGTATTTTTGCTGTTGTGTAGCAGTAGCACCACAACTGCTGCTGCTGCTACTGGTGCTCCTTCTGCTGCGCTGCACGTACAGGTGTTGTCTTCGCGGCCGAACAGACGGAGCTTTCTCGTGCGGCACCTGATAGACAGCAGGCTGTACGTTGTGAAGGAGCTTTTCTTTTACATTCCACAGTCAGTCCTGCAAAAGGCCAGTGGAGCGGTAGACGAGCAGCAGCTGCAACAACAGCTGCAGCAGCAGCTGCAGCAGCGGGAGCCTCCTGACGAGCAAGAGAGCGCACAACTTTTGCTGGAACAGGGATTGAGCCAGGCACCGCAGCAGCAACAACCGAAGGTCAAGAAAAAGGGTAAGAAAAAGCACAAGATGCAGTATACGCGTGTGTATGATGACTCGCCACAGCGCCAGCCGTACAAGCTGTCGCACGAACAGGAAGAGGACATGCGGCAAGAGAAGGAACTGCTGCAGCAACAACAGCTGCAACAGCAGCAACAGGGGCAGCAACAAGTGCAACAGGGGCAGCAGCAGCCAAATAAGCTGTCTGGGCTTGAGGTGGCAGCAGAAGCTGAACGTGTTCTCCACGAGGTTGCGATGCTCTGCACGTTAGAACACCCCGTAGGTTTTGCCGCTGCTTTGTAGGTGTCGCCAGGTGTGCGTCTTTGAGCGATTGTCTCGGATGTGTCGACACGGGGTGCGTCGATATTGGCAGCGAGGCAGTACATGGGAATCTGTTTGCAAAGACATGGTATCAAAGCGTTGTTGCCTTTTGGTGTGTTTTTCTTTTCTTACTATTGCTGTTGCTGGGGGATGGCGCTGCTACGCATTAGTGATGTGCCTGTTATGGCTGTGCGTGGAGTCTCTCTCTACGTGCGTTGCGTGTTGCAGTTCTTGATGCGGTATCACCAGTGCTGGTCGCAGCTGGTGCAAAAGCAGTCGAAGCCGCCGACTAGCAGCGCTTCGCCAGTTGGCACGCAACGCCTTACGTCCAGTGTGGCTGCTGCTGCTGCGTTTAACAGTCCTGCTGCTGCTGAAGGGGGAATGATATCAGAGCCAGCCTCACCGCCGTGGAACCCCGCTAGACGTACAGCCAGCACCAGCAGCCACGGAAGCAGCAGTAGCAGCAGCAGCAGCAGCAGCACCAGCAGAGACAGGTCCACAGCGGCAGCTTTTGTTGCAGCAGCAGCAGCAGCGCAGCCACGTCGCGGAGGGATGTCAGGGAGGGGTACAGCAGCAGCAGGCATCGCATCAGGGGCAGCAGAGGAGCATAAGCAGCTGTCCGTCTTCGTCCAGATGGAGTATCTGGCTTTAAGTCTGCACCGCTTCACCCAAGAGGGGAAAACACTGCATATTGCAGATGTGTGGAGGCTCTTTATGCAGGTACTACAAGCAGTTTCTGCTGCTGCCCATCCCGATGGTGTTGGTTCTTATTTGAGGCTAGGCTGTGTCACAGGATGATTATAAGCACTGCTGTGGCTTGTCTGTACTTTTGTGGCTAGTCTGTCTGTCTGTCTGTCTATCTGTCTGTCCCTCTCTCGATCGATCGAATGCGTATTCTGGCGCCTCAATTTATCCTTTTTTCCTGGGAAAACCGCTTACCAAGCTTTGTTTTATTGCGTTCTTAACCCCGCAGCTTGTGGAGGCAATGGTGTGTGTTCACCGCGCTGGGATGTGCCACCGTGCATTACGTCCAGTCAATATTTTTTTAATAGAAGGCCGTGAAGGTCTCATAGCGAAGGTGCGTTTTTCTAGAAAGCTGCAGATGCCCCTGGATGCTCGTTGCGCATGCATGCATTTCCCATGCGGCAACTGCTTTGGTAGTAGACGATTTGGCAGCCCCCACCCGCCTGTCCAGTCCCTTTTTTCAGTGTGGTGTGTCTACGGACGAAAGCCCCTCGAATCGTCAGAGCATTTGCTCAGTGTGCCTGCCTCCGTCTGCCTTGTTTTTTTGCTTTTCAAACGCCTTCTCTATGTTCGTGCTTCTTTTGGTCGTAGCGCTTCCCGTGTGCCTCTCCCTGGGTTGCTCTTAAGACTTTTGCCTGCCGCTGTCACTCGCTCACTCACACTGCGCGGTCCTATGGCTGCTTTCTCCCGCCCCTAAGCGCTTGCCCCTGTGCTGAAGGTTCTCTCGCCTTTCCTCTTTGGGAGTGGCAGACAGACTCCGTAACAATCTCGAGGCTTCCCCCAACCCCCCCGTTAAGCCCGCACGGCTCTGGAGAGTCGGCGTCCTCCGAAGCCTGTCAGGGAGGCTGTCACTTTTTTTCTGCAGGTGGGAGATTTCAAATTGAAGGAGGGCTTTCCCTCCGACTACGCTCACACGGCATTTGTTGCTCCGGAAGTTCTTCGGGGGGAACATTTCACCGACAAGGCAGACATTTACTCCCTCGGGTCCGCACACCTTGTACCGCTTTTGCTGCTCCTCCTCTTGCCGTCATGGCCACTTCTTTCGCTGATTTTGCACATTTGGAACGTTTCGCCAGCGTCTAAAAGCTTCTGCCGCCTCCTTGCAGATGCCGTAGAGAATGCGTATGTATGTATGTATGTATGTATGTATCTGTCTATCTATCTATCTATCTATCTATCTGTGTATGCATGTGTGTTCTCTTCGCCGCTCAGAGTGCTCTTCTTGGAGCTGTGGCTTCTCTGTCCAGTGGTTGCTCGGCTCACCAGCCGTGACGGTATTCGCACGAATTTCAGGAGCTGCATGCCACCGCGCGCAGTCGTCATTGCAGAGTGCGCAATCTCTGTTGGTGCTCATGGGTGGTTTGCTGCCGTTGTTTTTGATTACGAAAAGACTGCTGCTCGTGGAGGCCCCGCTGTCGCTATTGCTGCATCGTCAGACGTGCAGCTCTGCGTAGTCTGTTGCAGAGACCAGGCAAAACGTCCCTACGCCATGGGGACGAAGTTGAACGGCTTTTGTATGCGCTGCTTATGTGATGCTGGCTTGTGGGTGTTGCAGGATGTTGTTGCAGGAGGAGCCACACCAACGGCCAACTTCGTTGCAGCTGCTGCAGTCAGGGGCCCTCCCCCCCGCTGTAGATGCGGAGCTGTTTGAGGCATTTTTGCTGCGCGTCGGGAACTGCTCGACAGCTGAAGAGGACCCTCCGCCTTTGACTGCGGCCTTTTCAGGGGCAGCAGCAACAGCAGCAACAGCAACAGTGGGGTCAGCAGCGGCGAGCAGTGTTTCAGCAGCAACAGCAGCAGCAACGTCATCGCTATCGCCACCGATTATTGGGGGGTCTTTTGTGAGCCAGCAGCAGGGACGAGGGCAGCCTGCGACTGGTGTGGACGGTGCAGGAGCGGCGCCTCTTGCCCCTTCAACAGCAGCCACAGCAGCTGCCGCAGAGGGTGTAGCTACCGGGTTTGATGCAGCAGCAGCAGCAGCTCCTGGCCTCAGAGTCCGTCCAATGCCACACTCTGGGTACAAACAGATAATCGACAAAAGCAGCAGAAACAGCAGCAGCATGAGTGCACGCGTGAGGCTTACGCGCGAGGTGCTCGACGTGCTCTTCGCGAGGCCCCTTGATCCAAGAAGCCGGTGGGCTTTTGTTGACGCACTGGTACGTGGGCTCCCTCGCGCACAGCAGAAGCATTTGCTCCTGCTATCGCAGGAGCAAATGCTTCTGACGGCGTCTGTGTGTCTGTGTGTGTGGTGCTTCATTAAGCATAGCAGACAGGAGGAGAGGAGGAGCCTCTTCCAGGCCTGCTTTCCGTCGCTTTGAGCCTTTGCGTCTGCGCACAGCAACAGGAAGGCGCCACCCAGAACGGAGGCATGGGAGACCTCAGGGGTTTACTCTGCAGTGTCACGCTGCAACATTTCGCAGCACACGGGGCTTCCCATCATCCTTTGCCGCTTTTCTGCCCAGCAGTCGGCCCCACTCCACGTCAGTTACTCCCCACGCCTCCAGCTTCTATCCCTCTCTGTGTGTATATGTGTGTGTCTGTTGTCTGTGTGTCTGACTGCGTGTCTCTCTGTGTGTCTATGTGTGTGTTGTCTGTGCGTCTGTCTGCGTGTCTCTCTGTGTGTCTATGTGTGTGTTGTCTGTGTGTCTGTCTGTGCGTCTATGTGTGTGTCTATGTGTCTCTCTGTTTGTCTGTGTGTCTGTCTGTCTATCTTTTCCCACTACATATCCTCCTGTTTTCCTCTTACCTTTTACCCAAGTACCTTCTTTGGCCTGACAGGCGGATTGCGCATGAGTCTCAATACTGAGAGCTCAATACGGCGCGGCTCTCCTGGCGATGGTCTCTATTGCCTGTCTCCCTCCCTGTCTCGCCTTGCTGCTTGCGTCTTTCTCCCTCACCCCTCCCCTCATGCTATCTGTCCCCCCGCCTTCCGAGTTCGTTTGCTCGTGCTTCTGTCTGCTGCCTTCTCCGTTTTCCCAGCAGCAACGGGGGTCGTCGCTCTAACGGCCTCGAACATGCTCCTAACCCCCACCGTCCGTCTCTCTGCTGCCTTTGCTGCGCTGGATGCTGCTGCTGCTGCCGTTGCTCCCCCACTCTGCAGCACCATGCAGCAGCAGCTGCCTCCCACTGCACTCGCCGCAGCAGCATCTGCGGCAGCAACACGAGCAGTCCCCGGTAGCCACGAGTGGCAGCACTTTGTAGGGGCAGCGGCAGCAGCATGCGCTGCCGTGGCTGCAGGGCCCCTTCAGCCACAGCAGCGCATGCTGCTCGACGGGGAGGTACTGAAGAGGTCGTGCATAGGTCCAGTCTACGCTTCGGAAGAGGTAAAAAGGTCACTGGCAGTCAGCGGAAACAGCAGAGATGGGAGAGGCCCAGAGACAGAAATATCTGAAATTCTAGCGTACAGAGAAAGGCTCAGGCGCTATCGCGGCCGCCTTCGCTTGCTCGTTGCTCTTTTGTGAGTGCTGCTGTTTTGCATTTCTCACTCTTCATGAGGGGCTGGCTGTGGAAGCAGATTTCGGGGGCGCCTGTCCTGCATGCATCTTGCAGGAGCAACAGCAACAACGAGACAAGGCAAGAGGTCCCTTTGGGCAAGTGCTGCCGCAGCTCGTTGGATGCTTCCAGATCCTGTATCCTCATAAGCCGCCAGCGCAGCAGCCGCCTCCGTCGAATCTACTGCAGCACTTATTCCCCCCTACGTCGGGCTGTCAGGCAGAATCGCGGTCGAGTTGCGGGAAAGGCAGCACTAGTGCATGCACCCAGCAGCAGCAGCGGCTGCTGCACCATCATCAGCAACTTCAAGGAGACGAGCAGAAGGGGCCGAGACAGCAGGTTCTTCAGAAGATGCTAGGCATTCTGTCCAGTGAGGAGCAGCAGTTGGTTGCTGCTGAAGGGGAACTGCTGCTTGCAGCAGTTACCTCCCTGCAGCAGCTCTTGCAGGCTGCTGCATTGCCACCATCCATTGGGCGTTTGGAATGGGCCCTTCCACAGCTCCTTAGGGTCATCCTCCAGTAAGCAAAGCTGCATGCTGTGCATGAAGGCGCATGCTTTATGTGGTGGTGGTTGTATTTCCGCTACACATGCATGTGCGTTCACGCATGTAGAACACCCGCTGCTACAAAAAATACTATGCGTTTCTTTCCGCAGCAGTCCTTGATGCTACAGGCTACCCCGCTTCTTCTCGCTTTGTTCCTGCTGCACCTGCTCCGTGGCCGGAGCTGCACGTAATGCATGCATGCTTCAGCGCCTATGATGGGTGCTGCTGCTGTGGCTGCTGCTGCTTGTCAGGCTGTTTTTCAGGGTTCCTCAGTCAAACGTGCACGAAGCAACGTTGCAGCTGCTGCTGCTGCAGCAACGGCGACAGCAAAAGAAGCAGCAGCAGGCAGCTCGCCAGACTGCTCAGGAGCAGTTTATACCGTTTTCCACTGTCACCGCGGCGGACTGCGATCGCGTCCTTTCTGTAGGCCCGTTAGCGCCTCTGTCTCTGCATCACCAGAGCTGCAAATTGTTTTTCTTCTGCCAGTGCTCCTCCCGCATGTCTGCTGCTGGGTACTTTTTATTGACTAATCCTCCTTGGTCGGAGGCCGATTGTGGCAGTGTCGCGTGTCGAACATTCTCTCTTGCGCCGCAGCGCCTGTCCAATTTGGAAGACGTGCAACTAAATGCCGCGGCCGAGCAGCTGCAGCAGCTGCTGGCGTTCTCCGGGGAGGTTCTCCAGCTGCTGTCGCTACTGCAGACAACATCAAATCGCCTTACAACCAGCAGCACCCAGCAGCAGCCACACCAGCTTTGCTGGGATTCCCAGTCAGAGTTGGCTTTAGCAGCGGAGCTGGAGAGAGAGCTTAGCCATGCGCTGCACCTCTCGCTGCTTCTGCAAGCAGCAGCGGACGCCTCTACTGGCCGCTGCTGCTGTATGCGGCTATTAATGCCCTTGGAGAGTCCAAATTATGATACCGATGTAGGGATTGCTGCCACTTTCAGGATCCCTTGGTCTTCTGCTGTGTCGTAGCTTGCCACTGCTTGTTTTGCTGGTCTTGCATTCGTGTAGCTGTCCCTGCTACTGAAGGCTGTGTTTATGTATGTGTTTACGTATACATATATACATGTATATGTGTGTTTCGTATGCGTATGCTCCTACAGCGCCTGCTTTTTGGAGTGTTTCTGGATGTTTCGGTCTTGTTCGCGCAACCCCACGGATACTCGCATAACCCTGCCGCTACTTCCTGCCTCCCGGATACGCAGATGGGAGAGCAGCAGCCTTACCAGCAGCCACTTCAGTCACTGTCGCGGTTCACGAGGGTTGGTGGTGGCGGCTACATGAGGCCTTTCCTTAGGAGCTTCGCACCAGCAGGAGCAGCAGCAGGTGGGGCTCCTGTTGTCACATGCAAAGCAGCAGCGGCGAGTGGCTGTGCTGCTGCAGATGCAGCGGATGCCTCAGCAGCATCCTCAGCAGCAGCAAGAGAAAGCAGCAGAGGGGGAGAGGCCTGCGAGAGGGAGACGCAGCGTGGCTCCCTGGTTCTCTCCTTTGACCTTGACTTAGAGTCCGTCATTTCCCTCTTCTCGGGTGCAGACACAGCAGCAGCTGCTGTTGCCGCCACGGCTGCACTAAAGCGGCAGCAGCGAGAATATGAGGCCAATGGTGCGGCGTTATTGGAGGCTGCTGGGATTACACCTGCTGAAAATAGCGCAACAGAGCAGGAGGGGGCCCTCATGCGTACCGCCACCGTTGAAGGGTGGACAGATTTGCTCCTGCCGCAGAAGCATTTGCAGCAGCCTATGCCGCAACAGCACTCCCCGCTGCAACAGCTGCGGAGAAGCAGAGAGCCATGGGTAATCCTCACAACTGCTAGTAGCCGCCTTGTTCCCTTAGGGGTTGCCGTGGCGAATCGTCTCATCCGAAGGGGCGTGGCAGTAAGTCTACCGACTCCGCTGGCGTGCTTCTGTTGCTGATGCATTTTTGCCCCTGCTGTATGTGTCTACGCCTCGCATGCTGGCCTTAGTTAGCGGGTTCATTACGTGTGTAGCTTTGCACATGAACACAAAGGAGCCGCTTGTACACCGCACATCCCGTTTTCGTCTTGCAGCTGCTGTTCTGGCAAGACAAGGATTGCTAAGCGAGCCTTCTCCTCCTCTGCTGTTTCTGTGTATTCAGGCTGTGATGCGGATACAGCCGGTCATCGAGGTTTCGCGCTTCCAGGAGACCCTGCGGCGGCATTTTAGCGTTAAATACCACGTGGTAATCCAGCAACAGCAGAAGACTAGCTCTAGTCGCCAGCAGCAACAGGCAGCCTACGACTCAGCAGAGGACGATGCTACCTGGTTTAGTTCACAGAGCGAACAGTACATTCCTCTAGCGGCGTGTGCGAGAGGGAGAGCCTCAAGTGGGGGGGGGGCATCTTCTCCCGATACTCTTGCTGCTGCAGTGGGCCCTGTTATTTTTGGCCTTACACAACTGCAGCAGTCAGGTGCGATTGTCTCAGGAGACAGCAGTAGTAATACTAGTAAACGGAGGCCTAAGCGTGTAAGGCACCTGACAGCTCAGGGCCTCATTTCAGTGCTTGTTGCTGCAGCAGCGAGGCGTTAAAATAAGCATCGACACAGCATCAGCACTGCCCCAGCAGGTACTTCTGGTTGTACTGTGCGTAGACAGGCTGGCCTCTCGTCTTTTGATCAATTCTGAGAAGTTCCTCCTTCCCACCACCCAGCCTATTGGCCTCTTCCCTGGCTAACCAAGCATTCCTCAATTGGCGAAAGCATTGGCGACGTAGCGCTGTCTCGAACCATACGGGGAACTCCCTGGCTAGCGGCTGTGGGAGAGCAGCATGATTGGCTCGTTTGTGCGGGGGATGCGTGGGGAACGAAGAGGTGGCATTCAAGACTCACACAAAGGGTGTTCGAGCCACCGCTGCCAACGCCACTTCTGTTCCCCCGGCAAAAGCAGTCAAATAGTCTCTTGCCCAGGTTGAAGAGTGCAAGGGGCACTTCATCATGGGCATCAGGCGGCCCATCCACCCCTTCAAGCATCCTAGAAACCCTTTACCTGCCGATCCTGCATCGAAGGATCAAAGCAGGTTCGATGTAGACAGCAACACTTGTGTGCTCACCGGCTCATTTTCGTATATTAATTCTTGAATCTTTGGGTATCAGGATCTCAGCCTCACACTCTCCCAAGCCCCTCATGCCCGCGATATGAGCAGGCACTCCACAGGACCGATGCAGCAGTTGCAGCAACTGCCTTGGCAGCTGAAAAAGCAAAACGTGAATAATCAAACAAATTTCAAGCGTCTACCATTATGCACGCGCCACAGGCCTATTCTACACAATACGTTAGTCAACTACAGCAGCAAACCCTCGCAGTCGATGAAGCCTGCATAAAAACACGTAAAGGCTGTCACGCGGCTGTGTTTTCCCATCCCTGTAATCAGCTTGTCGCTGCTTTGCTCCCTAGAGCTGTTCCTGCTCAAGACGCTGCGCTTGCTGCTCAACCAGGGATGACTGCTGCTGCCCTTGAACAACAGGCTCCAGTGTTTTCTGTTGGAGCTGCAACGAAGGTTGTAGTGGCTGCTGCTGCTGCTGCACAACCTGCTGTAGTGGCTGCTGCTGCTGCAGAGGCTGCTGTAATGGCTGCTGCTGCACAGCCTGCTGTAGTGGCTGCTGTAATGGCTGCTGCTGCACAGCTTGCTGTAGTGGCTGCTGTAATGGCTGCTGCTGCTGCAGAGGCTGCTGTAGTGGCTGCTGCTGCTGCAGACGCTGCTGTAGTGGCTGCTGCTGCTGCAGAGGCTGCTGTAGTGGCTGCTGCTGCTGCAGAGGCTGCTGTAGTGGCTGCTGCTGCTGCACAGGCTGCTGTAGTGGCTGCTGCTGCTGCAGAGGCTGCTGTAGTGGCTGCTGCTGCTGCACAGCCTGCTGTAGTGGCTGCTGCTGCTGCAGAGGCTGCTGTAGTGGCTGCTGCTGCTGCAGAGGCTGCTGTAGTGGCTGCTGCTGCTGCACAGCCTGCTGTAGTGGCTGCTGCTGCTGGACAACAGGCTGCAGCGGTTGGTGCTGCCTTTGCACAGCAGGTTCCAGTGTTTGCTGCTGCAGAATCGCCGAATTCTGCGTTGGAGCAAGTTTCTGCTGAGGCACGAGATACTCTTGCTGGCGCTGTGGCGGAATGTCAATTGGCACTTGACCCGCCGCTTGCTGTAGTGGCTGCTGCCGTTGCTGCGCATCCTGCTGCGATGGCTGTTGCTGCAGTTGTTGTTCCTGTTCGCGCCTAACCCTTGCACGTCTCTGGAGGTTATTGAACTTCTCTCGTCCGGTGAGCGGCAATGCTTGCTGCTGCGGCGGAAGTTGCTGCAGCTGCTGTTGTACTGGGGGAATACTGGCGTCCTCAGGCTTGGGGAGCACTGCAGGCGCATTTTGATTCTCGAGAGGTATTTCCGCAGAGAGAGCGACCGCTGTTGTATGCGATACGTCCTGGTGTTTGCTGCTGTAGCCGCTGCCGAAGCTCAGACTCCCCAGAAGCCGCCAGAACAGCAGATACAGCAGGCAGCAGCAGGTGCAGGCAATCAGAGCATGCAGCATCCAGTTACGCCGACGCAAGGCCCTCATCTGCGGATTATGCGCAAGGAAAGTGACGCCGAAGAGCACATCCAGCAATAGCGGCAGCCATAACGCTAGGAGGAGACATGCACTGGAAACGGGCAGTGCATCCACAGGCCGAGCACTCATCGGCAGCATGCGCATCAGCGGCGAAGCAGAAAGTCTGGCATAAAACCATCCAAAAAATCTCTGCGTGCTGTAGCGGGAGAGAAGGCGTCAGCGGAGACATATTATAGCCAAGGCTACGAAGGCGTTGGTCAGGATAAAGCGCAAGCGATCGGACAAACGCGGAGAGGCTCGAAGAGACAGACAAACAGACTGACGGACAGGATGAGCGGAGGATCACACGCAGAACTTTTTTCATTAATAATGAGGAGGTAAAAAGCGGTTCTTTGCTCACCACACGGGCGATAGAGGCTCTTGCGGTCGCCAAGGAAAGACCCAATCGTGAGGCCTGAGGTGCAGGAAGCAGCGAAGAGCAACCCGTCCCTTCTATAGCGAAGAATCCTACACCCGAGAGGAACGAAAGGGAATTGCTGAAAGGGACGGCTTCCAGTCACGAATATATATGATAAAGAGAACCGGAAGGCTTCCAGTTAAGAATATATATATATACATATATGTATATATATATATTCTTAACTGGAAGCCTGAAAGATAGACCGAAACAGAGCAATAAGGGTGCCTGCCATGTGAGGCAGAACGCAATCAAAGCTCTCAGGAGCAGCCGGAGAGGAGGAAACGTCCAGCAGAAAGGCAATTGACGCACGTGAGTTTGGGTCCTTCTAATGGTTTGCCGTTGAGCAGCCAGACCAGCAGATACGTAGAACCCTACATGCTCAGCATCCAACGGCATCACCTGCGCTCGCTATGCATACATCAGCAGCAGCATCACGCCACATCCCACTACGGCAGTCATATATAGACACACACCCCACCGCTGTGATGGGTGTCGCTGCTACCCCTTCAAGGAGGTCTCTGCCTGCCTCTACGCCTGCCTGCCTGTCTGTCTGCCTGCCCACTTGTTTGAACACGTATGCAGTGGCATCCGCAATGCCACGAAAACACGACCCCTTCCCCCCCAGATGCAACATATGCGCTGTGAAAAACACCATCAGACACACAATAACCCCCTAGGGACCACTTGCCCTCCCACTGACTGTAATACTAACTAACACGCACTCCGAGATGTTTGCAGCCTTCTACCATCTTCTTTTGAGTCTTATGCAGGCGTGGATCTTCTTCCTTGCCTGCACACCGTCAAGTTCAATGCACCGTAATCAGCGCTTGATGAACATGACGACATCTCCGAAAAGCCGCGCAGTGCAAGTAGGCCGAACTCAATGCGATTTCCACGAGCTAAAAAAAGCTGCGCAGAGAGCCACAGCATCAAAGCACTGACAGCAAGCCAAAATCACCTACTCCTGGACAGAAGGTACCGCCTTTCCACAGTCTCCACTTCTGCAGCCGGCGTTCGTAACTGCTCTCGAGAAGAAATCAGCTGAGGGCACACACATAAGCACTAAAACATCACGCGTGCTTCGCTGTACGTATTGTAGGCTTTCTAGTTTTGTTGCTACAGCTTCTAACTATCCTACAGGAAGCAGCCTTCGGCTAGGGCAGAATGTTGCAGCCTCACGCGGTGTCTAAAATCTAAACCCCCCGCATTCTGTCAGCCCCCAAGATGGGTCTCCAGCTCCAAGTGCTGCAGCTGAGATGGAATCAAACACACACAGGCAATTACCTGCATTATGTTTCCATGCTTCACATCACTGCAGTTGCTAGCCGTCAGTCCCTAAGAGCTAGCTAGCTGGGCCTCCTCCTGGATTGAATAACACCCCATAACACCACGCGCCGCAGTACCTACAGCCGCTGCACAGACGCGATTATCACGGCTACATGCCTTCATCAACTTCTCTAGAGCATACACTACTTCTGAGGTAACAGAAACAACAACACCAACCGCTTCTTGTCCACCAGAAAAGCAGCAGCCAAAACAGAAAGCCCGCAAGCGCAAAGAATAGGGAGCCAGAAACAGATTGTACCTTCCGTATAGCCTTTGAGGGCGACTAGGGAGCACCGCAGTTTTTTGGCACAGGCCTCGTGAAATTCTAGTTCCAACTCATGCACGGGGCTGTCCATAGCGTATGTTTGCCGCAACAATGGTGCGCATTCCGCCACCGCTAGTACTCGTGATACTTGCCCTGCAGGTATTTATGCTATTTGCAGTCAGTCCTAACCGATGTGCAGGTTTCACCCCTCAAGCTGTACCCCTACTACCGTTGCCTGTGATACCGTCGGATTGCTGCCCCCCTCCAGCTGTCCTGACGAATATGCCTATTGAGGCCAATGTCTGTGGTGGCGATACATTTAGCGTGACTGGGCTTGCTGCAGCAGGCAGTAGCTCAGGGGGGTGGCAGTATGTTCGGAGTTGCTGTTGGTCCTGTTGCTGCCTCTGGTGCTGCGCCTCTCGCCTTAGCTGCTACTTGCTTCTTTTCCTCCCTGGAAGCTCTCTCAAAGGCCGCGCCGAGCACCTAACTGATGTACAGGCAAAGGTCATACTAACACAGCAGGGGCAGCTCATGCATAAACAGCGAGGATATACCGGTCTGCAGCTGCAACACGAGTGGCAACGGGAGTTAGCCGTTTATCACGGGTAAACGTGGAACTGATATACCCTTTTCAAAAACTCCGCTTGTCTTCTAACGCTAAGAGGCCGAGTGAAACCCAAGGAACACCCCAATACCCGCACTAGCAGCGTCCGAGCAGTGCGCAAAGTTGCAGGAACGGGGGCCCCCCCCTTGAGGAGTTCTGGGGGGGAACTGCGGATGTACCTGCGGCTACAGTTACTGAACGCAAATAAATGATGTTTTGTTCGTAAAAGCATCATACAGAAGAATCTTGCAATTTATTTGTGTGGTAATGGCTTCTGCTGCTGTGGCTACCTCTGGTGCTGCACACATTGTTGGGGGTTCATGAGGGAGAGAAGAACCAAGCAAAAAGGCACACTACTAACACCAGCAGACGCGTCCATCAAATTGGTGTCTTTTTTGCGCAAGACATCATCTCCGGTGGGCACAAAGGGAGCAGCAACATTTGCCTGAGCAGTGCGGTGGGAAGTGCGTTAGTGAAACGGCATACGCAATTAGGCCGTGAAACCCTTACAGCGACTGTCTCGCCACAGCGGCCGCGTCGTGTATACGGCATTGGGGCTACACGCAGTCGCAGTGCCGTGGAACGCAGCTGCTGCGGAACATGAGGAGTCAGCCCCACAGCGCTCCTATAGCATTAGGAAGGCAGATTTAGTGGCATCCCCATCCTCAGTGTGACTACCAGTCGGTGGCTCCAAATACAGACTGCAGCTGTTTCTGTCGGATCTGCCTTCCCATGGGCAGACTTCTGTTCCCAAGCAGCTGCAATGGAATTGTAGCAGCAGCTGCAACAGGACGGAGGGAGAGGCTTGCTCCGACAAGCGCTAGTGCAGGAGTTTCAGTTGTAGAATCAGGCAGGGTGGAAGCGGCCCTGGAGGCGACCGACTCTTCCGAGATACGAGGGGAAGTGCTACACGAACTGCAGCGGCAAAAGCAAAAACGCCAACAAAGCCAGGAGACACCACCGCATGAGCTGCTGCTCTTCCTGCAGCCCCGCAATAACAGCAGTACAAGCTGGTGGGCACCTGCCGCTTGTGTTTCAGCGCGTTTACAGCGGTGGGTGGGGGAGACTGTAGGAGCTCTCTTTACTTCAAAGCATCAGCGGCAGCACCGCTGGAGGCGTCTTTCCTCGAGGGGCCTTCTCCTGAGAGGTCGCAGGAGCACCAGCAGCAATCTTTGGGAAGCGGCGTGTGCGGTATTTATTGCTGCTGCAGCAGCAGCACTGCAAATGGCTGCCTACCCTACGGTACATGGGGGTCCAAGTGCTGCATCAAGCGCGACAGCACTGACGCCAGCAGCAAAGGATATCAAAGTCCAGAGTTGGCTGGCATCCAGTATATTGCAGTGTAGCACCAGCGCCGTCTCCTTCTGGAGCGTGTGTGCAGCAGGCGGTCGGCTGCAGCAGGCTCTGGGCATTTCCTGTGCGTCTATATTGGCGAAGCCTTTGGGCTTGATTACGGTTGCCGTGGCATCGAATGCAGCAGCTGCTGCGGCTGCTGCTGCTGGTTTTGCCTGCACCAGGGTGCAGGAGCTCCATGCGTCCAGCAGGAACGGCCGAAGGGGGTGGTTTGCAGCTGCAAAGGAGTTACAGCAGGAGACTCGGGGGCAGTGGGGTGGCTTACTGTTACAGCACCACCCGCGCACGTATTCGGTGAGTACTTCCACGGATACCAGCAGTGGCAAGGATTTGCTGCGGCTTGTAACCGCCGAGACACTGCAAGGATTGTTGGTATTTTATCTCTTGGGTGGTCGTCTGTTTCGGCTGTCTCCCTCCAGTCTCATTTCTCCCGGTGCCTTCGCTGAGAGAGGCCTCTCCCTCTCCGCATCGACAGGATATGCGTCAGAAACGGAGAGGCGCGTCATTAAGAAAATAGGGCTGCGCTTCGGGTGTCACACCTGCGGTATTCGGACTCGCAGCACTCGTTGGGTTGCCGATCACCAGCCCCCTACGGCTCAAGTTATTAGCTACGAGAAAACAACTGTAGGCTGGGTCTTAGGCACTATAAGGCGACTCCTTGGGGGGTCCAAGTATTGGCCTCAGCGCCTGTATCCACATTGCGAAAGCTGCAGCCTGAAACAAGCTGTGGCTGTCAGAAAGCAAACAGCTGCCACTGCAGCTGCAGTCGTGAGCTCTGCTATTCCCTCCCAAGAAGTAGCAGCGAAACTCCGAGAGAAGCGCAGCCAATTACTCCAGCAGAAACTGATCTTTAGGGCGCGCTCCTTCCGTCTGTGGCACCTCACAGGGGGGATCGTTTCTCTCATCCGCTGCCTTGACGCCCTCTAATTCAAATACAGTGTGCGCCGATATTGCATTTGCGGTACACACGACTCTGGCGGCTGCCCTCGTTGCCGCCAAAATTGAACCTGCTTAATAAACGAGGGCTGCAGCACAGATGCTGCAGCCTTTTCGCCGCATAGCTGCCTCAGCGCTACACTACTGTCCACCACGCTGACTTTCTTGCCGCGCTGGAAGGGCTTTCCAGGCCAACAGCAAATATAGCAGACGCTTTTTACTGCTCTAACCTCTAAACTTAATCAGGGCCTTTTCGAGAACGTGCCCATAGAGGTGATACGTTTAGCCTGCACTAGCGCGTTAAGCCTTTCGCTTCTTTCGGTTCCGCTTCTCGTCTCACTCTAGATTTTCTTTCCCGCCTTCAACGCTAACTCGCCGTCCACCTTCGCCAAACCTTCTGCTCTACTGCTCACCTCTCAATTCACCCTCCATCTCTGTCTATGTGTATGCCCTCCCGCTATATCTCTTCCTGGGCAGCAGGGCGTCTCGCCAGACGGCAGCGCTGCATATGCAAAGTGTGCCTCGGTCAACTGCATGCGACTACCCGTTTCAGAGCCCTCTCCTAGTGCTTCTGGTGTAGTACTGAGTGAGCGCAAAGCTCCAGCGCGAAGGCGCTCACAGCATATCCTAAGGCTTCACTCCTGACTTACGTTGCAAATCGCAAGAGCAAAAGCAGCGGCAGTGCGTGTCGATGCGGAGCGTGCTGCTGCTGCAGCCCTCCCACCGCGCGGAGAGCGACCATCCCTACTCCCAAACACACACAGTACCATCCCTGCACCCTGCAAACAGCCTGCTGCTGTTGCCGCAGTTACTCCACGCCAAGCAACTAATCTCTGCAGAGCCTCCGTGAAGCACTGAGATGGGGCCATCCCCGTAGAGCTGCTGGACCTGCAGCGCTGCAAGACTATCACTCACCATATCAGCACCGCTGCTGTTACTGCTGAGCGCATGCGATGCTTTGACTGCGTTGCAGGAGGCGGCTTTCTGCTTCAGGTCCCAAATCAAGAGGTGGCTGCCGGTGGCAACGGCCAGCAGACTGCCACAAGGCGAAAAACACGGCGCAGCAGCAACCGTGTTGCACCGTAGGAGGGGGTGTGTAAGAGTTTGCTCCTGATGCCGCTGCTGCAGCATCATGCGTAGGTCGAGAAGCTGCAAAACTTTGTCCTCTCCAAGTGTACAGACAGTGTGTCCATTAGGGGAGATGGCGACGCCTACGACACCTTCCCCGCTATGCAGTGGGGGTGACACCATGTCTGCACTCCAGATCCGGCTGTTACTTCTACTGCTGCCGCTGCTGCTCCTGCTGGAGGGTGTGAAGAGACTAAGGGTGCTGTTTCGGTGACCAATGAGCAGCATGGCACCGTCTGCTGCAGCAGCCGCTGCCGTGGGACGCGATTGCAGCGTCGTACATCGGCTAGAGGCGCTGCGGTGTATGTCCCACAGACGAAGTGACCTATCGTTGGCGACGCTCCAAGCTGCTTCAGCTGTTGCTGACGCAGCGTCCCCCTTCGGCTGCAAAAAGCCGCATGCGACAATCGCCCCGCCGCTGTGTCCCTTAAGGGTTTGGAGAACTTTGCCTCGCGGAAGCTGAGTGACGTACAACGCGGCATCAATGCATCCAATCAACGCGAGCGCTTCCTGGGACCTAGCTGCCGTCTCTTTCTGCCGCAGCAACAGCACGTCAACTGCTGTACATGCAGCCCGCAACGGGGAAGGCTGAACGGAATACAAACCTCCAGGTCTGACACCACCCAACACGGCCAGTGTACCATCAGCACCTCCTGAGACAAATAGCTCTCCCGCCGTGGCACGTCCTGCCGTTGCTTCTATTGGACGACTGCAGCAGCACAGGACAGAGCCATTCTGCATGTGAATAGTCCGCAATAACCGGAGAGGAGGGCGACAAGACCCTTCACAGTTCCTGTCGATGCTGGTGCTCTCGTTAGGGGGGGGGCTGCTGCTCGGCAGTGCAGCTGCTGCGGTCGGTGTACCTCCAGCAGCTGCTCGGGCAGCCGCTACCGCATGCGCTGATTCAGAATCTGCTGATGGCTCCTGCCGACTTCTGAGGAGAGAAGCGGCAGCAGGAGTGTCACGGCCACTGGTGAGTCCTGTTGAGGGTCCAAGGTGAGCATCTGCCGATGATGCACTTGTGCGCATTTGGTCCTGCAAGAGCTCTAGAGAGGCGGCCTCAGCCTGTTTGTACCGCAGGAGCTCCCGGAGGTATCCCTCAGTCTCCAACGCCTTTGCAGCAACTTCTTGTTGAGCTTTTTGCACCGCCTGCTGTTGTTGTTGCTGCTGCTGAACCAGCAGCAAACAGGTCCTGCGAGTTGCTGCAGCCTGGGCTTCGTTCTCGGCGATCTCCTCTTCCTTCTCCCTAAGTTGCCGCTGTTGCTGTAGCAACTCACTGTCCTTCTCAGCTAGCAGCTGCTGTTGTTGTTGCACCTGCTGCATAAGCACCAGCAGCTCCGTCTCGAGCTGCTGTTGTCGCTGCTCATATTGCCTTTGCGTTGCCGCTGCTGCTGCCTTTATCGCCCTGATTTGCTGCTTCAGAACTGCACTGTCTGGCGTATTCTGCAGATGGTGCTCTGTCTGCGCTGCACAAGGGCCACCAGCTGCAGCAGAAGTCGCTGCTGCCGCTAATCCTTCTTGTGCTGCTGCAGCAGAACGCACAGCCAAGGTGGATGCATGGTTCGCTAGCAGCCGGCGATTCTCTTCTACCGCTGCAGCATGCGCTGCACAAACAGCCGCAAACCAGTCGTGCTGAAGAAGATGTTTTATTCGAGCTCTTCGGAGGAAGACTTCCCGCCACAGGGGCAGCCTTTCGGGTGGTCCTGTTTCTTCTGCTCCAGCCGCAGCCCTATTTGTGTTCATCACCCTTCTTGATGCAACCGGTGCAGCTGTGTCTGCTCCATCACTTGTGTCACCGCGCAAGTGCATTTCTGCTGCTGTACAGTCGGAGTTGACGCGCTGCTGTAAATGCTGCTGCTAGTGCTCCCTGCAGTGTCTCCATCTGCTGTTGCACCCACCAGACAGGTGTTCCTAAGTCCACACAAATGCTGCCATCCAAGGATTCACAGTGCCTCTACGACGATTGCTGGTGCTATACCAGTTTGCCATGACGGGATTGATGCAAGTCCCCACTCCGTTTCTTCTACTTGGTGCTGTCAATGGGCCTTCGCTTTTGCATCTCTTATGGCGGCTGGAGCTCTGCGCCACCACCTCCCTTGTATTATTGTACCATATGGAGCCTTTCTTCTGCGCCTACCCTTGTTTCTGCTGCTGCGCGTGCTGCAGTGGCAAGAGGGCTTGCACACTTTAGAAGGGTCAAAGCCACAAACACAGCTACTGCCGCTCCGACCAGCGTCTCATGCTGCTGTTGTTAATTTTGTTTATAGCGTTGATACAGCTGTTCTTTTACTGCTGCCGCTGCTAGAGCTGTCAGAGTAAGAGGGGAAAGGAACACACTCATCGGTGGGGGGCCCCGTGGGCATGAGGCGAGGCCCCAGAACAGCGAGCTTAGGGGGAAACTGCGGTATGGCATTATCAGAGGACTGGAGAGTAAGTACAAAAAGGATATTTACTTCACAGCGAATGCAGGCTGATGGTGTTACTCTTTTGAGTTAGCCCTATATGGTCTTCCTTCGAAGGCCGTTGTTGCTGCTGACACTGACGCACGTATTTCTCTCCCCCAGGGTACAAGAAAATTTGGTTAGTATTCTAGCGGTCCTACTGCGTAATGGTGCTTGTGCTTCTTCTTCAGTGGTTTCGATGCATGCTTCTCTAAGGTCCCTGTTTGAAGGGTCACTTAGATGATGGCCTCGCCGGAAAGCCTACTCCTTAAGCGTTTTTTGACTAGATACTGCAGCCTTTATTAGCAATCCAGCCTCACTTCCAATTTTACCTTGCATGCGACTAGAAACCATCGATCCATAAATCCCTGCGTATCTTCTACGACCACTGATTTGCTAATGCGCATTGTGTGCCTATGTGTCAGTGCCCGTAAGTGGTTTTGAAGTTCTCGAGGCTTTTGCACCCCACCAGTCATCAAGGCCGACTTTTCTCCAGAGGAACATACATGAGGTACGCTAGAGCAATTCCAGCTGCTCGTGTGTTTAGAAGACGCACCTGCAGTCGCATCTAAATCCCGAAGCCCACGAAAAAGCGTGCCTGCAGCGAAAAGTAACTTTTTCATAACTGAACCTCGGAATCTAGAGCTTAAAGTGCTTCTCGTAGATCCTCAAGTACATTCGTCCAACTTGCTCCTTTACGCGAGTTCTGTCTACTCCAGCACCCAGTAAACTGGTTAGCATAAGACAAGGAAACTTTTTTTAAAAGGTCCAACACGAGCATTGCCCCTCAATGATATCAAACTCATCTGCAGACTTTGTCATCAATCACTAAAACAACTCTTCAAGAAGCCGACTACGGGGCTCGAACCCGCGACCACCAGCTTAAAAGGCTGGCGCTCTACCGACTGAGCTAAATCGGCAGGTCCCCTGCGCGTATCAGACACACCCGCCTTGATTTGATTCTACCATTATTTATGTTGCTTGCTGCATCAGCGCCTTATTGCTCTAGCTTTCCTTCTAACTGTCCTACCTGAGAAGGTTACTTCTTCTAGAAAATTCTGAGAACCTGAGCCTCCATTTAGCTTAATGGGTAGCACTTCAGGTCTTTGGGATGGCCGTCACAGGTTCGACCCCCCGGTACGCTGCTTTAGTGGTTGTTACCAATTAGGCGCCCATTCGTGTCGGGTTTTTTTAATACACCATATTATTATGTCCATCAATAAGCCACAGTCTCGCAGTCCCTTAGCAGGGTTGCTATTCATACTGAAGAGACTTGCTGCCCAGGGGCGTAAACGCTAAGTAAGAAACTTGATCAGCTCACAAAACTACTTTACAAAGGGCTGAGTCAGTGGAGTCACTCTGTGTCTTTCGCTCTCGTTGGGTGGTGGGGGTCTCTCTGTTGATCCAGCCATTGCTCCGTGGATGGGTACGCTCCGTATGTAATGACTGCGCGCTACTATGGCGCCTCCAGCTGCTTTCTTCACAGTTGAAGGCGCTCTCTATGCATAAGCACCCCACTAATCCAGGCCCTCCACTCCCACAGTTGAACCTGTCCCTCAATGCATAAATAAGGTATGTATAGATGCATGTCCGTCTAAATCATAACTTAAACAAAATTCGCCTCTCTCTAGTAATTGCGGGGCTGGAGGTGACTGCAGATGTCATAAGTGAGGGATATTTTCACCTTTACACAGGTAACCCCTATGATGAAAGTGAGCTGTACTATGGGCAGGATCGAGTAATGAGCAGATATGATGGGCATCGCCAAAGTGCCTGTGGATGATGTGTCATGGAGGTCTACTGGGCCGGTGGGGAAGATATTACTCTAAAGCCCTCAAAGGACTTGCACGCACCCATGTGCGCAGAGGCAGCCTTAGAGGAGCGAATAGTCTTGAACTCATGATTCTGTGTAGAGCTGGCTAATCATCTGATGCATTGCGTCGTTCAAAGTAAAGAAGGCTTGAATGTATGTGAATGCCTGACTTGCAGGCGTGAGGCTACCTGCCTAGTAAGACTTGAACTGATCCTTAAGGCATTTTAATGAATTATTCACATTGGTCCTTTATGCTAGAAATCTGAGCTTTTAGGAAAGTTATGCAATGTAGTTATCGAGTTAGGAACCCTCATTGCTGTACGTTAAGATCTACAGTGGAAGAGTTCCACCTATTTGTCACCCCCCCTCAGGCAGATACGTGCCAAGCGGTGCTAATATTAGGTAGTTTTCAGCTAGTAAAGAAAACTTGAAGGGAAGAAAGAGAAACCTGTAGTCAAAGGAAAGAGACCAAACCAACACACCCCTAGGTGCCTGATGGCTCGCGGTCGTCGGAACGCTGAATCGTGTAAGCCTCTTTCTACCAAGAAACAGAATACAGTTTATAAGTGTAAAGAGAATCAAGAGCCACACTAGCTTAGCAGTTCCTCCAAGCCTTATAGACCGAGGTCTGTATGCCAGTACACCCGATGCAAGCAGCATCGTCGACATGCAAACTCCAGAAAAAGCAGAAGACATAGTTTCACAATACCACACCTGAGTGCAACTGCGCATTAAGCTGAATCTTGCAAGCACCTTATTGGAATCAATCCAAGCAAAACCCACCGATGAAGGTAGGTGTATCCGGCAGGACATGCGCGACAAAAAGACGCTTACGGGAGGCCCAAGAAGTCCCATGGCGACTAACAAGGCTAACCAAAAAGAGCCCCAAATGCTTCTACAGGATTCGAATCAAGCAACTGCTGCCCCGTCAACTGAGGCTGACCTTCCCACTCCATCTTACTCGAAACTCTTGTCCAGTCTGGTGTTGGCGCTCAAGCGTTATCGAGTCCAGCACCTCTACAGTTCCCTGTGGATACTCCGTCAAGTGAACTACAAGCTTGTTCCGCATCTAGGAGGGCATTTTTATCTCAGAATAATTAGGAAGTGTATACACCACAACATTATCCCAGTCCCACACCTCAAACCTAGCCAGGTCAGCGCTGCTGAGCGAAGCTTGAGGTAATCAGCTAGAACTATGCGACAAACCATGAGGATACATCCTACAGAGGCCCGCGGGGTGCGTAAATACATCAGGGAAAGGTGGGGCTCTTTTCCTGGTGCAATTTGGTGAATGTACTGGATCTTATCGGACAGAGGAATCCTTTCTTTCCCCTGGAGCTGAGCACATTTTACAGAGTAGTCGTTGTATCCCCGCATCATCGTTAATGGATCGTTGCAACTAACCATTGGGTTTCTGTATCTGCTCACTAGGACGAAGCAACCAGCTAATGAAATAGAGTAGCTTCCAAGCTGTGGCAATAGTTTCTATTCCGCTGCGTTAAGATAATTTGCGGCAGTGCCTTGGTGAGCTCAGATGCTGCTCACAGCCAGTAGTCCGAAAGGCTTGTCCCTCTGTAAATCTACTGTGGCCATGCACCTGCTGTCGTGGAACACATGCGTATCCAGAAACAATAGATTATGGGAGAAAGTCATAGCCTGCTATTATCGCTGGATCTACAAGTGCCGCGGGTGTAGACTTGCGTAAATCTCAAGTTGTGCACTTGCGGAAAGCCAACTGACTTTTAGGCTCCTTTCGTTTTTCCGCTACAAATGTGTCATGATTTGCGGCATGATGGAGTAAACTGATCGAGGAACACAAAGAAATGCACTAAAGCATCTCTGTTGGGGTTTATTTGATGCATCCACTAAGCCAACCAGGTGTTCCTTGAACATGGTCATTTAGGCTTGCTGTACAACTTAAGAGGGTCAAAGGGCTGTTTAGGATTTCAGGAATTGCAAATCCAGTAAGCAAGACTCCTCGTCAGCCTCGAAGACTTAGACGCCAAACAGAAATCTCAGTTGACGTCAATGGCAGCTTGGAGAACCACCGCTGCTTGCAAGAGCCCATTGGCCTCATATTTGGGTGGAACTAACCTGAACAAGTAGTTGCGATCAATGCGCCTTTCGCTTTGTTGCAGGAGGCTCGCCGTTGCCAGAAACCCTACAGAAAGATGTCTTATCTAACAGTGTCATTAAGCTGCCAAATCCCCTTTAGTGAATAGACCAATGCAACCTGAGTCGCAGCCCAGATCTTCTGGCTTCGAGTTGTTTGCGCACTCTTAGTCATAGCTCTACCAACTTATCCTCAATCGAGAGAAGCAGCCCCTGCTGTATTCTTGTCCACGGCGACTGTCCGGTAATTGAACTGTGGATCTTTTCGGGCATTGTTTTGCTGTCACCAGCCATATTGCTGTTTAATTGATGCTATTGCAGTAGCGTTTTACATGCCGCAAAATAACACGGACGCCCTGGTATTAAAGGACGGGGGTGTTGCCTTACATTAGGGGTATTTCATATATAATCTTTGGAGTCCTCCGAGCTGTAAGCCTTTCACAGTGTATGCCTGGAGACCAGCAACATTCATCGCAGTTCATTTTGTTTTCAGCTGTTAGTGATAACCTTGCATTGCTAGGTACATCGCCTATGCACTACTACAACAGCAGTTATTCGAGGAATTGACTCTCCAAAAGCCCATTATATAAAACCCCATCCATAGTCTTGAGGGTATACTTCTTTGTACAACATGTAGCCAACATCACACTAGGGATCCGGAGACGCCGTCTGTACATATGCGAAACACCTTACTGAAGGCATATTCATCTGCACTTTGCTGCTCCTGCACCCTCCAGTCCCAGGTCATCCGCTAACGGCCGTTGCGCCACAAAACTCCGCAAGATATTCCCCCTCGTATGGTGCAACTGCAAACTCGCAAATCTACTTGGCACTTCTAAAGAGTGGCTCCGGAGTCTTCTTCCCAAGGTCCACCGACACGGCATGCATCTGCGTAGCTGGACAATGACGGTGGAACCATTCTTTTCGCTTGGGATGACAGGAAAGGACAGTAGAGTACTGAGGAAAGCCCTTTTAGTTTTGCAGGGGACCGACAGCCCTTTGTTAGTCTTCATCCATTCATTAAGCTGTCTTCATCTCATCATCTCAGACAGTTTTCTTGGCCTTGCCGAAGTGAATCTTTTACACATATATATCTATGGCGGTATTTTTTTAGTGCGTCTCCTGCGTTCCCTCGTCTTGTGAATTTCTCATAATAGCCTTTGGGTCACTTGTATCTGGACTTCTGCACGTTCGTGGCAATTGTTTTGCCTCTGCTCTTTATATCTGTGGCTTTATGGATTTATCAATGTAAAAATGTGTATGGGATCTCACCAGCGTTGCCTCTGGTACTTTTCTCTGACTACCTATACTCAGAGTCCGTATCCCCTTGCTTCTTCATCGATTTCTCGAATTTAAGAATCTGACATACTTTTTGAGTACGTGTCTTCCCTTAGCTCCTTTTCTGGTTTCTTAGATTTTTCTTCTCCTTTCGGCAACGGCGGCTCTTCTGTACCACTCTCTGCGCCTACCTCCCTCTACGTAGTGCCTTTTTTCTCCGCGTCTTCACTCTGCTGCTTCCTGCCTGTGGCTCTTCTGCTTGCACACTTCTATTCTCCCCCCCCTCAAGCTGTCTATTTCAGTGCTCTCTCTCCCTAAAATTGACTGGCGTTCTTCTTGTTACACGTGCTTCTGCGTTTTTCCTGCTCCTGAGTGTAACGTTGGCTGTCACTGTGTTGTCCCTGCCTTGCAAGTCCTCCTTCACTGTCTGGTTTGCCTTAGGGCGTTGGCTTCGCCTTCCTTAGGTATTCTTTTCAGTTAAGCACCACGCATCGCGTTCGGCATCCCTGAAACTAAAGCCCTCAACGCAGAATCCGGAATTGAGCCATACACACAAAACACTTGAGTCTCTACAAACCCATTGGAGTGTGTGTGCCATAGATACCGCCTTTTGACTTGTGTTGTTTCATCCCTGTCAATATATTATCGTCTCGGAAAACCCTGCTATGTACTAATCAACCTTCACAAGCAACACACACGACCAATGGCCAACTACATACTCCGCTGCCAAGAAAATCTTGTGGCCTCTCCATACGAATACTTCGCCTCGTATCCCACCAGACACACTCTTGAAAACAGAGCAGAGACATTCCGCGCAGTTATCTCACGGTTGTTCAAGCGTCTAAGAGGGCTAAGGGTCTCTGGGAATCCGGGGCCTTCGGGGCCTCACTCCGTGCAGCGACGTTGCAGCAGCGGTTGTACGGATTACTTCGGCCCGCTTAACGCAGAGAATGCCCTTAAAATGCTAGTATCAAATGTATTAAGCGAGATCCTATAGGCATCTATTGCATTTTGCAGCAGCAGGTATAAGAACACCGACGTGCTGCTGCTTCAGCTATACAGCGGCAGCAGCACGAGGAGCAAAGGGAGCTTATTCATGTGGCTCTCTTCGTATTTAGTTGCTTCCTACAGCCTATATTTTGTTACCATTCATTATATCAAAGCCACACACCTTTGTTGCCTTCAGCTTGCGGTTTACACTCACCGGGCCTCAACGGCGTGCTGAGGCCGCCAGTCCTCCTTCAGGGAATATCTCTGTTACAGCACTCTCTAGCAACCTCTTTTCGTTAGGCTTATCAGTAGGCGGGTCACTTCGAGCTGACTATACCACAGCATCAGCCCCTTAACGCCTGCGCTCCTCCTGCGCTTACCCCAGCCTAAGGTGGATCGAGAGGTACAGTGGGTCTCCAATACCACAGCTCAACCCATTTGTGCCTATTAGAGCTTCTGGGGGGCTAGGCCTCCTTCTGGGGCCTACTTCTTAGCACCAATAACGACAAAAGCCGAAGTAATCGCAGAACCGGCGTAGGCAAGATGGTGGTCCGCACGTTATCGGACCTGCGCAAAGAGGATGAGGCTCGCAGCAGAGACGCAGAGACCGGTGAGACCGCACCGCTACTCCGAGGTGAGCCATTGGCTGGCTGTTTCCATACTTGTGCTTGATGCGGCAACCGCATCTGCAGCTGTGGCTTCCTGCTGCGGCCTTGTAGGTGCTGGAGTTTTTGTTGTTATCAAGATCACGTCTGTTGCAGCGGCTGCTGACTACCGTTTAAAATCCTTTTATCTGGTGCCGCTATTGCTGCGGCTAACCTTGGGTGTATTTCGTGGTGTCTTTCTCCTACACTGTCGGGCGCGCGTTTTATCGTTTTCATTGCTGCTGCTGTCCTTGCCTGTTTGTGGGTGTTGCAGCCGATACGCGCAGTAGCGGAAGCAGCGTAAATAGCGGAGCCTCTGCGTCAGCGCAGCGCACAACAGCCCTGCGAGTTTTGGAGCTGCTCTTTCCGTACTTTCGCCTTAAGTCGCTCCTCCTGCTAATCTCGGTCGTAGATTGGGCCATATTCATTACCACCCTCGCTATTGACTCAGAGATGCCCCTCGTACCTTCTAGTGAGGCCTCAGTTTTTCTGCGCCCTCATGACGCTGCACGTGCAACTCTCTATAGCGTCTGATCTTTGTTTCGAGATGTTGGTGCCCCCTTTGTATGCATGTGCTTGTTTGTCCGCCACTTCTCTTGTCTCTTGTTTTTCTGTTGTGCTAATGTCAAGCCTTTGCTCCACACTTCTACAATGTCTTTGCTTCTGAACGATCATAAGATGTCTGTTTCGTCATGTTTTGTATGCCTTTCTCAGCTGCAATTCTGGTGACGTTCGGTGCAAACGTTCCCCCCTTGGTTGCTCATGGGCAGGTGTGGCGTTTACTGACTGCTTCTTTCTTGCACGCAAACCTGCTTCACGTAGCCTTCAACGTTTTCTTCCAGTTACGTATGGGCTTCGGTATTGAGCGACGCTACGGCTATCTAAAATTCGCAGCCCTGTATGCCGCGTCCGCGGTTTACGGTAACCTGCTTTCAGCAGCCTCTCTCTTCTGCCGATCAATCAAGGTCGGCGCCAGTACTGCAGGTAGGCTAAATCAACTTCCCACCAAGGAAGGCGAGTACTGTTTCGAGGTAGTGCTTCGCCATTTGAGCCTCACATGTTACACCTCTCTGTGCGTCAATGAGGAATGCATTTTTCTGTGTATTTGTTCAGCTGCCTGGGCATCTATGCAAATTTTCATGTGTTTCTTATTCGTAAAAAAATAGAAATATCTGCTTGACTCCTGTGCCGCCATATTACTGCCTTGCTAGCTATTTTGCAATGGTATTCGCTTCACCTTGCATGGGTAGCTGATTTAGGGTGGCTGCATGACTAGTGAGGAGCAGGTAGTGATATATTCGCTTGGCGGCTGCTTGCTGGCAAGCCGGCAAGCTAGCGACTTTTAAGCATGATGGCTTGTTTGCCACCTACTATTTTAAGTCTTCATTTGGGAAGTCGCGGTGATTGCTTGTGGTTTGCAGGCCTTTGTGTTTGTTTGCAGGTTTCGGAATGATGGGGGTAGAGGTGGCGGAGCTGGCACTTAGTTGGCGGCTCTTGCAGCACCGAGATCGTCTGCTAACAAATATTGTGTCTTTCTTTGTCTTGATGGGGCTCTTTGCCTTTACCCTGAACGGCGGTTCCATCGACCAGTTGGGCCATCTGGGTGGCTTTCTATGCGGTGAATCACTAAGACACCCCATAGCACCACAATATTTACAGGGGACCCCTCACTTATCACAAAATTATCTTGTTTTCATTCGGGTCCTGCTGCTGTCAGCGCCAGCAAGAGGATCATTTGAAGCATTGGCTGCAGCGATTGCATCCGTAGTTGGATGTTTCTTGCATGTTTGCTGTCGCTCAGGGCTGTCTCTTGGAATTTTGTATAACAAGGATATGCAAGATAAGCCGCGATGGTGGCCGTTTGCCATGTGGGGATCGATATCTTTGCTGACCGCCCTGCCAGCCTCCTGCCTTCCAGCCATTTTCGCCCTTGACAGGGGCTGTGCTGCCTAACATACAAGCAGCAAAATAAGTCGCACTAACAATACCTGCAGCTGTAACAAGATAAGTGATGATTGCGACCTTAGGCCTAGCTTCCCTGCGTGTTTCCTGTCTTCTCGGTGGTATGCTTGAATCCCCATCCGTTGCATCTTACTTGGAGGAGCGGTGCGGTTGCAGCAAGCCGAGGTGTAGGAGACTCGGTTGTGCCAGGGGTGTGCCATGGTTGTATCTATTTACTGCATTGCTGCCGCTTGTATTTCTAGATATCTCAAAGGCGTTTCCCCTTAATACTGCTTTGGCTGTATGTAGCCCGCCTTTCGTACCTGTCGCTCCTTGGTGTTCGACCAAGCATTTACGACGTGAGGTTGCAGGAAGGGCTTTTGCCTGTTTCAAGGGGCCAGGCTCTTCATCGTGGGACACATCCTTGCTGCTGAGATGACAAGTCGTACCAAGTGTTGCTGAGTTTGCTCTATCACATCAACAATATCTACTTTTCTGTCGGTGAAAAACGCGGATAGGCGATGGTCAGCTCTCTGGAGTTTACGGAGTCTGCAGGCTATTTATGTGGGGCGTGGTGCGGAGAGTGGAGCAGCATAGCTGTTGCATGCACACTGCCATGTTTCTCTAGCCTCCCTTTGCTACTGCATAAATGCTGGGGTGGACACTGTGAAGCCACCTGCCCCTCCCTTACCTTTGCTTCCGCCTTAAGGTGAGGTTGCACTCCTCTGTATAGGCGAAGAAAATATCACAGAACGGGCAGAAGCGCGGCGAAGGCTCGAGCGATACATGACCGAGGAAGAAGAGGGGGGAAGGGAGTTGTTGATTTGCGTGACCAGAGTTGCTGTTTGATGTCGTGGATATAACTAATCAAGGATTTCTGAGGCACTTTACGACAGTGGTTGGAGTCAAATACTTCGATCATGCAATACAGTTACGCCTTTTTCGTACGATGCAGGCGTAGACCGTATACGAGGAAACATCGGCCGTTGTGTGGCAATAATACTGTTGCAGTAGTGCCTTTTACGGTATTGACGGAAGTCGCAGCTGGCCTAGTTATGTTTTTGGCAGCTCCATAAAAAAGTTGCGTGTGTCGAGGGCCTGATTCCATGGCATACACCTAGACAAAATTGCCGATACCAGAGGCTAGTTCCTGGGGTTCTATGCAGTATTTAGAACAGGAGGGCCGCAAGGTACAGATATTGACATCTACGCGCATATCTACAATTGTGCGTCATGATTTGGCGATTCCTTCTTTTTGTTTTCTTGAAGGAGCTGAAGCTGCAGGGGCTTCCATCGTGGAATATCTTGAACGACGCTTCTAGAGGAGTGCAGTGTATTTGAGGCGTGCTTTACACACGGTGCTCGCTAATGGTGTTATTGCACGTCAGCGCGTCTACTTTCTGCTGCCATCAGCCTTTCTGTTGACGCAACTGCCGGATATCAAGCGCCAGTGTTGGAGCTTAAACTTATGGCTAGTTCTAGGGGCTCCCAGGGTCTAGAACTGGTGAGCTTCGTTTCCTTGCGGCAGAATAGTATCACCCATTCTTAACTGATTTACCTTTTGTCCACTTAGAGTTCCTAGTTACTTCAACTTATTATCCTAGATGTATATGTGCCCTATTATACAGGGAAGTCTGTTTATCTAGTAATACTTCCAGCTAATAAGTGCGGGCGTGAATTCCTAAGCTCGATTGCCTGATGCTGGAAAGACTGGAGATTACGGGAGGATTTTGCATGCCCTGGAGCGTGTGGTACTACGTTACTACGCCTATACGAAATATCTAAAATAGCAGCTCACGAATTGCTAAACGAGTGAAAAGGTGCAAACTTTTATGGTGCCCATGCCGCCCAGCTTCTCCGATAGTTAAAACGTTGGCCACAGATCGTAGAGAGGCATACTCTCTGCTAAGGTCCCCAGACTTCATTCAATATGGAGCTCATTGCGGAAGCTGTATCTTCTTCCTCATGTGGTTAAAGCTGCGAATCCTCTAGGGAGGGTGTGTCTAGGGTGCGGCCCCCTGCACAAACGCTGGCCCTGCAGCCTTTACAGCTCCCATGCCTTGCACCTATTCTTATTCTGCGACTTCATGCCTTGCGGATCTACTGGAAGGGCCATGGGGAGGGGACCTAGTTGTCACCAGGAAGTCCGATTTGCTGTTGGTAGCGACAAAGCGGGGGACGTGGCATTCAGCAACAGACACGAAGCAGCACGAAACAGTATTTCTTGCTGATGCATAGGCAAGAACCGAGAGCTTTTCATTAATGACAGCAGAACGGGTCCACTGTGAGACGGTAGTTTAGCCGTTGGATGTGCTCAGGCAGGGCGAGAGCGGAAATATTTTACAGGCTTCCTATTATCACACGTCTTGTAAGTTATATAAAGTCTTTGAGTCATCCAATTCTAGACGAACGCTTCATAAATATCATTAGTCTCCAGATCTAGGGCCCCTATAGGAGTGCCCTATTCCCTGAGCAGTGAATGCAGCAGCAAAGCCCTAGAGGAGCTGATGGGCCCCCATGCTTCCATGGCCATTGAGACCCACCTCGGAGGTAGGCTTTTTTATTTTGCAATCAAACATGGAGCAGCAACCCATCGGCAAAAAGAAAAAGGGCTCGTGCCTTGGTCTTCATTGTGTGCATACCAATCGATTCGGCGGCACAGCGCCTCGTAGGGCGAAAACCACATCATGTGACCAGCTGGTACCTTCATTCTCTTCTTCTTCTTTTATTTGCAAAGCTGCAGGTGCTGATGTCGACCACAGCACCTAACGGCGAACCTCAGGTTGCGGTCTCCCGTAGAAGCTGAGAGCTAGCACGCACTAGCTGGGGATTCATCATACCCACAGATACATTGTGCTCCAAACCAAGGTCCCTTTGTAGTCCAAGTGAACTGCACTCAGGCCTTCACATCTCCTTGTCTACCACAGACACACTCAAGTTTGCATAGCGGAGAGACATCGAACGGACGGCGACACTGCAGTACACCTGCCGCAGGAACTGCTGCTCCTGTTGCTCTGGAGACAATAATTCCGTGGCGACGGGGCCATACATGACCGGAATAAAGCATGTAAGCGGTCAAACTGTTATAAAAGATTTTGGAAATGAAGTGAATCTCTGGGACTCACCGCGCCTGACCTGCACTGCAGCGGCTCCTTTGCCTCTGCTCTGGCTGCTCTTCCATGTTGGAACCTCTGTAAGGTACCCGTACATCCAGAGACTCAGAAATGCATACGGACAGTGCTGGACAAACTATGGGGGAGGGAAAACAGTCAGAGGACGAGCAGCTTCCGGTAGTCAGCGCAGCTCCTGTTGCAACTACCTCGCCTGACAACACAGCATCTATTGTATCAGCTGTGCCAGCAAGAGCAAAAGAAGCGCCTAAAGCCCAATCCATAGTAGAACTAAAATCGGAGTCCTCCAATAGAGCAGTATCTGAAGCAGCAGAAGCTACAGAAGTGAGAACTCCAAAGCCTCATGCTGGGGCGGCGTTAGGAGGGGGAGCGGATGCAACAGCGGACGGCGCTGCAAGACAAGCTATTGGCTTAGCAGCTACTAAATCGGCGACCCAGCATGCAAAACAGGAAGTTCCAGAATCAACAGCCTCCGCGGAGGCTAGCACACGCTCCAGCGGTCCAGGGCCCGCGAAGCAGGAGTGCTTCCATCCGCAACAATCAGTTGAAGCTGCGGTATCCGCAGCATTCGATGCTGCGGATCAGGACTGGAAAGAAGCTGCCTTCGAGGATAAGGGTACTGGGCGGGCGTCCTCTCTTTTGTCTCTCTTGCTGTCTGCTGTGCTGCGACAGCTGCTGCCGTGGGTATTACCTTCTGCCTTGCGGGGTGCTTCAGCAGCAGACGTTGAACTAAGCCTGTCAAAGAAGCGACTGACCCTTCGTGGGGTGTCTCTGCAACCGCAGGAACTCACGTTAGTAACGGGGGCTCCGTTGCAGCTACTACACTGCAGCATTGGCCTTATACAGCTGCGACTCAGGACGTGCGGGGAGTCTGCTTATCGCGAATTCGGCGGTCCTTCTACGTGTATAGGCAAGAAACATCTGTATCAGCATCCACTCAGTACTTGTAAGGCTGAAGGAGGCCCACCGTCCGCAAAAGGTGAGGCGCCGTCAAAAGCCACAGCCACAGAAGCAAAAGCGACTAGTAAAGAAGGTGCTTCCTCCTTTGTTCTAGCTGTACGGGATGTTATTGTTGTTTTGGCCCCGATGAGTCCAGCAGAATGGGAAAGGCGGCAGTTGCTGGAACTAGCATTGCGGCAGCGAAGTTCTCTGTTGGACAGCACAGACAGCGATCTCCAGCAGCAGCAACAAATGCAGCAACAGCAACAACGGTGGGGCTTGTCTTTTGGCGCTTCAGCCCTGATCTCAAGTTGGATTGACCGTAACATCGAATGGGCTTCTTTAGAGTTGTCAAACTTTCACCTCCGCTTGGAGTGTGTGATACCGCCATATGACAGCAGAATTACTAGCCGTAGTAGCGCCTTAGCCTTGGGGGTAGTGTTGCAGGAGCTACACTTGCGCACAATCCCTCCCGAGCTCAGTATGCAAGACCCCACGGAGTTACCGGGAGGCGAGCGTCAGCAGCAACAACAGTTTGATGACAACACGAAAGCATGGGCTGCCGCTCCTCCGTGCACTACAAAGAACATGTCTCAGGGTTGCAGCAGCAGCGCCACCCAAGCTGGTATGTGCAGCAGATTTGATATTAAGGGCCTGGCAATGTACGTTCATGACGAGCTGCTGCTGCTTGGCCCTCACACGCGTAGTGAGGCCGAGACAGTCCAGCAGCTCCGTGCTATTGCAGCAGAGCAGCGGACGCAACAGAAGGAGAAGCATGAGCAGCAACAGGAAGGCGACCAGCAGCAAAAGCAGAAGCACCGCCAGCAGCGCCGAGTGCACAATCGACGAGCAGCAACGGCAAGCTCCAGCTACAGTGAACAGCATCAATCTGGAGGCGATACTAGGAGCAGTACTCAGCTGTTGGCTCCATCTACTGTGTGGGTCCTTCTCAGGAAGAACCCCGGTATTGACATCTTCACAAAATGCAGCGGCAGCAACGGGGGTGGTGGTGGTACCCATATAGGCATGGCCTGTACAGATAATGGCAACAGCGGTGTAGAGCTATTGGCTGCTTCCTCAGCAGTTGCGTCGCAGGTAAGACCAGGAACAATAAGCACTGCGTATTCGGCGTCAGTCGAGTGCGGCTGTGTGGAAGCAACTTTCTGCCCCGCAGCGGCGCATGGCCTCCGTTGGTTAGCAGTGAGCTTCGAAGAGCATCGCAAAGCTGTTGAGACTGCGGAGGCTGTACTAAGCCTAGTCAGGCCATTCGTACCATCTTGCACAGGTGCGCGCGAGTTTTAAGATCCGCTGAATCCATATGGTTGTATACAACACAAGTTGCGACTAAGCATGGCAGCAGCAACATATCGATCGGCGAGACAGAATTGGATACTATCTATCAGCCATTACTGGCTCATCTGTCTGATTGGCCCTGTTCCAAAGTAGCTCATGACACAGCAAGTAGTTGTTGCTTGCTTTCTTTAGGAGTGTTTTTGGCTTTGAATGATCTTTCTTGTGTTCACTGTGGCCTTTCAGTCCGCGGGAACAGCGGAATTTGGTGGCGCTTTGCAATCCGCGCAGTTCGCCGCCTCCTGCGCAGCAGCCGAAGCAACAGCAGAAGGAATGACACTGCCAGCCTAGAGGGGCCTTTTTCTGTGGAGGAAACACTTAAAATGCGCCTCATAGCTGAGAAGTCCGCAACATACCGCCTGCTGCGGCTATTGCAGTTGCAAGGCAAGGCATCGCAGCAGCAGGAAGAGCAACTGCTTGTGTTGAGAGATTCGATACCATTGCACCAGTTGTTGCATGCTCACGGAGCAGCACGGCAGGACTTTATCCAGCAGCAAGCAGCTGCAGCGGCAGCCGCTACGAAAGGATGGACTACATGGCTTCCTGTGTGGAGGAGAACACCACCACAGGGCGTAACTGCGGCGATGGCAACAGCAGGAACAGTGAGTCAATCGGGATGTGAGGGGAGCAGCAGACCACCACTACCTCCGCTCGCATTGCAGAAGGTTTTGGATCAGCGCAGGTCACTCCGTCAAAGCCAGCGGCAGGTAGAGGAGCAGGAAAGCTCCCCCTTAGATACAAATTCGTTTGCAGATCTGGATGACTTCTACGATGCTTGCTCGCAGGTAAGCCCATGTACGGTGATGGCTTGTGCTAGCTAAGGTTGCGGTAAAATGCATGCTCCGTACCGTATAGTTGTCTCTGTTTGCATCATGGTATAACCCTCCTCCCGATCTCACTTCCCGTTATCCCATTTTTATTGTGTCAGATGTTCATGATCCCTTTTGCGGCTCTGAACTTCTGCTTATTTTTCTAGCTTTCACTTAGGTTTGTGACTAAGCGTTTTTTCTGGGTTTCCTTCTCTGATGTGCCTCCACTCAGCCAGCGACCGCGCGCTTCGACAAGGGTGTCTCCGGGGGTCTGCCGTCAAGTCTCGCCGAAGACCCAGCAGCTACGCTCCTTTTGGAGGACGCAAAGAAAATTTTACAGGCTAAAGGGACCAGAGAGACAGAAGAAGAGCGGCAAGCGCCTTCCTTGACATCGCCGACATCTGGAGATGGGCGTTCAAGCGCACTTGAAACAGAGCTCCCACAGAGGACTGAGGGGACAGCAGCAGCACTTGCGCGTGCCTCAGAGGCTCTAACTGCCATGGATGACCAGAAAAGCGGCTGCAATGAAAGCGTGGAGAGTGCACAAGGGTACAACGAAGAGGAGGACGCATCATTCGAGGAGTGTCTAGACCCCGAAACTTCACGAATGCTCAGCATGACCAAGGAAGAGCAGGAGTATGCACCAAACGTAGCATCAGGCACAGCTGCCCCAGTGGCAGCAACTCCAGTGTTTGTGCAGCCACAGCAGCAGCGTTCTGCGTACACCCTTTCAGTCTCCGTAATGCTGCGATATGCCGCCGTCGCGTGTTGTATGGACAAAAAACGGGGGCTAGAAGCTGAGGTGGAGCTACCACAGCAAGAACAGCTGCGGCGTCTACAGGAGCCTGCAGTACCACATCCTGCAGAGCAGCGTCTCCATTCCGGAATACTGCTTTGCAGCGTCAGCCTTTTGAGCGTCAGTGGTATCGTAGGCACTGAGGGGATTGAGGGCAGTGCACTCGTAGGCCATTTGGGCTTCAGCCATAGGCCAGAAGGTCTCCAACCAGAGCAGCAGCTCGTGTACAAGGACCCCCGTGCTGGGGCAGAGCCACTTCTGCGGGTTTGCATATCGCGTAGCCCTGACTATACGGAACGAGAGGGTTCCTCCATTAATAGCATCATCAGCTGCACCGGAACGCAGCTGTACACTGGTGAGGGAAGCAAAATTGAAACAGGATCAGTAAAAGAGCTCGTAGAGAACTCAGAGAGCAACTCAAATATCCTGTCCCTTACAGTTCGTCGCGTTATATGTTTTCTCTCTCCGGACGCCCTCAAGGACGCGTCTGCTCTTGGAAAGGCCTTCGGTACTGCATCAGCTGCTGCAGCATCTGCCGCAGCTGAGGCCTCGCAGAAATGCACTTTGCTACACCTTAGAGGGAGCACCTGCCAAGGGGAACAAGACAGAATCGACCCAGAGGGTGGCGTATGTGGACTCACAGAACCCAAAAGGCGCATGAACTTGCACCAGCGACTACTCATCCTTTCCCCTAAGCGGCAGCAACAGCTCCGTGATACTGCAACGTTGCGGTACTCAGTGTCGGTAGAGGCCCCTACGTTGATTGCTCCAGCTTCAGATGGGCGCGCGGTACTTTGTCATTTAGGCGAATTGCGGGTAGGTTTGATTGCCTTACAGGCATACACCTGTTGACTTTGTTCACATATTTACCCCTTACAAAAAGCCTCCTAGGCCATCTTCTTTCTCTACACTGCATGTGCTCCCACCAGCTCCGAAATCGGTGAATCAAGACAACCGCAGGGATAGGTATTCTCTGTGTTGCAGTCTTCTTCATTGGCCTAGATATGTTTCTCTCGATGCAATGGTTATCGGATAGCACCATTCACTGAGTCCGCCCATCTAGGCCCCTTGTGAGGACGCCTTACAATGTACTTTGTCACCCTGTGGTCTTGTGGACGCTTTGCAGATCTGCAGCGCACGCTATACGAAGGGCAAGTTATCCAACAGCTCGAGCGCAACGGGAAGAGTAGCCTCGCCAGGGCTTAAATTCGCCGACAGCATCGTCGAGGAGCAGTATTACCATACTTTTAAGGAGTCACTGGTGGGGTTGCACGCAGCTCGCGCAGGAGTACGGCCCACCTCTGGTACAGTACCCAGTGATGGTGCTGCAGTCCATACTGAGCGCGTGCGACACATCAGTCTTCGCACCTTCCACGGCGTGCTTCTAAGAGACTCTCACATACTGATCCATCCTAATCATCAGCAGCTAAAAGGCGAGCTGGAGTCTCTACAGCCAGTCGACCACTGGGGCTTCATTTACACTAACGATGACTTGAGCAAGCTAACCGAGCGTAAGGAAAACCTGAATACTAGTAGCGACTGCCGAGCCGAGTCGGGATATCAGCATCAGCTACCGGAAGCTTTGTTGGGCCATCAAGGGCCAAGGGCAGATTCGGGCTTTGATTGCAGTGCCACAGATTATACAAAACTGCCCTCAGCATGGAACGTCAGTGGAAAGACTCAGCCCGTGCTCTTTCCGTCCGAGCTTGTGGCAACCATTGAGATTGAGCACAGCGAAGTTTGTCACCCGGCAGAATTGTGGCTGCCGCTTAGATTGCCAGTACGTTCTGAGGACCGGCATTTGCACCTCCCAGCTACGGTGCTCCCCAATGCATCCGCTGGGAGCAAATGCTCACAGGTAAAGGAAACTGCAGACGAGCAGGTAAATGCAACCCAGCAGCAGAAGTCAGTGCAGAAGCAGCGGGATCAGCAACTGATGGTAGAGCAACAGGAGCAGCCACCCAACGAAGTGCATATGTATGTTAACGGAAAATGTAACAAAGTCAGAGTTCGCATGAGTCGTAGCGAGTGCGCTGCTATCGTGAGGTGAGCTGCTAAATGCCTTTTTTTGTGCTGCTCTCCCCGATCTGGAGCTGGTGTGCTCCTGAGGGTATTAAATTTTTCAAATTGGGGGTGGGGTGTAGTGAGTGCTGAAGGCCATATGCCGTCTTTGTGATTGTGTATGCTGCGCAGTGCGACCAATGGTCTCAAGACTGCGCTGACAGGAAGCGATGTTTTCACACATCCCGAGAAGACTATCGACAGAACACAGGGCAGCTCCCGTAGCCTGGCTAGCCCGAAAAACAGCAGTGCAATACTCTGTCATCGCCCTGTTAATCCACACAACAACTACCAAGGTGGCAGCGGGTCTCTTGGTGTCAACAACAGTATTCCAATGTATGTGTCGGCCACCCTAGCTTGGGAGAAGATGGCTGTATACTTGCACAGCCTCGATCGCACTAGCGTTGGAGACATCACAGGAAAGGCATGGCCCCTCGAAGGGAGCGAACATACAGACAGAGAAATAGACGCACTTCAGCTCCAAGCAACTGGTATCTGTGTATATATTAATAGCAATGAGTGCAGATCCGTCGGGCAGCTTGACATGCAGCAGTTACTCCTGGAGCAGCCTTGTCTCCCCAAGGACAGCCTGAACAGGTACATCCTCTGTCTACCGTCTCCAGGCACTTTTTCGGAAGCAGAAACAGCAGGTGCTGCCTCTGAAAGCGAATGTTTGGGGAAGCCTAGCATTGGGCTCGAGTTTTGCAGCAGCCACCACTCAATCGAAGCAGCCGAGGTTGCCAGCGTCTCCGCTTCTGTACGGTTGCTTAAGCACATGACACTCAATTTCCGCCCAACGCCCCTCACGTGGCTTTTAAACTTCGTAAAGGACCCTGCAATGCATACTGATGCCACAGACAACGACAGTGCCGGCAGCAGCGGTGGCAGTAACATCAAGAGCACCACAAGCAGTCTCACAGAATTTCACGAAACACGGACAGAGTCCACTGCACAGCCACATGAGTTTGATCTGGACACGGTTGCACCGATCACCGCCTGTAGCAGTGTCCGCAGCTCGCCACAGGCCAGCGCACCGACGAGGGCAGTTGCAGTGGATCACGGGGCTGCTGCAAGGGCGTTCACCGATCCACTTTTGAGAGACCTCAAATTGGAGTTACAGTCGGTGGACTTTCTATGGACGACGCGTGGTACTGACCTACAGCTTGCGACTGCGACGCTCTCTGCTGCCTTAGTGAGGCTACGCCTCAATCGCTTCTCAACCAAATTTGCTGCAAATGTAAAAGATTTCTCACTGAACTTCGTTGTCCCTGCCTATTCAAAGGCCACGGCCCCTCTCAGCTCGAATCAAAGAACCAAACGAACCCCATGCAGTGGCGACCAGCTGCTGCAGACTGTATTTGAGCCTCCAGTGGAAGACAGCAAGCGCAGAACCGCACATTTAGAAGCTCTCCACAGGAGGCCAGTGCTAATGACTACGGAGATTATTGGGCTGGTTCCCGGCAACAGCTGCGCCATTAGCTCGTCCCTAGAATCGGTTCATCCCCTATCCCCCAGATTTTCCGGTCTCACGTCGTCCCTCAAGGTGGAGGTGGGGACCTGCCGTGTGGTTTATATTCACCCCAAATTTTGGCGGCTCTTTGATTGGATGATCGATGATTTTGTAGGCACTCTGACCTTTTCGTCCCACCCGTCCCCTACGCCTCGAGAGGAAGACAACGCGGGTAAATCAGGTAGATGTAATGGCAGCAGGACTCTTGAGGAGACTCCCTTGAGGCCCATTCAGCGCTCTCCCTCTCTCGAAGACCTTGCCATAAATAGCGCTAGGGTGCTGCAGTCATCAAGAAGGGAGGAAGTGGTTTCATCAGCAGCGGAGGGCGAGACTGACGGCGGCTCAACTGATGAAGATATGAAGAACATTGGCGAAGACAAAAAGCTGTGGAGTGTTCCAAATGAAGGTCTCCGGCGAATCTTCCTCCTTGCTGATGCAGGTCGTAAGATCCTAGGTCTTCCTGAGTTGTTACTGCAAACGCAACCTTCCGGTACTTGCAAAAACAACTTGGAAGGTTTAGTACTTCCGAAAGCGGTACCGTTCAGCTCCTTTCATTACGAAGTGCGGATTACCTCCCCGCGTCTGCTTCTTCCGGCAAGCTGCATACCTAGCTGCAGAGGCGTCGTTTGCTGGCCTCCCCTAACCTGTTCAAGGGATAAGGACGCCAGCGGAGATAGCAAGTTCAGTAACCATGGTTGCAGCCGTGAAACATGCAGGACCTGTGGCGTAGTGGGGAAATCGCAGGCGGCAGGTGGAGCCAATGAGCGTGAGATTGAATGTTTTCTCGACAATTTCACTGTCTCTAACTCGTGGTCTCTGAGCCATAGGTACGGCCTCGTGGAGGCCATTAATGTCTCTTTCAAAGGTTTGAGGGCCTTTGCCAGGGTTGACAGCCATTTCCAGGTCTTCAGCGGCTCAGATTCCGGAATTGTACAAACACCAGAGCAGCATGAAAAACAGGGAGCCACGTCTACGCGAAGTAATGCTGTCTGTTGCTGTTGCACGCATCCCGCCTTATCTTCCTCTCGGTTTTTGAGACGGAATGCGGCCAGGTTACTCTGCCCAACTACTACAACTCCGGACTCCGCAGACATCCAGTGTCAGCTGGATGCCTCCAGCTCACCAGGAAGGTACCTGTTGGGTAGTGTTGACTTGGTAGTGCATATGTACCGGCCGGCACTACTGCGGCCGGCATCCAGCTGGCTGCGCGTGGAAGTTGGCTTGCTACCCTTACGGCTCGACATCCAAACTCTTAGCCTTTTGTTCGATGTTATCAAGAATAACGTAACAGCCAACGATCCTGAAGTCGAAGCAACGCGGTTGCATTCGCTATCTCCCGCAGCAAAGGCAGTTCCGCAGAATAAGGAGGTTCCAGGGATCAAATTTGACGTATTGCCCGCAGAGGCTCCTTTTGCACCTGTGTCTCCTAGAGATATCCAGCAGAGTCCAAACGTTGTACCAGGATCACAGCTCAAGGCATCAGCTGTAAAGCCTAGGGATGATAGTGATGTATGTGCCATCCTCCAGGAGCTACAGGATCATCAAACCCTCCAAGGGCTATTGGAACCCCAGCTGGATTTCATCGAGCTGCTGGAAGAATGGGGACACGAAACCTTTCTCTTAGAGCTCGTCGCCCACGGATTGCATCTCGCTGTGTGCGAAGCGCAGCTTGAAAAGCAAATTACTTTGCTGAAAGCCCGGTGCAGCACATTCAGACGTCGAATCGGAGAGCTCCTGCGTACACAAGAGCCCTTGCGGCGATCCCGAGAGACTAGCATGGCCTCAGACTGCAGCAGCAGTAATAAGCTTACTTCCAGAGTTTCGAAGTGCCCAGCGCAGCAAGCGCAGCAAAATCCCTTCCTCCTGTTTCACGCAACACGATTAAGGGTAGGTTATACCGATGCATTATCTTACATGGCGATGGTTCACTGTCGGGCAACTCCAGAAGTTTTTAATGTGTCAATTAAAAGGGCATGATCTGCACACCGAGACCTAGCCTTGTTGTTGATCTGGTTGTTGTGTGAATATACTGAGAAACTCTGTCTTTTGTCTTGTTCTACCCGCGGTTGCTGTCTTGTAGGTCCAGCTGAGGTCGTTACGGCTCCAGCGCATGGAGGCGGAACAGGTTGGACTTTTGCTCCCTGCTGTCGTTGTAGCCAATGACTGGGTGCCCTTGAGCAGCAAGAATGAGGAGGTGCAAACTACCCAAGTAGTGTATACGCAAACACGTATAATTCCTCCAGTCACTGGGACCTTTATTGGGATGAGAGTTGGCTCATCAACCCTTTTCTGTCCTGAATTTGCTTCACCATTCTGCGTCGTTTTCACCGACAGCAGCTGCCCTTTAGGGCTTCTGCAACAACAATTGGAGCCCCTTGTAAACAGCACACGCCATGCAGAAGCGGATGCAATAGCAGCAGCTGTTGCTGCTGCCAGAGGAGATTATTCTTTGGCAACACTGGTCAATCCAGAGCAACAGTCCGCGCGAAGGGTATCAGATGAACATGATCTGCAGCACACGCACCAAGAAGAGCATCCCTTAGTGACTGCGTTTACAGTCCCGTGGGTTGACCCACTTCAGTTGAGGGACTTGAAAGAAGATTTAACAAGCGAAGAGAGCGGGTTGGTGTCCCCAGCTGTCGCTCATAGCGCTACCACGGCTTTGTTGGGCGATACTGTTCTTGGAACTCCTAGGAAGTTGGACACATCGGCGAGGTCCTCTGACTTTAAGAGGGCAGCTTCGGGGGAACCGGTGGGACTGCCTGAAATTAGCAGGGACTACACCGTGATCTTCGATTCTGCAGACAGCTGTAGCCGTGTGCAACAGCATCCGGCGCAGGGAAAGCTCCCGTCTGTCCTACCAGCCGTCGCGCTGTCCCCTCACCCTGAGGAGCTCAAGGTGTTTTACAAGTCTGCGTCCGCAATCCCAGTAATACCGCTGTCGGAGAGTAGCCTTCTCACCATCAGGGAGCAACAAAATATGCCATCAGAAGCAAAGCTCCAAATACTGCAGCGTTTATCGCATCAGCGGAAGCACCAGCGAAGGCAGCAACGAGTCTCTGTTTCTTCATGGAGGCCTCGGTGCGTCCTGTCTTTGCCATTGTTGACTCGCATCGGAGCCTTCTTCTCCCACAAGGAGGTACAGCCGAGTGGCATGCCTTCTCAGACACCAAGCAGATCACGGGAGGCTGTGTATGAAGACATCGCCTATAGCAACAGCTTTACTGCTGTGGAGGACCCAAGGAAGATTAACCAATCTGTCAAGGCTGCCACGGATCACCCGTTCCCAGCTGCCCCAGTTGCTGACCAGGAAGCCGCCGGTGGAAGTTGTCTTCCCCTTTTAGGACAGGAGATTTCGTGCAAAACGGCTGGCGTCAATCAGTGGCATAGCATGCATTCCAGCAGCAGTGACAACAGAGACAGCAGTCGCCGCACGCGATTAAGCCGTTCCACCGATGATATTACTCTCCGGAGTAGTGCAGATCCCTATGCTTTGGGGCGCAGCAGCAGCGGAACTGCATACAACACCAGAACTAGCACCAGCGGCAGCAGTATAGCGGTCCCGCAGGCCTTTAGTATTGATGAGGACCTCACATGTTTTGGAAGCAAGGCTCTTGCAGTATGCAGGTCATCCTTCGACTCTGCTAAGCGATTTGCCGCTGAACTGCGCAGTCGAGGCAGACGGATGCCACTTGGGAAACTACAGCCCCGGCACGCCGCCACTGATGAGGAAGGTTGGAGCAGCAGTGACGACTCCTGGGAGAGGAGCAGCGAAGGCAACAGACACTATACCAATTGCCAGCAGCTGAGCAGTGACTCAACTTCAGGACTCTCAACTGGGCCACAAAAGCTAGAATGCCCACCGTTGCAGCTAAGCTCCCTAAACGCAGCGCTTCACTTGTCTGAGGCATCGGTTCTAGTGCCAGTGGACAGCAGAATCAGCAGTACCAGTTCGGTGCTTCTCCGTGGATCAGTTGACCTGAGCAGGCGAGCCGACGGAGTGCACGACCCTATGGATCCTTCGGAGACATCTGAAGATGCTGAAATAGCTTGCACGCTATATAGGCAGCTCCGTGGTTGTGATAGCAGCGGCAGTGGAGGTACCTCATGGGGATGTAACATAGATAGCGTCCTATTCACTGCACCAGATAACACAGGGCACCCACTGCAGGAGCAGAACTCTCGGGGGAGAGATCGAATAAACTATCTTGGTAGGTTGGAGGACAGGTTTTCCCCTGGCCTGCGCGCTGTGGACTTCTTGTTGCAGCATGCAGCTGTTACATGTCTTCGCAACAGCAGCCCCCTGCAGCAACTGGACGCCAGTACAGCGGATCTCCACAGGCGCCGCAAGCTCTTGGAGCGAAGATACATTAGGAGTCTGAGACGGTCCGGCACTAGAGGTGGTGGCGGTAACTCAACAGCACCACTGGGTGCAACACAGGGAGCGAATTTCGCAGATGAGGGATTGCCACATTTCTTGCCAAACGAGCTGCGTTCATCCGCCGCACTAGGACAGGTGGCCTTCTTCAAGTCATGTGAAGATCCTTCAACTGGACAGCAGGCAATCCCTGCAGCTGTGAGTGCGTCTGCTAGTGAAAGGTCCTGGGGGAGCTTTGGCATGCCCCAAGCCGACAAGGAACCGAATATTTCTGTAGAGGCTCCTTCTTTTACTTCAGCGGTTGATGAGCCTGGATCTATCGCAGAGGACAGCCAAAATAGCGTTCGGGCAATCTGTAGCGACTTGTGGGCACAACTGACTTGTTTCGTCTTACCTCCAGCGGACCCTTGCGGTTGGAAAGCAAAAATCTTAAACGATGCAGCCATGGGTGTATCTCAAGGAGTGGCTAGTGACTCTAGAAGCTGCGCAGACGCTCAGGGCAGCTGTTGTCGCTGCCTGATCAGAGACAAGAATTTCAGCAGAGCTGGAGCTAGGAGAACACCCCCGGGGCAGCGGTGCAACTGTTGCTGCCACCACCCGCAAGAGTACACTGCAGTGCATGTGGGCCCATGTGAACTCGAGGTATCGTACCAGGACTGCCTTCTAATCTGCCGCTGTGCTGCTGAGCAGACAAGGCAATTAGAAGAGCAGCAACAGCTGCAGCAAATGCACGAGCGCGTGCTGCAGCGCCTGCTCCGTCGCTGCACAATGCTGCAGCGCGAGCTGCTTCTACGACAAAGGCGGTGGCAGCAGCCGTCTGCTGGGGAGTGGGAGAATCAGCAGCCATGTTCTGTCCAAAAGACTTCTTTTGGTGATAGGACGCCTCGTAGCACTGCTGAAATGGAGCAGCTGAGGCTATCCTTGCCTCGAGTGAAAGAAAGAACCTTGACACCTAATAAGTATGCTGTGCGGGCACCAAAAGGCCTCCAACCATATCCCCCGCAGCGGCATTTGTTTGCAGGATTGCCACTTGTGCGAGTAACCCTTCTTAATGATCACTTGGACTGCCTGCAAGCGCCTCTTCTTCAGCTCTTGCTAACCGACTGCCGCCTTACCCGAGCCTTCTACGTTTTGCCTCCTCCCCATGCCGCACTACGGCAGCAGGAAAAACAGCAGAGGTGTGCAGTAAGCATTTTTGAATCATCCTTGCGTTTGTGGGCTTTAAACCCCTTGGCGGTTGCCTTTGAGCCTGTGGTCGAGTCGTTGCCTCTTTCTCTTGTTGTACGAGAGGCGCCATACAGTTTAATGCACTGGGCATACAGTACACGATGCGATGACGCCAGCTCGTCGCTTACATTAGATTGGCAAGGCAACAGCACCAGACTCCAGAAAAACCGCCCAAGTTGCCCCCAGCAGCACCAGCACAGACATGACCCAAGGTTTTCTAGGATTGTGGTCCCTTCAAAGACAAAGCCGCCCTCTAGTGAATCCATCAACAACAGCAGCAGGCAAAGCAGCAAGGACGAAGCCAGCTCCAGTTCCGTGGCCCCCGTGCTCTTCCGCTTTTCGAAGACTGCTGCAGATCAAGAGACATATGCTTTCGAGCATCAACAGGAGCACAGTGCACGCCGTGATGTGCCGTCCTTAGAGCATTTGAGTGTCAAGTTATTGAGGCAGCACCAGTCACCCGGAAAGACAGAAAGTAGCAGCGGCAGCATCCAGCAGCAACGAACTCTGCTTTCGCCGCCGCAAGGACTCAGGGCAAAGAAAATGGATCGCATTGGCGATGATACGGCTACACAAGTAACCGAGGCTGTAGCTCATGGGGAACAGTACATGGGTATTTCCCTTTCGTGCCCTGAGGGCAGCGCCATCGAAGCCAATTTATCTCCCTTGCTGCTGCAATCCGTTCTAGGTAGTTTATACAAGTGGCACTGTGACTTTGCACAACACATGCAACAGCAGCAAGCTCCTGCTTCTCAAGACTGCCAGGAAAACACGGCAGCGGCTTCACATGGACAAAAGAACGAGCCTACGCCGCAGCAGAAGCAAGCACTGCAACAAGATCAGCTGGAACAGCAGCAGGAACAAGGTTCAAGGCTATCACGCCTGACAAGTCAGTCCGCAGCAGAGCACGATGATGAGCATGAGGCTGGACCGGCGTTTCTCAGCGAGCAAAGGCAAACCCTTGTCAACGATCGCAGAGGGGCTCCGCTGAGAAAACCCCCATCAAGCTCGACGGAGGCATTGCTTGCTGCCTTCACACTGCGCGGCAGTTGCATGGAAAAACGCCACATTTCAGATGACAACGGTCATCTGGATACGGAAACTTTATACAAATCAGGGCTCGCTAGTGAGTCCGATGGAAAGGGGCGTAAACGCGAGTTGAGACCGCTGGAAGAGGCAGCACGTCCCAAGAGGGGACGCCTGTTTATTCCTTATCAAATTGTAAATCAGACAGGGCTACAGCTTGGTGTGTTACTGCTGCCCCCTTCCAAGCCTATTTTAACACTGGACTCAAAGGGGTTTCCTCCAGGTGACTCAGGGCAAGCCGTGTCCGCATCTACATGCGGCCTCCCCAGCAACCTGCGGGTGTGCCAGCGCCATAACAAAACGAAAAGGATAGGCGAAGAGTACAGCAGCAGCGAAGGCAGCAGCACGAGCGAAGCAGAAATCCAACGCGATCTAGCAGCTTCTTCCATATTTTGGGACTTCGGCCCAGCTCTACAGCGACTGCCGTGTGGATCAACAGTGGAACCAGGCGTAGATGGACCAGAGGGTAGCTCGAAGATGACGGTGTCCTGTCCCCCGTCTCCCGCAAGATCCAAAGACTTTGATCCTGCGACGCACCCTTTGCATTCTCTTGGGAGACCTGAACAGTGGGATTGGCTGCGGCCATTAGAAGAAAGGGCTCTTACACAAATGCGGCTGTCCACTGGAGCGGTGGCTACAGTGCATGTCGCTTTGCAGCTTGCGGACCAAGTCCCCGGGACGTATGATCCGCAATACTCTATGTGCGACACAGCTGCTGATGAGCAGATGCGTCAGGGAGGTTCTGGTCGCCTTATTGAGGGCGCAGTTGGACACTGCAGGCGCTGGAGGCTGCGGATGCCCGTCCCCCTTGACCGCGTTGGAGTGTACATCCAGCCTCTAACAGACACGAAGACAGTGCCCTCGACGGGGTCAACAACAGCGTCTCTGGGAGTCCATAAAGATGTCGCTCCTTTCGTTGTTTGTCGCCTCATTGCAGACGGTGGGACAAAGCAGCTGCTTGTGCAGTCACAAGTGGTCCTACGCAACTCTTGCAGTTTGCCACTCGAGGTGATGCTGCTACACCCCCAGGAGGCTCCGAGCTTGGGGCCACAGGAGAACAAACCGCGACACACGGAGGTTGGGAATGACTCTCAACTTAGGCTTCTACTCTTGAAACCAGGGGAAACAACTGCTGTCCCCGTAGACCGTAAGGCCAGACCTTGCAGGGAAAGCATTCTATCCTATTCCTCCCCCCACCTGCCACCCCTTAACAGCCGATACAACATTTTTTCTCAGGCGGCAAATGTGTAATTGGCGAGCTTCTTAGTCGTTCTTTACTGTGTGCTGCTTCTCATGTTCTCAGTTTGCTTCACAGGGCGTCTACGCGTCCGGCCTATCCAGGCGGGACTGACATACAGCTGGTCCAGAGACCTCAGCCTCGGCATGTTATGGCAAGTAGTCAACGAGGCGCAGCAGCATGGCGTCAGTGGAACAGGGAAAGATGCGTTCAAACGGAGTCTGCCAAAGCTGGATTTACTGCGGTGTTGCCCACTCCAAAGCAATACTGGCAACTGTAACAAATGTGAAGAAATATGTTCCCCCGCCACCGCCGAACAGGGTCTCGCCAGAGAGCTGGTACAAGAAAACCTGGACAAGCAACGGCAGTGTGACTACCACATGGCAGTTTTATATGGGATTGAAAGGCTATTGCACTCTTCAATTTCTTGTTTACAGCTGAAAGTTTCATTTGAGGCTCCGCTGCGCCTTGCTAGTAACATTCCTTTCCCCGTTAGGTACTCTTTGCCCCCCTACACATGCAGCAAGTAAAAATTCTATTAGGCTGTTAAGACTCTAGCTGCTCACTGGGACCTCTGAAATCTGTTGCTTTGCTCCGTGCTGCATTTGATGGATGCGGGTTTCCCCTTTGCAGATATCGTGTGCACTGCCCGTTGGTTTTGAAGGCGGGACAGGATCCGCCCGACGATTCAGAGGGCTCCCTTCAGCTAAACAACTGCCAATATGTTCACTCCTTCCCCTTGGCCGGTAATTCCCTAGTTTACGTATTTCCATTCTTATATAATCTTTTTGGCAGTTCACAGTACAGGAAGCTGTTGGGTGTTGTTTCCTGCTGAGTCCCTTAAAAGGATAGGAACTAGCGCAGGCAAGATGTCTTGGCTCAGCTGAGTACTCTAGCAGACTGTTGTAGGAAAGGCGCTGATATCTGCTACAGCAACACTAGTTATACACGTTGCTTTTGTACGCGATGGGGTCCCTTTGCAGGAGTGGCTTTCCTTTCCCTCTCACTCGCAGAAGATCGATGGTCCAGTCGCATCCAGATTCACCCTCGGCCCCTACAGCGACTGCGACCACCAGCAGCAGCCCCTACTGCAGCGGCTGACGGAGCTTCCGGTTCTTTGAGCACAGCCACAGGGAGACGACACAGCTCAGCAGACCTTGTCAAATTAGATGAATCTAAATGCAGGAATGGCGGAGCCGCTGAAGAGATGCCTGGCGGGGAGACCATAGTAGAGGTTTGTACACCATCCATAAAATATTACAGTCCAGAATTCATAGATGCCACAGCGAGTACTGATTTCCGACGTGTTCGTTGTGCTCCGCCGATTCTGTAGGTTGAATGCTCGGACACCTCGTACCGCGTCTCCAAACTGTGGATTATCTTCTGTGAAACAGAAGGCGGCATCCCTTGCTTGCTTTTACATGCACCAGTATGGATGGTGTCATACGTCCCGTGGTCACTTCAGAAGCAAATGCAGCAGCAACGGCAACATCAGCGGCATGACGAGGGCCGCTTGAGATCCCCGAAGGGGCACACGAAGAGGTTGTCTGCTGTGGAATACAGTGCCCTTCACCGCGACAGCCTGACAGAGGCAGGATGGGCAATGCAAGCAGTATCAGCAGCTGCTGCTGCAGTTGATCTGAATAGGAGCTTGGAAAGTCGGAAGCCAGTGCCAGTACCCAAATTCGGAATTTCTACTCTTGATGGCTTAGCAAATCATTTCGATGGAGAGATCCGACTTCTCGACTTCAACGTATGGTACCGTTTTTACGTGTGGTATCGTGCTTTTCTTGCACCTTGAGGCTGCTAGAGCTACCTCCTGTTAGCGCTTGGGCCGTCAGTTTGCTAGGAGCAGATCACCTGCCAAGTTGAGGCTACGTAGTGGCGTGCTGCAACGGAAAACAGACCATGTGATTGAGGATATAGGACTTTCCTTAGCTCCTCGCAACAATTGTGTGCTGCTCCCTACAGACATCTTCTATTCGTGTGGAGGCTGAAGGACTTGGCTGCTCTTCTTTTTTGGATATATGGGGGGACTTCCCCAAGAATCTTCAGGTGTCGTCGCGTTTCTCAACCGCACACGATACCCTCATGTCGCCCCGACAAGCCATGCAGATTCCTGGCGGGCTGTCTGCGAACTTTCCTTCGTCTAGCTCTAAGGAGGCTTGCGCAGGCCAGTCCGCGACCGATGCTAGCTACAAAGGCAGTCAAGTCTCTGGGAATTCTAAAAAGGGATTTCTGCATGGGAGTGTGGGTGGGAATCCCTCCTTGGATCTTGTTGCTACAAGGATGGAGGCTGGCATTCCTCTACTTCGCCCTGTTTTGTTGCTAACTCTTGCTCCCATGTACACTGTAACGAATCATTGCTCCTTTCCTGTAAGAGTACGACAAGCTAGGGCAGGTCTCTATTGCAGTTATGAGGGAGCAACTAGTAAAGCCGTCGACTTCACGCTGGAATTGGAGCCTCAGCAAACCCAGCCATTGGTTTGGCAGTTTGCCGAGGGCAGTCGAGCGATACAAGCGCAGGGGTGAGAAGTTGAGGGGCGCAAGGCTGAATGGCTTTTGCTTTTGTCACGGGCTCCTGAGAGCTGCTTTCCTTGCCAGTGACAGTGCGGAATAATGTCGCAGTATCGCAATGCTGCATGCAAGCGTTCCCAGTTATCCTGTCGCAGTCGGTCTAAAAGTGCCCCATGGATTATCAGTGCAGCAAAGCTCTACAGTACACTAACCTGTCTATTTGTACTTATTGTCTTTGCAGCTTAATGCCGACATTGTGCTGGCTTCAACACGGCTGCAGCAGAGTCTTCTTAGACCCACGCACTGATGGTGCACCAGAAACAGTGTGGAGTGCGTGGTCTGGCTACTCCCCACTATGTTTCCCTCGGGAGGAGTGGTGTCTCCGTCTGCCCTTTGCACCAGTTGAGTTTCCGCTGGATGTTCACAAGATGCACGAAGATTGTAGTTGCAGTACAATACGTGGAAAGGCTTCGCCTGTGTCCTATGAGGACCCTGCTAAGTTCATGGGCAGTAGGTTGCAGCCACATGAGCTTCAACCACTCAGTTCTATATCAGCCGCGGAGCCGTACCGCCAACTGAGCGTTTTGTTGCGTCGGGGAGTGTCTGTAGAGAGCAGTACGAAGTCAATACATAATCACCGAAGAATACCGGACCAACTTGATGCAAGATTGTATGCTTCTTCTGGGTGTTCTTTGCGCTTGGAGACAGAGGAGGGGCCAGCCAATAGCATTAGCTTGATAATCAAAGAGGAGGACTTCAAGCTGAGGGATGCCATATCCATATCTAATGACACGCCATTGCCTCTCCTAGTGCGTCAGTGCTGCCACAAAAGCACGCCTGAAAACGACACCTGCGGCGCAGCAAGCAGCGGCTCGTCAAGTGTCGTTGAGAAGTTTGCTCTACCCGAGGCTGCAACCCTGGGAGTGGACTCCGTTACGACTGCTGTTGTTGAACTCTGGGGGGCTGCAATTCAGGGCAATTCGACGCAGCAGAACTTCAACCGTCATGACACTGATAACTCGGGACAGCATGTCAAAAGCGATCTAGGGAACCACGGCGAGCAGTCTGATCGTTCGATGCATCTTCTTAACATGCTGCTGGAGGCTCAGCAACGAGCAGAGCAGGAGCGAACCCATCATCAGAAAGGAGTTGCGTTGTCTCATTCTCCCACTTCGGTATACATATCTCCGGCTCCTCAAAAGGAGGCTATTCAGCTACAGCTGAACCGTTTGAGCCGTCTTGCTGAAGCCATTGTTGCTGAGAACGCTGCAGAGCATGATAAAAAGCAGGCAGAATGTATGGGGAGCGGGCCTAGTAACGCCGGCAGCTGCTCACGCTGCACATGGTGCCGGTTCGAGTCTGCAGTGGCGAAGGAGTTGCGTAGGATTGAAGCAAGTAATGGGACTCCTAGTGGGGATGCTGACTCAGGACCCTCTATGTTGTGGCCACTTCCCCAGCTTGTGCTTCCCGGGGAAACTGTGCTGTTCGCTTGGGACGATTACCGTAACTTACCATGTATTGAGTTATCTTACTTCTCGCGGCTACAGCAGAGCCTGATGGAAGATTCGTCTCCAACAGCAAAGCTCGCCAGTAGCAGTCATAGTGCAAGTGTCTCATCTACAGTGGACCTCCACTATTTGGACCAGCCGTTTGTTGCATGCATTCCACTACACTCCAACGCTCGAGGAGTAATACCTCTGTCGCCTCTGCCGTCTTCTTGCTGGTTCTTGTTTAGGGTTGTGCACTCTGCTGGTAGGCTGCGCCTGCAGATTGCTCCTGCTGGTGAAGTCCTTGGAGTTGGCGTTTCGCATCCGCCTGGTGGCGATATAGCAAGGCAGCGGGAAGGCACCATCAGCAAACACGTATCTCCTCCACACTCTTCTCGTGAGGTACCACCCCCTGCTGCTGGTACAGCTTCAGGTGGTCGCATTTCTTCTTGGGCTGAGGACGACACTGAACAGGTCCATGTATCTTCAGAGGACGTGGACATCGACTCTTTGCTCACATTGCCCCGTTACTTTCTGCTTTCGGTTGTGCATAAGGAGCTAGCTATGGACTGCTCCAGCGGATGTAGCAGTGGCATGCATGGCCATGTGCGCCCTTGGGCATTTGCATCGATGTGTCCATTTGCTGCGGCTGTCGTGGGGTCCTACGCCCCTGATCGGAAGTCTGCCTCAGTAGCTCCTGCTACTGTCCATTCTGGTTCTGGTCAATCTGAATCAGCAGATAGTATTCTTCCGCTTCGACCAATCCCAGAGCCACCCAAGTTTGAATTGCGCATGAAAATCCCACTCCTGCAGCTCTCCGTATTGTCTCAGGCGGCTATCACCGACCCTTTGTCTCGTCAGGTATGCATACACCTTACACAGCCGAAGCGTAGTCCTTGAGAGGGACATACTTGGGATGGCAGGGGTGGGTGTGCACGCGAACCATCCAGCTGATGTGATTCTGTGTATTTTGCCCAGTTCTCTGTGGCATTAGCCCAGGTAGACAATGCTCTAAAAAACCACTGGAGGATCCATTGAAATGAGCTTTTTTCTCACAAACTTGGCAAAGTGCATCTTTCTCTGGGTGTTCTGCGGCTCAGACTTTCCGTCTTCCCGAGGAACTACTGCTCGTAACATTTGAGGGCCTCTCCGCCTCGTACCTGCGTAGCCCATCTCATAGCGCTGTTGCTTGTAGAATCCAAGAGCTGCAGGCAAGGCCCAATGAGGCTGTGACCAAGCTATCTAACTGATCCGTCTAAGCTTGTCGAGGCTTTGCTATTAGCCCACTATTTTGTGGCTTGAGAGTTTAGCATAGGGGTGTTGCCTATGGTGATCTTCCACGTTCTGTCAAAATTTTTGTGGGCTTTGCTTCAGATCGACTCCATGCACTCTCAAGCGTACTATCCAGTGTTACTTCAAAGGGCCCCCTCCATGCCATCTGAGGTCGGTTCAGAGCATACACTGCTTAGAAATCCCCAGATATCGTTTGAGCACTGGTAATGCACCTTCTCGCTCTATGCTGGTGCTTGCACGCTCAGGCCCCTGCAGTAACCAGCAGCTCACTACAAGTCCCGCTGGCCTCGGAATCCAGTGACAATCAGGTGCAAGGCAGTGGTGGCAGACGTGCAGTTTCTCAGCACGCCATATCTCCCGAGCAGGGAAATTCGCAGGGTGCTTTAGTGGACTTTATGATGCAGCAGCGGCAGCCGCACAACAGTACTGATGAAGGGGACGTAGTGTTGGTCGACAAATGTATCCTTTCCCTCAAGGTGGGGCAGCTCGTAGCCATGGAAACACGGAGTCTGCCATCTGCCATTTTGCTCTAGCAGTTGCAACTGGTCAGGGCCTGACTGCTTGCTTTGTTTCAGTATCTTCCAGTATACCTTTGTTTCCTTGTGCCACGCGCTGCAGCCCATAAGCATAAAGACCGACCTGAACAGTTTCTACGTGGCCTCCGAAGCATTAAATTGCTGGCGATCCGCCTTCGCAGCTGCGACTGCTTCTGTAAATCTACTAGATTATGCCGGCAGCGAAGGCTCTCCAATGGCATCACCGACCACCCTTGGAGGCGAGCAACCCAAAGATATACCAGATACATCGCCTACTTGTTGCGAATCAGCGTGTTCCACCGACAGCAGATCTGGCCCACCCGAAGCTAAAGGCATGGAGTATCACTACTCTATGCAAAGCGGCCTCGAGTGGGCATGCAAAGGGAGCAGCCATTGGCACTCACCTGTGTTGTTCTTCGTCTCAAAGCCTGCAGATGCAAATCTTGGATTTGCTCCATCGCCCATGTTTCTTCGACCACGTTTAGTCAGGCGGAGTGCGCCTGCATCTAAGGAAGACCGACGACAACAGTTGAAGCATCAGCGAAGGCAGCTGTACATTTTCCGGGTTCTCGTGATAGCTGAAACGTGTGTAGTTCTATCTTTTAAAGCAGACACTGGTGGTAACAGCAGCGCCTTGCGTAGGTCTGTTGTCACACTCTCCTCTCTCGAGGATGCGAGGCTCCAGATAAACGGTTTACACATGACGGCCCAGAGCCTCACCGAAAAGCTCAAGGATTTCCAACAGCAGCAGCAGCCACAGTTTCACTGTAGTTTTCCTCTCTTATTGCAGCTACAGCATTGCCACAGGCGACCAGCTCTATCGTTGCGGGATATTGCAAGAGTGGTTGGACAGTTTTATCAGCAGCAGCTATTTTCTCATCTATCCAAGGTACTAGTCTCTGTCGATGTACTAGGTACGCCTGCAGCTCACGCATAAGGAGCTCGCACTGACCTGAGAGTTATACACGTTCTTTTGAGGGGGTAACGAATTCGGTTCGCCATGCACCTTCTGAGGTAGAGTTTTTATATGGAATTCCTTTGTGCTGGAAAGGGGGAATTTGTATCTCAAAGGTGCATGACCGAAATGGGTATACAGGCCAGCCGTTTTATTTGTATGGTAGCTGATCAACAGCCCCATCTTGTGAACCCCAAGATATACCTTTCTAGGGTGTGGAAGAGAGTGCCACGATTCTGTAGGCTGCTCTGTCATCTATAGGTAACCCAGCGTTGTCATTCGCCCACCTACAAGCAGGTGTCTATGCGCTAGCGAGGCAGCCGTTGGAAGCGGCTGAGGCCGGTGGAGACGTTTTTGAAGGAATGATAAAGGGAGCTGAAGACTTTCTCAAACACACAGGTGACTTCTCGACGTAGCCCTATGATGGAGTGCTGCCTTGCACACCCGTTGTAAGGGCTCGGCGCTCTGTGCCATATGTTGATTTTTGGCAGCTTCACGGTATTTTCTAGCTTATTGAGTTCTTACATGATCTGTGTCAGGCTGAATGGAGTGAAGGCAGTCCGACGGAATTTTCGTGTTCGGGGGGAGAATAATCCCTTTACAGCCATGCGAATGCAGTGCACATAGCGTGTGCATGCCTTCCTCCCCAAGGTACCAGCAATTCATCGTACCTGGTTTCGGTTACACGAGCATTGTTTGCTTTCAGGTTATGGCTTTTTTGGAGGAATCAGCAGAATGGCAGGGGTTGCATCTGACTCACTTGGAGCACTGGCTTGTGATGAAGTGTATGTGCACGCTAGAAAGCAACAGGGGCGACACAAGGCACGTAATGTGGAAGAGGGCCTTCAACAGGGTGTCGAGGCCCTTGGAAGGGCCCTCGCGGGCGGATTTACAGGTAAAATCGCTATCGTGGAACAAAGTCACTGCAGCCCGCACCTACATTATACTTTGTCTCTGCTCAAAGGGCCTGATTCCGATGAGCTGCTGATAGCTTACTTTAGCTAATTGGCCTTCTTTCAAAGGGCTCCAGGGCACACCGCTTGTGCATGCATGCTCCATCCCGCAGGACTGGTGGAGGAGCCCGTTAGGGGCGCTGCAGAGGGTGGCTTAGAGGGACTGCTACGTGGGGCTGGCAGAGGCATCGCAGGTTTCCTAGTGAAACCGTTGACGGGTGTGCTTGATTTAGCCCAGAAAACAGCGGAGGCCATCAAGGTAATAGCACTCTATGATAGAGAAGCGCCGTAGCCCTCACCTCACACCATAGCTTACGGTGTCCTTCACAAAACAAGCCTCACTCTCCTCAATAGCCTTGCGGTCTGGCAAAGCTTTCTTGCACCTGTATTACCCATGGAAGCAGAAAGGTGCTGCAATGTTATCACCTTCATCATCCGTGAACCTCTCATATTTCTACATGTACAAACGGGCACTTCTCCATTGTTCGCTTCGTTACATCAAGTGCAATCGAGTGCTATGCAACGAGTCCTTCTGCCACAGGACGCTTCTCAAATCGAGGGGTACCAACGCCCAAGGCGCCGTTTGCCTCGCCTGTTGCTTGGGGCGTCTCGCCTGTTGGTTGCGTACGATGCGGAAGCAGCCGCCGCAAAAGCTATTCTAACAGAAGCGGAAGGACAGAACTGGTGAGGCATAATAGCATGCCACTTTTTCTTATATTTATTTGTGGCTACGCGGATGATGGCGGTGCCGCTCACCTCTCCTCTAGCCGCTCGCCAGATTGGATAGTGTGTATTGTTCCTCTTCTTGACGGTCTTTCAATGATTTACTGTTTTGCTTCCTGCTGCACATTTGCGGGCATTTATTGGCGTAGAGCTGGGTAGGAATACGGGTATCGCCAGATTTGTGTGCTTGGATTTCCCTGTATGTTCTGCATTCTTAGGTCCAATCTTCCCGTGCTGTATTTTGCCTTGGACCGCAGCCTTGAAAGCCTCACGGTGCTCACAGAGAGCCACATGCTACTCTTCAAGGTGCATGCACGGTGCCCTGCGGAGCTGCAGTTCCTCGCCCCATTATCCTGCATATTGGCAGCTGGTCACTGCAGCATGCAGAGTCGCAGTAGCAAAAATACCAAAAATCTGAAAGTTAGCGGTAGCCTCACTCGAGAGCGCCACGTTGTGGTGTTGCAGATCCTGCGATCTGGCGAGTCTGGGGTTTGTTACCAGCAGTTGTTATATGCAAATGAACGGTTGCAGCGGCACATCCTGCAGTCCTTAAGGCAGCTGATGCTCCAATGAGATCTGTCGCATTTATTCCTTCCGCGTTTGTCAAAAATCTGTGCCCTGGGATGCAGATGTACGTAGTGGCCTTGCATGTTTGATCACATGTACAAGTGGCAGCACGAGCAATTCCTTCTAGGGATAACTGGATGAATGCTATGGTTGCTTATTTTCTTGGCTTTGAGCTAATATAAAACGCAGATCTACAGGATCTCCAACGATGCAGCAAGCATCAAAGCAAATGTGCTTGTTTGGACCCAGCACGGGAAGGGATGAGCAGCATTCTTTCACTTGGTATGGTGTCTTCATGTAGAGAAGTAATGCTGCATCTGCAGTCTGCTAAATTATTGTGAGGATGTGCTGCACTGTACCCTTGAATATGCATCTTTTGTTGTTTTGTTTGATAATGACGCTTCTGTACCCTGGACCCGTCTTGGTCCCCTTTAGCATTGCCTAACAACAGAATTGGGAGCTAGTACCTACGGCTCAATCGCAATACAATGCCTTCCGTTAGTTGCTTCTTTTGTAATTGTCGCGAACCTTTGCCGCCACAGGGCCTATCGCAAAACCAGAAAGCCCTAGCTTTTGAAGGTTTTTTTAATGGTTGTATCATCCAGTCTCACCCGCTAAATTGTGAAGGTGGGAGCATAGTCGCATCTAAGCCACTGCGCTTCTGGCTGGCGTGCAAATGCCAGCAAAGGTGCTGTGACCCAGTCAGGAAAACAGTTCGCTTCTAGGGACATTCAGCGAACGGACTTGCAATTAGGTATCTTTAGCCAGTGCTGCCGTACCCATTTTGCTTACAGTGGACAGAGGCACGCCCTAAGATCCTTTTTACCCGGTAGACTCATTAAAACTTGAAATTTAGCTGTAGACTTTAGAAATGAAGAATATCCATACGAGAATGTGAAGCATCTGGTCTGACTTTGCATTGCAGCATTCTCTCTTCTACGCTGTATCCTCTTGTTGATGGACTGAAAAACAAGGGAGCTCGGAGAAAGGGGCCGTTAATCTTAGTACTTTGTAGTTCACGGTGCAGTTGAGTCCTTCCTGATCCTGTTGCAGATACCGACCTAGAAATCCCCCTAAATTGCTTACCAGTGGCAAATTAGACTCTGTACTTCACATGTTCATCAAAAGCGTGAAGCATTTAAAAACTTAAGAGCACTACTAACAATCTAGCGTTCGCCTCCTTCCCTCTTCCCCATGAGCATTCTCCATACTGAACTCACTTGGGGCTGCGGCTGCTACCACTATAAGCGGCGCTCCTTATAACGACTCCCTCTACCGCTTTAATTTCTCCCAGGTCTCTTTAGGCGCCAATACACAAAGGTGAAACCTGACTTACTTGCAGTTTCTGAGAGTAGGTCCTTTAGGCTCAGACACGAATAGGACACCTCTGAGCGCCGTCCCACATTTGCATGTAAGTTGGAAATTAAAACAACAGCTACTTTGCATTCTTGGTATTCATGCGTCGGCAGGAAATTTACTAGCATTCAGAGCTGAGGCGTTACGTGTGTGGTTATGCCCAATAGGCTTGATGCGACGGGGGGCCCTCTTATGGATAATCTGATGAGACAATACTATAGACAGTCGCTCAGTGCACTTCTCTCTATTCCTGCTATGACTACATTGCTTCGCCGATTCCTAAGCTAGTGGCCGTTGCATATGTTGGGGGACAAGCTACCTCCTTCCTCGTTAGGGTGTGCGGGCTTCATGCGTTTGCTGTTGCTCAGCCCACAAATGCGGAAGCAAGATGCTGGAGGGCAGCAGGCCCAGCCCTCAGAAGCCCCAGCTCAGAAGCAGGCAGCAGAGACCCACGAGGAAGCGTTTGATGAGCCGGATGACGAGCTCGAGGAATTCGATGAAATCGGTCAGACATGAACTCCAAGCCCTTTGTGACGTTAGACCCTGATGGCTCCTAGGCCTGCATACTCCGCGTGCTCTGCCCTCTGTTGAGCTCATTAAACACTACAGCCTCGTCAACTGTGCACCTTATCCTCTATATTTAAGGCGTATATCTGCCTGGATCGTGAAGCCATCCGATAAATGGAGCAAACAAGTGACCGAAGGCCAAATAGGCTCCTCGGGTATGTGCGGCTTTGCAGGTGGCGAGGTGCCGATTGACGCAGAGGTGAAGCAGTGGAGTGAAGACTGGGACGCTGCAGGTGAGCCCCTTGCCTTTCAACTTGCTGCACCTTCGGTCAGGCGCTCATCCATAGTGCAGTGGGACAAAGATTGGAGTCTTTGGTTCTGCCTCTGTCCTCTGTTCCTGCTTGTGGAGTCCCGTGAACGGGTTTGGTGTGTGGGTCCTTGCCCTCTCAACCTTATTGCACAAGTAGACGGCGATATCGGTGTGATTATGCTCCCTGCTTTTCAATATTAACCACCCTTCAGCTTGCTTAGAGACTCACAGACTGGCCAAGCTTATTTCTCATCAATCCATATTGCTGCAGGGGATCACAGTCCCTGAGACGCCGCGCACTCATCTAGCTGCTGCCTTTGACTAAATAGATGAGGAAGCTGACAGCTGCTGCAGCAGGCCTTTCGCTTGGTTGGATGTGTTCCGCAGGCTGGGATGACGAGGATCCTGACGATGAGTTCTTAGAGCGGCTGCAGCGCGAATTGGAAGCCTTTAAGACAAACTACACTAATGGAAACCCCCAAACCCGCAAGGCGGCGTGATAACCCCCAGTACAAAACAGAGGTCCCTTTGGAGTGCCCTTTGTGCCTATATGGGGGCCACACCTGCTTCGTGGGGTCTGTGGAGATGTCTGTCTTCTTGACACTAGCAAACTGAGGCATTCACAGGAGGGGTATGCTACGGCCGCGGGCTTGCAGCGGGTGCACAATTTAGAGGCCGAAACCCGCACAATACGTCCGTTGCTCGCAGCGTAGAGGCGGTTGAGATTATTCAATTGTCGAGTACCAGTTTGCTTCTCCGCCCTGTTACAAGTCCCCCAGGGGATTCGGCGCTGCTGCGGCTCTGCAGCAGCTGTGAAATTCATTAAAAGATGTTTACTATTTGACACAGTAAAGCCAAACAGAGCAGGTTTTGATACGGCTTGAGGGGTTTAGAATGGAACAGCGACGTGTGACAATCTTGTAGGGCACTGTCCCTACTTCACGTGGCTCTCCTAATTAAGCCTTTGTGCACCATCGTGGTTGAGACTGTTTCAGTAGAGGACATTCCTTGCACCTCCGATAGGGAGTCCGTCTCTTTGCACCAGTAGTACTCGTATCGACGCATGAAGTGCCACACGTCCCTTTTAGGCATTGTCCTCTTTTTGAGCTTTGTTTCTTTTAGGTTCTGCTGTCCCGCGTGCTGCATATGCCTGAGACCACACGACAATGCTCGATACTGGAGAGCAGTATATACTGAAGTGCATTCTGACAAGCTGTATAAGCCAAATGTGATCAGGCTCCACGGTGAACAAACATGGACAGTGCTATATATGGGAATACGCCAGGCGCCAATGTCTCATGTGACTTTTAGCAGCTCCGAGGCCATAGACTGCTCCATTTTCCGCGTGAATATGAACCTGGCGCTTCAAGTAACAAAGATTACTGTATTTTTCTTTCGCTCCGCTCAACCGGTAGATCTGCCAGCTCCCCCACGAATTCCTATATTCGAATCGTCGGCAGTCTCACACATTCATGAGGTACTCAAGTCTCGTATCCTAAGTGGATGGGATAAAATAATGAATCAAAGCTTTAGTCTGCCAAAACCAGCTATTATCCGGCGTTACTCAGGGGCCCCTTGGCTGCTCCCCCCTTGGGCCCTGTGTGCTGCGCATGCACCCAAGCCTCTGCATGGGAATCCTCCCTTGATTAGCTCACTGAGCCGAAGGGACTAGCCGCAGTTTCAGGTAGTGACAAGAAAGTAAAAGACACCACCGTGGTGTTCCTTATTGTGCTACTTTCGCGGGACTCGGTAGCCGTCGGCCCGCAGTGAGGGGCCTACGGGAGGGACCCTAGCCACCGCCTTCGCCTCAGCCAGGAAACGCTGGCTGGGATTTAAGGTATCTGATATGCATAACTCATCTACGTGTGTTGCAACGCCAAGGGTCAGACAAAAACGGAGTCGCTATGACGCAGCAGGGGAGGGAGTAGTACACGCTGTAGAAGCCGCAACGTAATTAGCAACATTCACAGGGACACCTCTTCTAACGTCAACAAGACGCCTCCATGAGACTAGGTTTTCCACTTGTAGGGGCTGGAGCATCAGTACTAAACTTGCATCTAAAGGCAAGGCGTTCGTCGTTCATCAAGAGGCCCAGTGGAAGCCAGTACACGAGACCCATAGTTGCAATAAAAGATTTCATAGACATCATTACGAGATTATGGATGCCTTTTTTGAGCGCGAGCCAAAAGGCAAGAGGCCTGAACCTGCTCGGCCCAAATTGTCGCTTCAAGAGCCACAGCCGCCGCAGCAAGAGGAGGCTCATGACGTGGATCCGTTGGACGCGTTTATGGCAGGGCTCAATGAAACTCTTGTGAGGGAAAAGGCGGAGTTTGACGAGAAGCAGCGGAGGGAGGCGGCGGGCGAGGCGTTGCAGATGGAGCAAGAGCGCTTTTTTGACGATGAAGACATCGCCGCGGACTCTATGGAACATTTGAACACACAGAAAGCCATGGCTGTCAGTCTACCATTGGGGGTTTAAAGGGGTTTTGGGACTCTGGAGAGAGCGAACATGCGTGTGCCGCACCTTGAACTCTGTTGACCAGAGCACGGTACTGTGTGTGTCCCTTTCGCATTGCGGCGGCGGCAACAGCAGACCCCTCTCTCGATTTTTTGTTTATTCCTTTCTGAAACAGCAGGCGGAGGCCGCCAGGTCTAAGAGGAAGGCTCAACCACAGAGCAACAGCGCGGCTACAGATGATGAAGACGAGGCACGGGGGCGGGCCCTTCCGGTGGTGAACCACGATAGGTAAGGGACCGTTTTTCTTTTTTGCATGTTTCACTGGTCTTCTAAGTGTGGGGAGTGAGGCGTTATGGTAGGTGCTTGAGGTCTGGATTTCGGGGGGCGCTTTTCCGTCGACATAACGCCTGTTTTTGCAAGCGACCCAATATGCTGTTGTTGCGATTGCACGGCTGTTTATGAGGGACAACGGCACGGTATATGTGCAGGCGTCTTTATTAGTATTTTATTGCCTACGCAATGCTTGCCGTAAAGCTGGTTCATGATGCCGGTAGCGTTGCGGCTGCTGTCATGGCAGGATCCTCTATCCATCCTACACTGTTGACATATACGAAGAGCATTCAGACGTCTCTTCCCTGAGTCTCGAGGCTGTCGCCTCGGTCCGCGACTCTTTACAGCTTCACACTACCGGGAAACAAGCGCCACGTCCGATAGCCTCCTTTCTCCATCTCAAGGGCTCGCTGCCCAAAGTCAGTAACGCCCTCACCGGAGAGACCATACACAACAGTGTTAACTGCAGTAGTAGGAGCAACACGCTTGGCAAAGGCCGGGGGCTTTAACCCTCAAAGCCTTTCTGATCAGCGTTAGAGTGTCAGTAGGGGCGCTCGGAGCGCTTGTTGAAGGCCTGAGAGCTCTTGGCATTCCTCTCTACCTTGCCCCCTTGTGTTCGGCGGCTGCCTTCCGCTGCTTGCTTTCCAGTGCTGTGGCCTCTCACGGCCTTAAGACTGCTCTCCAGTGTAGTCTGCCATGGGTTTCGCATGTTGCACTTGATTATCATTGCCTTGCAGTGTCTGCCAATTTGTTTCTTTGCATGTTGTCTAGACTGGCCAGTGTTGGATCCAGGGCCTCTGTGCTAACATACTGGTCATCCAGATGCCGTGCATGTGTGCGTGTGTGTGTGTGTATGTGTGTGTGTGTGTGTGCGTGCAGGGCCTGTGGTCGGCCCTCCAGCGGCGTGACTATCGTTTACCTACGGCAGTTCAGGCAGCGGCAATTCCCGCGTTGCTGAGAGGGAGGGATTGTTTGGCTATGGCTCAGACAGGCAGCGGGAAAACAGTCGCTTATCTTTTGCCTCTCCTAACCCGTGTCGTGCATCTTAAGGAGAAAGACCACTGGGCTACTCGCCGTGCTGCAGATTCAAGCAGTGAAGGTGCAGCGAAAAGGGAGCAAAGGACGGGACCTTCAGCCATCATTATATGCCCGACGAGGTCCGATGACTTCGAATTAGCGTAATCTGAGTCCCGACTGTCGTGTGATAAGCGCGACGCCTTGCACATACTTTTATCTCTGTGTCCAACGTGCCAAGGTCTTAGTGGTGTTTCAAGTGTCTTTTTGATCATTTGAAGTGCATGGATCGCGTTTTGCAAGGTCGTTGTGGGGTGGTGCATCGCTGCAGAGAGCTGGCGGTACAGGTGGACGGTGAAGTTCACAGCTTTACTCGAGGCGGAACAGACCTTGATGTGAGCCGCTTGTTGCTTGCTGGAGGCTTCGACAAGACGGAACAGTTTCGTTCTCTGCGCCGAGGGCCAGACGTGGTGGTGGGCAACCCCGGGCGGATTATAGATGTGTGTAGCCTCAAGGGCCTAGGGGGCATCTTTGAGAAAATCGTCATGGTGGTGGTGGATGAGGCGGACAAAATGGTGCAGATGGGATTTGAGGCACAGCTCAGGGAGGTCCTTTGTTCGATAAGGCCAGACAGGATCACCTGTATGGTTAGCGCCACCATGCCGCGCAAGTGCGAGGCCCTAGCCAAGTAAGCCCGCACAGCAGTAACCACCAGCCAGCAATAACAGCAGTTAAACTAGTAAGCGCTAGACCAGACAAGCCTATTTTGTATTTGGATTTTCTCTCCGTTTCCCTCCCTCTTGGGGCACCTGGGATCCCTGATACCTGTGAGGCAACGGCCGCAACATCCAGTGGTTAAAGCAGCCTTTGCAAGATCCCTTCTCCATTTTTGATTCGCAGCCGATTCCTTCGCAACCCCATTCGGATTGTTGTAGGCGAGGGAGGACAGGTCAGCTAACGATTATGGTCTTGGCTTTTGCATACACACCACCGTCATTCTCTTCCCTCTTTGCTCTTCCACCGTTCCTTTGAGGCTGCTGTCCCTGCATCTCAGGCAGCGCAATCGGTGCACCAGAGGGTGCAGATAGTGGATGGAGAGCCTGCAAAGTTCGACTGGCTTTCAAAGCACATATTGGGGCTACTTGCACTCTCTCAGAAGCCCGAGCAAATGCAGCAACACCAACAGTCTGCACGGCCGCCTCCAGCAACTGTAGCTGCAGCAGCCTCTGCAGGAGGTGTCATCTTCTGTAGCTCTCAGCAAAGAGTTGAGGATTTGGCGTTTTTGCTGGACAATGCTTTGGCGCAACAGGTAGAGAATGAGGCGCTGACTGCAGCGGGACAAGGTGCACCAGGAACACCTGCACCAATCGCTGTGGATGCGGCTTCCCGTGCAGCAGCAGCTCGGCTTTTGAAAGGCGATAGTTCGCAGGACCTGAAAAAGAACGCAAATCAAACATTCAAATGTACGCATATCTGCGTGGCCGAATGAATATGGTCACTGTTTTTTTGCTAAAATTCATCGTCACCTTTTGTACCGTCTTCCCTCAGAGTGTTATTTGTTCCCGTGATTTCTTGTCTCCAGAGTGTGGATGTCTTCATCAGGTATTCTGAGGCCTCCGTTTCTTCAGCTTCGGCCTATGGTGTTGTGGTTTCTCAGACGTGGCTATCCTCCACGGTGGGATGCAACAGGGCGAGCGGCTTGCCGTGATGCGACGCATGCAGCATCACTTCTTAGATTCCCCTGGATCTGTGCAGAGTCCCCTGGTATTGGTAGCAACAGACGTTGCAGCCAGAGGGCTCGACTTCCCTCCGGCGCTGTCTCTGGTTGTCTGCTACGACGCCCCAAATGATCCCGAAGTGTACGTACACCGTGTAGGACGTGCTGGCAGAGCTGGACATGTGGGCCTTGCGTGCTCGCTATTCACGAAACAAGAAAAGCGCCAAGCGGCGTTTGTTGTCGAGAAAATGGAGGTCAGCCCTGCTTGTTTGCTGCCGTCGCGACATGTGTTGCTGCTGCTGCTGCATATTGTTGCTGTCACTGCACCTCCCGATATTGTTGCTAAATCATCCTCCTTTCGGCACTTCCAGATCGCAGCGATGCAATTGAAGACAAAGAGCACTAGTTGGTGTCTGTCGGTAACTCAGCGCTCCCGCAGCGATACTTCGTTTGTCTCCTCAGGCGTCAGGCCAGACCGTTCCCCGCTCTTTACTCGAGTTCGCCATGCAATTCCGTAAGTGTTTGCATTGGGAATAGCACGTACGGGGGCTGGGGGTTCCTTGGGGCTCTTAAGGACCTTTCTTCACCCATTAGTTAGTGTGCTGTCTAATATTGGAGGTGGCCATTGGCGGGGTTCGCGGCCGGCACGTGGGATGAAGAGGTGCATAATGATCAAAGGAGGCGGTTTTGAGAGGTAACTCTTGCGTGTATGTTGCTGCTGCAGCCCCATTTAGGGAGGCACGGCTGTCCGGCTTACGTGTCGTTTGGCAAGGAGGAAAGGCGGGCAGGGAGCTTCGTCATCAGCAGAATACTTCCTTCGGAGGCCTCGGGTACGCAGCCCTTAGGGGAAGAAATGGCCTTTCTTGGCGAAACCCTGTGCAGCTTTTGTGCGTGTGGGTAGCCATTAGCTTGAGCAGCGAGGTTGAAAAATCAGCAGGAACAGCAGCATCAGTAACCAAAGAGGGAAGGGAAAAGGCGGGTAGGGGGCGCGGGTGTAGAGCAGGGCAGACTGTGGAGCTGTTTGGAGAATGCAGCTTGGGCGTGTCTTCTCCCTGCGTTTGCAGATTTGACACTGGTTGTCAGGTGGAGGGTCTAGGTGGTTCAATTGCATCCAACGCGCCCACTCTGGCAGAGGCTGCAGCTGCCGCGGCTGCTGCAGCAGCCGCAGCAGCTGCATCTCGACAGGCCACTGGAAGCACATCAACCACAGAGGCTACCGACTCATCTGCTCCCTACAGCAATGATTCGGAGTCTTTGAATGGCCCTTGCAGCAAGAGAGGTCGATGGGATAGCAAAGAACAAAACAGCTCGAGCAATAGCTCAGGGAGCGACGGAGCGGGCATGGCATCGGCGAACGCAGAGGGGAGAAGAGCCACCCTTAACTTTGCCAAGCGGGAGCAGCGAAGGCAACAGTGGCTTTCGACTCTCGAGGCCCGTCGTGATCAGCGGCAGCAACAGGAACATCAGCAGCGACACCGTAACCGCCGGGAAAGGAGTCCTTCCCCCCCTCGTCGCGCCTTCACAGAGCGGCCCCGCCAAGCTTCTTCTCTGGGCTCTGGAGAAGCCTAGAAGACTATCCGCATTGAGCCTTCGAAGAAGCCAAACGTCTTGAAGCGTGTCCAGCCCCTCGTTGCACAGACGCTGCGTCGAAAGGCCTTCTTCGAAAGGGGTTCCAGGAATCTCGGCAGCCCTGTGCAGGCTTAGTGTAGTGCTGACTGGATCTTGTGCTACTACAATTTCAGTCTCGGCTGCTTCACTTTGTCACGACATCGTAAAGAATTATTGGTAGCCCTTTTGGACAGATAGATGTGCCTTCTGGCGTTGAAAAGTCTAATCGGAAGGGTCTGCTGCACAGATCTGGACGGTGGCATCGCAGAGCTCAACGCTACCCTGCGGACAAGAGGCGAGGGGGCACTTGTTTTCTCCGTGACCACACGGGTAGAGCCTCGGCGTGCAGTGTACAAAAGCTTGGGGATCAAGGTAGGTGCGTGCTCGTTATTCGCTCTTTCGCTCGTGGGATCTCGTAGACAGCCGCTCAGCAAGACGGCTTGATGCTTGCTTTGCGTGCCTAGGAGATAATTTTGCTGTTGTTCAGTGTCTCTGCCTCCACCGCCATAAAACTCTTTTTCTGGCATACTCAAGTGAACACTAAGGCATTATTATTTGGTGACTGGCGGTGCTTGGCGTGTTTGTGTAGTGGTTTGCTCCTTTGGTGTCAACAAGACCCTATGAACCGCGCGCCTGTTTGGACAAAATACCTACTAAGCTAGCTGTCCGTCGGTGTTGCCCGATCCGCAACTAGGGTAGTCACCTGTGTCTAAGATTGTCTGGGGCATCTCCATCTCACGTGGAAAAAAGTGCTGCAGGATTGGTGGGAAGTAGTGCTTACTACAGAGGAGTGCCGGCGGATTCTGCAGTGCCAGGCCTCTTTGGTATTGGGCGACTGTAACTTACTGCATATTCTCTGGAGTCATAAAAGATTAAATTTTTTTAAAAAAGCGCAATTAGCTCTGCGGAATGCCGGTTCCTTAGCGAGCCTGCCTGGCCATGTAAGCCTATGAACATGACGCTAGATCTGCGTGCACTCGGGATGGGCCACACCAGCTATTGGGAGCTTCCCGCCGCAGAACTTGGACACACCTTGCTCTTGGAATCCGTGAGAGATTCTTTTATATGATTAGGATCCGTGCACTCGTAGAAAGCAGAACGGGTGGTGGCAGAATAGTTGTGCCTTATCACGCTACAAAATGTGCCGATCCGCTATGAATGTTGTATTGTCTATAACCGATTCACAGAAAACAAACACAAAACAGTGGGCATATGGCGGCATTCACCTTTGGCACCAAAGCACCGCAGGACTAAAACTTGGCCATCGCCGAAACCCCGCTCTATCGCATCCTCCTGTCCCAACCTTGCTGGCCCCGGACCTTCGGTCCGTTGGATCATTAGCGTACTTCGCTAACGTACAAGCCCTCGAGGGGGACACTCAATACAGATACTACTCTGCCCGCCGATCTTGGTGCTGCGAAGTGTCGTGCTGTTTTGGCTGAAGTGTCGTGGAACCACCACTACTGTATTTGCTCATGCTAGTGGTGGGGCCAATATTTTTAGCCTGTTGTTGCTACTGGTGAACGTACTTCTGGGAACTGATTTTGGTGTGTACTCGTGATGTTCCTGTAAGAATAAGTCATCAAAGGGGGAAATTTCGTGCGTACTTACTGGAAGCGCCACTGGGAAAGCTCAGATATACCAACGGCAGGCCCGTGGTTGAATTAGCCAGTTCGGTTAACATTTCTCCCTTCATGGGTGCCTTCACAAGGATAGCACCCAGCCAGAGCAGAGGTGCGAGACTTGGGTGTGCTCAGGCCACAATTCATCATTTGTGGCTTCAGATTACACATAGTGAATAGTACTTTGCATTTCATACTTTCTTGTGTGATCTCAGTTTTCTCTACGTGTACAGTTGCTACAAAGGGTACCAGCAAGTCGTTAACACTTGCCTTTTGCCCAAACTTGCCTGTGGCAAGTTAGTGATGTAGCATGCGTAACTTGAGAAACCATCGGCCTCACAAATAAACCTTCGCCCACCTGCAAGCAGAAAGTTTCCATCATGGAGCAGTGGTATTTGTTTCACATATTCGGAACGCAGAAACTTGGGGCCTAGTGGCCCCATTGTTTCGCTGTTGATTGTTCGGTGACCCTTATGGCATTTGCTTGAAAGGTCATTCGCTCTTTCGATTATTATCCTCACTGGTATGCTTCTGTGTGAAACATACATCGTTTCTCTTATGTAGGGACTTTTCGATGAGCCCTGAGAAAATTGCTTTTTGTATGAAACATCCGGGAAATGATCTCGTTGCAATGATTGTGTGTGCAACTCATGACTCTGCTGCAACCACAAAATGCCGCACAAATGCACTAAGGATTGTAAAAATGCATATCCCACAGTGTAGAATGTGGAGCAAATAACGCTGTGCTCCGTTAAAAAGTGCGGCAATTAAACACATCACAGGTATATGTTGTCTCTCAGCGTCCTATATATAGCAATCCCTCGGCCAGTTGGAGAAAAAAGACGGGAAACGCCTAATGAAACCGAAATATCTGCCAAAAATTGGTATTTCTCTCGTGCTTGGTCCAACTTATTCACACCGAATAAAAGGCTTCCACTTTTTATATAGCAAGTATGCTACATTGATATGTTGCCCCTAGCCTACTTGGCATGAGATTATGCTGCATCGACGAATTTTCTGAATAGCTTTATCGTATTTGGGGGAGGACTTGTTTTCAAGAACCAGTACCGATGGTGCGTTACCGAAGCCCACGTAACCGTGTGAGAAACCGTTTGGAGTTTCTTCAAAAGTGGTGACCCCGTAACCCCCTGAGGCTCCTGCGCTCTCGGCAAAAAGGAATAATAACAGGCAGGGTAAAGCTAGTTGCACGCGAATCGCACCAGACATCCCAGTCAACTATTTCTGTTGACCGGGATGTCTTACGATTGGCTCCACTCAGATCCAAGGAGAAAGGCTCAGTATATGTTCCCTTGCTAGATCTTGCAAACACAGGCACCAGGACTGAATGCCCACATTTCTTTTACCGGAAACTTCAGGACTGCATGCTAGGAGGGATGTAGGGAGAACCCACATAAAGACGGGCGCCAAAGTAAGAGGCGGTGCGTCGACGCGGGAACCGAAACTATGACCCTCCATTTAAAGTCTCCGTGTGGACACAGTTCATTATAGGCTCTGCAAAAACTAACTAGAGGTCTTTAAAATGTTCCTGCAAAGAACTTTTAAGTCCTCCTGCCAGCAGTCCTCCGAATGTCCGCCAGGATGCAAGAGAGGCACCTAATGTTCAAGTAGCCGTACCCTCTATGCACTTTGAGTACGTACTGCCAGTTGTACACAGTTATCGCCGCACACGAACAAAACAGAGTCTCTTCTTGCATGGAGCCCAAAGTACTCTGCACTAAATGATATATACAAACACACGAACCAATACTCAATTCTTTACTAACCCATAGGTAAATTTATCCTGCATAGTAAAAAGAGAAACGTGTAGCTTAAACCCCTCCATCTTCCTCCCCAATTTCAAACCACATGTCCATTTGTTCAGTACCTGTACGTCCAGACCGAATGCGTGCAGGTGGGCAGAAGATATTCTCCCCTATAGCAAATCCCCAGGCACTCAAAATCGCGTAAAACAGTGCAATTGAGAAAAAAGGCATGCATCCTCCGTAAGGGAAGTAGAAGGGAGGAAAGACGCACTCGCTAGCCAACAAAGAGCCAGGGACCGGGCCAACACGACAGCGACAGCGCGATGGCTCGCTGTGTCTAGCGCATTGGCGTGTGGGGGTCCTGCTGTGAAAAACAGAGCACAAGTAAATTATGGAACAGAAATCCGATTGAGCGGTAGTTTTGCAGTGACTCTGGGCCAGTTAATATAGTCGTTGCGTGCAAATAGAGGCGTTGCATGCAGTATGGTAGCTTTCAATGTCCAAAGGAGGCATCAACATGTATGCACGTATACCATAGCTGAAAACCCGATCCATAAGTCTGAGTGCGTAAAGCACCCTAATAACAATTAGTGCCCATGACGGAAAGTAGCTTTATCAGGCTTGGAATGCCGAGCGGATGGAAAATTACCGAGGAATGCAAGGAATACCTTTCATGACGACTAGTGTTGTAAACAAAACAGAGCTGTAATTTCACCCAGGCAACGCAGTCAGCAACTGCTTCTCCAACGACCACCCAGTACCGTGTTCCCTACCCCATTTCACTAGAAAATCGGGCCTAGCGTGGCCATCGCGCTCATTAGTCCTAGAATCCAGCATTCCCACGAGTTCATGTGGATCCTCCTCCCCCGCACTGGTCACTTCCCTACGCGTCAAATTCCGCGAACAATACGGGGAGCGTTTGAGCTTTTGTAGGAATTAGTGTAGGTAGGTCTGCTGCACCTCTAACATGTACGGAAATCGACAAAATTTGAAGGAGTATTGCTGTGTGAGGGATGCCAAATGACTCCAGTAACCTGATTGCAAAGTGCTTATCTGATTGCCTTTGGCTGTACCATACAACGCGTGCCGGCCCACGAGGGAACCTCCAAGCTCGAAAAACGCAAGCGATTACTGCTTACCATAAGTCCTTGGTTGTTTCTCATAAATCCTTGATTGGCTCTGTTGACAGTTGCGCATCCCGTGCACTACTCGTCGGCTCTGTGTATCCCTCCACCGCTAAAAGGTGGCTGCCGACTCAGGTCCACGAGGTCTAGGCGTAGAATGAAGAGGGACCTCAGCGTAGATCACGGATGTGGGAGAGCACCGGGTAGACAAGTGTACTGTTGAATTATAAACCCACTCAACACACGAAGGAACTTGAGTCAAGCAATTAGGTATTTGTGGGGAACGAGTCATAAATGGTATCATAGTGTGCGGATGGTGCGCTCGGTCTGTCCATATACCTCAAACTGCTTCGGAGAGGTAATCTTGTGGTCAATTTGTTAGTGGGTCATGGAGGCAAGCCAAAATGCACTGACAACCTTCCTATTCCTATCCGCAACGATATTCCCAAAAGGTTCGTTAAATTTTCAGACACCAGTAAACTATTGTTCAGCTACTTCCTGAGCCGTGCTAGAGCTTTTTTTCAATGGGCATATCATGATCCTCACAACAACTCAATTGCTTGGCTCAAGTGTCATCTTGGGCTGATTGGATTTATATTTGAGCAGTTCACTCGTCTACCCGGTGCTACCCCACATCTGTGATCTACGATAAGGATCCTGTCTCCTATCTGCAGTAAAATCCATAGTCATGTCAGACCAACGTTTTCAGGGGGCGAGTAAGCCTTGCAAACAACGGCGTTGAGGAGACTTTCACTGCCTTCGCTGCTGAGAGTCTCAGCTAAGCAGTGCCTACTGGCCTGCCGTAAGACGCATTCCAAGCCAACAGAAAGACCATGAGAGCATTTCAACTGTAGTGTGAGCCTCACGCGGCATGAAATAGCATGAGCATGTGCTTTGCGCAAAGTCTCACTTCAAAACAAAGTCGGAGTGTACAAGCGAAGGAATCTCGGCTTTATTGTGAAGCAAAGCAGGTAGCCCTCAACATGCTAGTGCTTCTCCCTTGTGTCATTCTGGGCTCTGGTAGTAGCAACGGAAGCATGGGTGTCAAAAGCATAACAGTGGCAAACAATAGTCAACCGCTGCTAAGCTGGGAGAGAGTGTCGGCAAACACGTTGGTGATGCTTTTACTACATTTCCCAGCAAAGTGGTACTGCGGGAAGCGCTACGCCAAGGAACTGCTCTAGGGTTATCAAAGTATTGAAACTTCCACTGACGGTTATTTTAGATAGTAAAATAACGCCTATATATAATTGAGCAGGTAGTTTCCACGCACCAGCAAACCGCACAAAGTTTCCCTTCGCACTGGATACCACTGCTCGGTCCCAGTAAAGCGATGAGAATAGCAAGCAATAATTTGAGACTTTAAAAAGCCTTCAGCGTTTTGGGAGAGGATAGAATTCATCGCTACAGCACTGGCATTGGTTGTTATAAAGAATTGACCCTCCCAATCAATCAGCGCTAGTAGTGGAGGTGTCATAAGAGAAAAGCGTCCTTGTTGCGGCAACAGCCCTCTGTATCCAAGTCAGCGACTTCAGTACATCATTCAAAAGAGCAGCGATTGCACCAAGTCCAAAAAAAGCTTTGATATCATGCGAAACCATAAAACTTTGTAGCGTCTTTCCGAATACGTGAAGGTAAAGGCGACACCATACTTATTTTGAACTTGGCCAGATCTGGTGCAGTACCTGCAGCCGAAAACAGCGCCCAAGAAACACAATTGCATTAAGGAAAAAACCCATTTGCGTGCCTTAAAATGCTATTACTTGTCCCGCAACTGCTAGGGCCCACGCCGCAGGTGATGTACGTGCTCCTAAATGTTTTCAGCTGAAGACTAAGACATGGTTGTTGTAGACAGTCATCCACTCCTCCCTTATAGGCTAATCAAAATCAAGACTACCCTATGGTTGCGGTTCAGCTGGTGCACGCACAAGTCTAATGGGCACACAAGTATACTTGTGTTTGCGATTCTGGGTGTAGAATGGATGTGGTGCCTGTCAACAGGGTGATTCGGGGTTTGTAACAATGCGTTTACAATATCAAATGCCAAGTAGAGTTTTGAATCGTGTATTATGCCAACCGGTCCGCTGATATTGATGCATCGAAAACTTCTGCTCAATAGTATTTTTGTGTAGGGCCCTAAAGAGGACGTTTTTGTGCCACCTGCCTTCCTTTTTTCAGCACCGACACCGGGTAACGCCCAAAAGGGCTTGCCGCTTCTGGCACTTTGCCTTCTTTCAGCAAAGCACCCGCCTGTCGCTCAGTAATCTCTGTACGGAGGGGGATTCTCATACCGCGGAGCACTGCTTGGATCTGATGCTGGGATTGGCTGAATATGGTGATGAATGAACAGCAGGTGGTCAGCTTGCTGGTAGCTCGCAAGTTTTCAGCGTCTTCGCGAACTCCTTCCTATTATTTGCACCTTCCTGTTGCTAATAGGCTAAGCGCGCAATGGAGTTCTGCAGCAAGCAGATAGCTGTAGACGGGATGCATGTTCAAATGCGCCTTCCCTTCCTGGGCTACTCAGCCGTCCGAATGAAGGCTCCGTCTCACCATGTTGAGGTATGGGCTGTACCCCGGTCGTTATAGATTATTCGAACGTTTTTGCGTACGCCAAAGGGTGCCTTCCGTAGCGTTTACTGGAACACAAGCCTTCACAACGCGTAGATGTGGCAGCAAGGACGCCTTCTACTGGGCTGCTCATGGCACACCTAGGACTACGTCGTGGTGTAAGGCCGCAACAATGGAATCCTGGACCATGCCGATAGAAGCCAACTCAAACTAAAAATAACACATGCTGCCGCAACCTAGCCAATGCGTTCGTTGTGTCGCCCGTCAGCAGACGTGAGTCTTAACTACTGCGCTGACGGGTGAGCAGGCAGACTGCTCTTCTGCAGTGTCTCCTCGGATTACTGATCTACCTCACATCCAGTGTCAATTAACTCTAGCTATTCTCAATCATTGGTGTGAGCCTGTATTAGAACAGTTGCGGGCTTCGTTGCCTGGGTGAAATTGCAGCTCTGGTTGGTTTACAACACTAATTGACATGAACGGTCTTCCTTGTGTTCCTCGGCGATTTTCCATCCGCTCGGCATTCCCTGCCTGATATAGCAACTTACGTCGAGAGCACTGGTTGTTATTAAGATGTTTCATGCACTTAGACTCATATACGGGGTTCTCAGGTACGGTATTCCTGCATTCATGCTAATGCTGCATTTGGGCGTTGAAAGCTTCCATGCTGCATGCAGCGCTTGTATTTGCCAACAAGGTCTACCCTACCAGGCTCAGAGTCACTGTAAAACTACCGTGCAATTTGATTATTGTCTCATATCTTACTTGTGTTATCTTCCTTTGTAGCAGGAAGCCCACACATCTGGGGTAGACATGTGCGCGTCAGGCCCGAGCCTACTACTTCATCATCCTAGTGGTTTATACAGCCGGATGCCAGCGGGCAGAAGGGACGAGAGCCTACTAGAATTGGAATGATCAATGGATTGTTCAAGGATCTAACTAGAAGTGCTACAGAGGTACTGTCATACATGCACTCTGGCAATTGGTACGGAGGGGATACACATGCTACACGATTAGCTACACCCGAGGGAATCAGACACTGTTTGTCATAGCACTTTTAAAGTGCGGAATCCGTGCATTAACACTCCCCACACTTTAAAAGGCAAGTACCCTTATGGCTGAGGCTCCTGTTTAAGCATCAATGTAATGGACAGATTTATGGGGCATAAGCCACATACCTAAAGCACTTACATGTTGGAGCGCGATTTAGGGTGGCGTCCGAATATATGTAGCAAATCTTGAGCAAAAAGGGAGTCCAGCTTTGGTGTGTGAGGCCCCTGACCGTAGTACAAGACGCTTCCACGAGGGCAAAACTTGAGTTGCTACTAAAACATGAAACTGCCGTCTAAATAAAGCGCGTAAAAGTGCAAATTACGGATCCTACCCACATATAGACGAACTTCTGGTGTTCCTTGAAGCCAGTGAACTGTTCGCAAAGGTGGACTTGTGCCATGACGAATTGGTGTCCAGCTGTTCGGAAGCACGAAATCAAATCATAAGCCAGTAGCCTGGAGCCCTGCTGTATGCAAAAAATAATACTTATTAAATGAGCAGGTGAGCCGAAGTATTTAGGCTCACTGTGAGACTCTGCAAGAAAGCTTAACACTGGCCCCGGAGTAGGCAAAGCTCATCTCCAAGAAACTCCCCGCGCAAGCCCCATATCGGGAGGAGCTTCATACCTTAGAATTTACGGCGCCATAACAACCTTAACAGCTTGAATGAATACGGTCTGGATGTCTTTGTAGTTTTGGGCTATTCAAGCGGTCCAGCGGCCTTGGGCGAGAATTCGCCTTGTCGGCGCTGGACACTGCGTCCAGCGGACCACAGCCACCCATGTCTTCTACAACTATTGATTTTGAAGTATTTTGGCTACTGATGGCATATCAATGTTGTCGCAAGGAGGCATTATCGGAATTGCTGACGCAGACCATCGTCGTTCGCCCTCTCCTGCGGATGCCAAGGGTGGTACATTGAAGCACGGGAGTGCTTAGCGTAGCGATACTCACTTGAGCTAGTAGCGTCGGACCTCTTGAGACAACCCTCGCTACTAAGTTTAGGAATACTCGTAGGGCTGTTAAAGCTTATCAACGAGCCATTGACTTGTTTATTATTCTCAGGCAAACTCGGGCTCGACTACGGGGTTGACAATGAATTGCAGCAACTCGTTAATGAGTTCGTGGGAGGGTCTTCAGGCGTCCCCCTGGCTTCCAAGAATGAGCCATACACCGGACAGCCCACACCAGGAGCTTCAGAGGGTGCTCCTACGGTGCTAAAAAAAGAGCCTGCGGCCCCCAGCCTCCTCCAAGGGGCATTATCGCCGTGCCTTGGTGACTCGGAGAGTGTTGTCAGTGAAATGATATACCGTTTAAAGGAAAGTCTAAGCGCACAAGCCGAGAGATGGTGGAGGATCTCCATGGCCAAGGCAATAAGCAGGCCTCTATTGGCTTCGTACGAGACGAATTCAGCGGGAAACTTCTCTAGTACAAGCCAAATCCAGAACGATCTTGTTCCGGTGAGTCACGCTCACTTTGAATAGAAGGATGGGACAGCTACAGATCTGGATCCCTTTAGGGTTGCTGCTGGGCTTTTAAGGGTATGCACTAAATGAAGTTTGCGCGAGCAGGACAGTAAAAGGACATTTCATGCATCATGGAGTCCCCTGGCCTTCCTCTACACAATTTTGCGGCTATCCTAGTGCGAGATCCTATTTTCCGGCTGCATCTGAATGCAGGGGCCCAATGACAAATCCATTTTTAGTAGCAACTGGCACGACCGCCTACAATGGGCGTTTCAGCAGGTGCTCACCCTAAGTGAGTCTCAGGACTTGGAAGTCGCCCATAAGCTCAGAAGGCGCCTCTTCGAGCGAGAACTTGCTCTGAGCCAGTAAGCTTCCCTATAACCGAAAATGGGAGGTTTTTTGTCGTCTGCAGCGGAGCCGCTAATGTATATTTAGCACCAGAATTTGCTCTTGTCGATTTGCAGCTGTGATGGGCAAAATGGAAATATTTTAACCCATGGAAATATTTTAAACGAGAGCAACCACATTTTTAAAATGTGAACTACATGTATCGCATGCAAAGCTGTGTTGCAGAATCTTTCTTTTATTTCCTCAGCGAGATTGGCTCTTTTGCCGCAGCTGCACGTGCCGCAGCAGTGGTGCTGCTTCACTCCCTGCCTTTGGGGGAACGTGCTTCGTACGCACAACCATTTCAGCCAGCGAGCTGTACAGACCGAGCGTACAAAGGCCCTTTCCAGTGCTTCGTGCGCATTACACCGGAGGACCATCCCACCATGTGGAAGGTCTATCAACCCAAGTTCGCTGGTGGTGAGCAAACCAGGCATCAATGTCGCTCTCACTATTTGGCGTAGCAAGAGGGCGCTCGTGCCACCGCTGGGTATTGCTTTCGCTGCTGCGAAGCAAAATTTCGTGTACCTCGACTCGTGTGCACTGTCACAGATGAGGTGTATGCCTTCGACAGCCTGGTGCTGACAGTAATTGTGGGGGATCCCCAGGCGAATGTCAAGGCATACGTAGCTAGGGAAATATACCAAAATGACGTCAAGGGCCGCCAGGCCATGGCCGACGCAGTGTATGCCACTTGCCTGGCACGGAAGACGCAGACAGATCTGAGTCTCCACAGTTGGTCTCAGCTGCGAAACAGCAAGCGGCGGGACCTATCTCTACAGGTAGATACAGTGTGGAACGTACATGACCAGTCCAAGTTCGAGCGCGCCAAACTTGGCCTCCCAATCGCATGCTTAGTTGACTATGCGGGCCTGACTGTCATGGTAGAGCCGTTGATACCCCTGAGGTGAGAGCAGTCTAAGTCGCGAGGCCGCTAACTAGTCAGTCTGTGGCTCGACGGCAAGCGTTCCGCCAGGCAATGAGAGTATATAGCATCTTATGCACTGGTGACTGATTTTATAGTGACCAGCATACTGAGCCATTTTGATGCTGCTGTCTACGTGTGCTTCGCAGCCCTGCTCCCAACAATGTCTTGGAAGAGCTTGTTTCCGAAATCACGCAGTGCCTCCCCGATTTTGTTCGGCAGTGCAATAGTATTGGGAACCCCCTAGCTTGTTTTGACGCCTTGGACAAAGTCGACCGCGTTACTTACAATAAGTTCAAAAACATCGCGCGCTTCCTGAACCTGGCGGTGGGGCCCGAGGGATTTCCTACCCTGCTGCTTCTGCACACCTTCAAGGGACTCTATTCACCAGATTGAGCATTGGTCGTTTCTCGAAGCCACCCTCTCTGCATATGCGAAACCGCTGGTCCTTGAAGCTGCCGCATATTAGCCACAGGCCAACTGCCAGAGAGTTATGTGACCTACACTCACCTCAAGAACAGTTAATCAGCGCGCACGCTCCTCTAAGCTTCGTTTGTCACTTCAGGATTATCCCTTCGCCCGCGGCGCGTCTGACTTTGACTTAGCATTGCCTCCACCAGCACTTTGGCGGTCTCAGGTAGACCAGTTCTGCATATTCCGTAATCTGCATGAGACCCTGCCCCCGAAGTGTGTAGACGGCAGGGTAGTGCCAGTACGTTCCTTCCCCCTGCCCCAGACTTCACCGGCTGATCAACCTAGCTTTAACAGCCAGATAAACCGAATCCTATTGATGCCTGTACACAGTTGCGCTAGTAGAAAACCTAAGATACTCATGAAAAGTGCTGTCACACCTCAAGCACCAAGGAACTGGTCTGTCGAGCTCCTTTCTGTGCATGACCATGCGCGCGTACTCCTGTGTGCAGGAGCAAAGGTTCCGGCAGTCATTTGTTTCCTGTGTCTTCGATGTTGCCTTGCCATGTACCAGCAGAGAGCAGCATAAGGCTTCGGAGAGTAAGGACTGCCTCAGTGTGTTGCGGGTTCTTGTGTCCCTTACAAGCATCAGCCACAATCAGCCATCCGTGATAGTGAACGCACGTAGGGATTCTGCTACTGTGCATATGGGCGTGTGATCAGCCGAATCTTCAAAGTTTGCTCAAAGGCACACGACACTGCGCGGCTCCCTCGAAGCACTGTCGATGGCTGTGCATTCCATGGAGCTTTCGATTAGACAGGACCTCATTCCGGTCATCAATGCTTTTCAGAAAAACTTCTTAGATTCATTTGACATTGCCCACACTCTGCATGCCCACGGGATAAACATCAGGTTAGTTTCTCATTCCAGGATATGGCTGTTAAGCGCCGTCTGACTCGATAATCAAGGGGAGCAAACACAAAAGTGGCCGTGCTCGCTAGCTAGTGTGTGTATTGCTAGGAGCATGTGTATTTGCTGTGGTTTCCTTGGCTTGCAGAAATGTAGCACAGCTGCTCAGCCATGGTCCGGCTTCCCCGTTTCGAGATGCCGTTGTGCGTGAAGTCGTGGCACGGTCTGCAAAGCGTTTGTTTCGGATGCAAGTCGAGAAACTGTTTAGTGGAAGGGTGGAAACAAGCCACATAGAAGAGCTCCAGCGGTGAGGCCCTTCCTGTACAATGCCCCGCAAAAATGCCAGACCAGTGATCCTACTGTTGCTGCCGTGCACGCTACGCACAACAATCGGCGCAAGTTCTCTCGATGACTTACACTGCTAGCCAGTCAACTTCCTGTATATTACTTCCAAAGCTCATCGCCGTGTTTGATTTTGGCACCTATCTGCCAATAATTCGAGTTCTGCTATTTAGAATTTGGTTCTACAGTAGTCTTACAGGGAAGTACATCAGCCTCCATGCTCGTCGAACCATGAATATTTTACGACAAATTAAAGCTACTTCCCAAAGAATCCCTATTGCTAGCGCGCAACATAAGTTACTTAGCTTCTTTGTTTTGCGTGCTTTACGTTTCAGACTGGTTGTTAAGCTCTTCAACCTGGTTCTTTCTACCAATGAGGAATCTCGGATCTTCTGGCAACACCAGATCCTTCCGCTGGCTTTAGAAAGGTCCGCATGGCTGCACACAAATTGCATCAGCTGTTATCATAGAATCACGTGATAAGGCGTGAGTAGGCACTTGCTTTAAAGCGCATGCTCTCCAAGCCCTTGGCGACTCCCCCTCTGCTCTTTTGTTTTCAGATACAAGGTTGACTTGACAGAATCGGCTTCGCCAGACAAGGTCTGCACGTTTTCCCTTTTCAAAGCCATGGAGTACAACTTTGGTATGTCAATCCTCCTGTATAGCTAGTGCATGCATGCCGTGGCTCACGTATCTTTGCATAACGTCTAGCGCCGCATCAACCTGCACCAGCACAAAGGGAAAGAGTTAACTGAGCATGCTGTAAACGCTGCAGTTTTTCATGGGCCGTTTCCAGACTACAGACAGACTAGGTGCCCCTACACTGACTGAATTCGTATCCCAGTTGCTGTGGAGTAACTGATCGCTTCAGCATACGACGGAAGCATCCCCCTAGCCACCGGTTGTGTCAAACGCTAACTGCGCTTTGTTTTGCTTCCATGGCTTGCGTGCACGCACTATAATTTAGCTCTTGCAAGTGTATCGCCTTGGCATCGGTTTCTGCGAGTGATGACTCCACTTTGCATGAACTGCACATGTCAGTAAAGCTAGTATTCCTCAACCCCAATTGCTTCCAGCAGTGGCACGGGGTACGAAGTGATCAAAAGCGGCCTTTTTCTGTGTCTACTTGTTTTAGGCGTTCAATTCGACTCCCGCGTGGCGGTGCGCTCAACAAAAGCATCCAACGAGGTTTTATTATCGCTTCGACTGCCGCTTTCTGTCGTCGATTTGTCCACCTTCTCTGCTTGTGACTCCCTCCTCTTTCCTCATATTTCTTACGTCCGCGCGGCTCTCCTGGGGAGCGGCCATGCAGAAACAGCTGAAGAAAAAGATATTGCAGACTGGAGAACACAGCTTCGATCAACCAAGCGGCGAATGCGTCATTTCCTTGAAGCCGACGGTCAGTATATTTCCACTGCGAACTTAGAGAGGCCTTGTCGCGAGGAGTTTCTCACGTTCAGATCCTTGTGTGCTTAAAACTAAACGGCGGCCAGACTATCTTAAAATGGCCCCCTGCACTCGCTGCCTGACACCGTGGGCGTTTGCAGGCACATGCGTGGACAGGTCGTGTACATTTCTGGCCCATGCTTTTGCTGCTTTTTGCTGCAGAGGCTGAGAAGGCAAAGGATGAAGACAGCAAACTGCCGAAGACTCCTGGTACTCTAAAGGAGCTGCAATCATTTGCGGAACTTCGTGCTGTTCGAGGTTTCTATCCCAGGCTTCACCTCGTCGCACCAGACACGTTTGCACTGATGCAAGCCGCTGCCGCATCAGCCGAAGCTGGAGCCAGCAGAGTATCTTTAAGTGTGCTGCTCGATAACATGAAGGCTGGTAGGCACGCGAACATCCGGAATACCTAAAGGACTGCCATCTCGGCCTTCGGTCTAGGGGATTGTGAAAGTGTGTACCCGACTTTTGACGGAGAAGCACTGTAGGTGAAGAAACTGCGATAACTGTGCGTGTGATCTTAGGCCTTGTAGTTCCCGCGTCAAGCGAACAAATATGGGGTAGTGCAAACTTTGCGTTACACGGAACGTGCGGCGCAATAAGATCGGCCCTTATGGGTGAGCAATGCTGGTTTTTAATACGCTAAGGCTACATGCAGCAGCGTCAGTGCACGTTTAAATGCCCTAATGATTACAGCAGCCACACGCAAGCTGGCAAGCAAAAGCGACGTGATCAGTTGCTTCAACTCGAGTCGGGCCGTAATTTTGTTAGAGAGTACATGCGCGACATTCCCTGGACGTGCGCATGGATTAGAGGCATCTGTGAAATATCCAATATACGCTTGCCTGTCGCATGCATGAAACTTGCAGGAACAGGGTACCCTTGCCACCCATATTGCCATTTAGTAGACGAAGATGAGAATATGTTTCCTGTCGTAACAGAGGCTGCTGATGAGAAGCACTCTCGAGCACCTCTGAGGCAATGCCGGAAATACAAGAGAAAAAAGCTATCCCTTACGCTTGCTCTGCTCTTGAAGTCGGCAATCGGTATGCCTGTGGTGCCTGTTTAGCACGATTGGCCGTTTATGTGATGTCACAAGTATGAACAAATGCGGTGGATCGGCGATAGCCACACGTCTAGTCTCAACGCTGTGAATGCTTCTGCTGGATGCGCTTTTTGTTATCAGGAGACGATATTTTTCTGCTGGGCAAGATCTTACAGCAGACCGCATACGTCATGTTGCAGCACAACGAAGTGAAAGCGGCTGCGGGCATCGCCGACTACATTTACTCAAGGATTCCCGACGGGCTCTCTCTCCAGGCTGAAGCGCTGCTCATTGATATGCAGTGCACCACAAAAGGAAGTGCGAAATGCTATTTAGGATGTAACATGGGTTCCAAAATCAGTTGGTGTCTTTTTTTGCCACTGCTGATGGCTAGAGGGTAGGAGGAGTCCTGTGAGCTGTATCGATTTTTCTCGTACTATTTGGCTCTTACAAAACTCCTGAGCCGTGTTGCCATTGGCCTCTGCGTTATGATGTGCTTGCAGCTCAACCTAAAGATGCGCTTGTGTGCTATAGGCACTTGAAGCCCATCCTCATCGCCATAGAGGGGAAAATGTCACTTCGATTACTCCTCGCGGATCTTCTTCTCGCATCGGTTGCTTTCAAAAACAAACGGTTCAGTGCTGCGATTGTGCATGCTTTCCGCGTCCACAAGATATCAACTGTGGTCAGCTACCTAGCACGTGTCGTGCAGGCGAGCGCATGCTTTGCCTTGCGGTTTTATCATTTTGTGCGCTGGTCGAATGCAGCACCGTTGGCTGCTGCCTTTGTTGTTCCTCAAGAGTTGCTTATTGGTGGCATTTTCAGGGCGCATTTGCACGCAGGGACCTCCCTTTGCTCCCTGTAACATTGGCAATTGGATCGCTGAATTTATCTTCTTTTTGCTTTTCTCTCTGCTGCGTTGCAGTGTTTTGATACTGGAGGCGCTCACTGGGCTGCAATTGCGGCGCTTCGCCTTGTCGGTGCGTACCAAGTGTACAGGGACCAGACCCTTAGACGTAGTGGTGATGCTGCTGAGGTGATGCCTGCTTCAGATTCAGGTGGCGCATTTGTAATTACCACGTGCCCTGGAAAAAACACTGCCTGGAGTTTTGTTTACTTGATAGAAAATTGCGCCTTTTTGCTTATCTGAGTTCAATCATAATCGTAGCGTTGAAGGCTCTTTTTGAACAGCACTGCAACGGTATACAATTTGCTCAGATGCCTAAACGCTGCGTGCCATTGAAACGACGGGATGTTTCTAAGGGCTGGGTTGAAATGAGCTGCGCAGCGCGGTCGATGCTTGAAGTTCAACGGTCTTCGGAAGCAATCATCATCCTGCAGCATGCCGTTAGGGCAGCAAGCACGAATCCCGAGTTGCCATGTGTTGTAACGCACATGAGCCGTTTTTGGTTGGCGACAGCCTTTGCTCGGTGAGCTTCAGGAGCCGGACAACGGTTGGTCTGCTGTAGTGTTTAACCAAGCGGTTGATTAACATGAAGCAAAATTTAAGACACGAAGCTCGGTTTGCCACAATAGCTCTTTCTAGCGAGTGCATTTATTTGAGTTGATGAATAGCTGGCATACGGCCCCACGGGTTTGCGTGGATTCCTTCTGTTTGGTTTTTTCAGATTGGGGCGCTTGGAGAATGCCTCTACAGAGGCGGAGATTATGCTTGCAGGCCTTGAGTCTCAGCTCGGCACGAACCATGAAGCCACAATGTCAGCCCTCTACCTCGCAGGTAGGCCATATGATGCCCCCAGTGTCTACACCTGTGTGAGCGAACAGCTTTTGCAACCGCATTCAATCTGAATATTTAAAATGTGGCGGCCTTCTTGCGACTGTGCCCCATTAGTTCGAAAATCAATCTCGAGAAGCACTGCGCCAGAAACACGGACCATTGGCCCTCCTGTCGTGTTGCAATGAATATGTCGCAGCTGAAGTTAAAATGAGTATTGGTTGTCTGGCTTTGCAAAACCCCCCGCTGAAGATTGCGGGGTCCGCCTCCGCTCACAGAGACGAGAAGGCTGATGCCATCGGTGCTCCTGATGAGCTTCAAGAACCGTTGCTATGGAAGCCATTGAGCGCTGAAGACTTTGCAATCTACGAGGAAATCTTCAGAGATAAAGGCATGATCCAAGCGAGAGCCGTACGACAAAAACAGCTGATAATGGAGCCCCATAGCTCCTTAACTTTAATCCATGTAACGTTCTCCGCTGAGACTTAGAAATTGCGGTGCAGATATGCACTAGTTTTGCGTTTTGTTGTGGAGGAAGCGGTAATATGGTAATATTACAGAGTCTATGGTGCTTTCAGGACGCTGAACAGCTGTTCCTTGCCCTTTTCCGTCGACTCTTATTCAGAGAAGACAATGTTTTAATCGAAGTGCACCAGCCGCGGGGCCTTGACCGCAAACAACGCCTTCGGCAGATCATCTCTACACTTAGGCAGCTTTTGAAGCTCAAACTCTGCTCTCTTCCGATATCTGTGCTGCGAGTTAGTCCAGACACTATCTGCGCAATTAATTTGAACCCTTGAAAATACACGTTTAGGTGCAGAACAGCGAGGTCTGTTTGATTCTCGGTACCTGTAGGTTTCCAGAGAGGTTGAAGGGATAAATGCAGTACTTAAGCGTGCGTATGATTACCTCAGCTTCTGGCACACCGCGTGTACATAGCATGCGTGGCTCAAGGCTGTTCTCCCGCACTGAGGCCGTTTGGTCTGATGGAATACGAGCTAGGTTACACCGAAAACTCGGATGAAGAGGACCCGGAACCATGCGAGAAACAGACAGAGTACTCAGTAAGCCCTTGTCGCTGATCGCTTTTCCCCAACTACAAGCACAGCACAAAAGATCCGAATAAACGTAATTTTTGTCAAGGGAGCTACTGCACCTGCATTCTTGCACCATCTGGACTGTCTTCACGCTCCGATACATTTTACTGAAGCGTTCTTGCTATCTACGGGATGCGCGTTTCGTGCAGCACTTTGCTGCAGACAGGACAAGAGTTTATTTTAAGCATTACCCTCGCTTGAACTTTGGGCATAGACGGACAGCAGCAGTCTCCAACCGGTTGAAGCCAGTCCCTGATGAAGCACCACATGAAAAAATGACATACGAGGAACCAGCAGATATCGCTGACTATCCTTTTTCGTTCTACTCACAACAAAAAGTGTCAGGCACAGAGCGCCGCCGTGCCCAGAGTAGCGGTGTCCTGTATGCTCGGGTAGATGGATCCTCCAGCTTGCGGCCTACTCAGTGAGGCTGTCTTCCCCTAAAGTGAAGGCCGTAAATCCTAGGGCTGTATACGTCAATACCCTCAAGCTCTCAGTTCCATGAAAGCTATTCGTAGTACTCAGCAGTGTTAGTCTTTGTAATTTAAAACTTTGAGCGGGGCGGAATAGAAGCAATACTAATGAATGTTCTGTATTGCAGGGAGCATGATGACCTAATGATGCAACTGCTGCTGTTTTGTGAGGGTCCCCCGTCATTGAATGGCATTCTGAAAAGCTGCTACATGAGCTGCTTAGAAGACCGTAAAAAGAGCCCGTCAAACTGGTAAGGCATTCTCCTTTCCACTAGTAGCCTCGTAACTTCTGTGCCTTAGGCCTTCCAGTCGCCTCCCTCAATTTTTGATCTGTGTTTGCTCATGTTGGCTGGCTTTTAGTGGGCCTTATGCTTAATAGGCGACATTGGGCGGGTGGTTGCACCCTACAACTGCATACAAACCATACCGCATTACCCAGTTGTGGGGTTGCCGCGACCAGCCATTACGAGCTCTGATCAAGCCGCCCATGCGTATAATATCATTCAGGATGGATGATCTTATATCTGACATTCTGTCAGAGAGAGGAAGCTTGCAACATTTGCGCTTCCTTGTATGCATGATGCGTCACTTCTTCACGCTTTCGCAAAAAGCACTGATGATTTCGCTCGCCCCAGGAGACTTCAACAGGAAACGCCAGGCCCAAATTCTAATTCAAGCAATGCGTGGACAACAGGTTGAGGAAGAAGGTACGCCATGCTTCCGTGTAAACTCCCGCCATCACAGGCACAAAACTCACGGACAAATTACTGGCTCTTTCCTGCTTACTCTACTGACCCCAGGAACGCTGTAGCTTGCATTCTTTTGCCTTCAAAAGGCTTTATTCGGAAGGGACCTGTCCACAGACGTTGTGCCTGAATAGGTGAATCATGCTAAAGTGGGTGCGGGCACCCAGATGCGTGTTCAGCTTTAGATCTGTGGTGGATTTGTGCAGTGTCACGAAAACTTATCCTAAAACGGATGATCAACAGAAGCAGGGAGCAGATGCCCGAGAGCACTGACGGTAATCCTTGATTTTGCAGAGACAGGACTCACGACTCAGTTACATATTCACTCAGGCAATAAATCATTGAAAGTTCACCAACACATTAATGCTTGAATATAGGACGACCCTCTAACCTTCAGCCAAATTGGCAAGCTGCGTTGAGGTATACTTTTTCTCTTTACGTCATGTCCTTAGTTTCGGTGCTTCGGATTAGTAATAGTTTTAGCATTGTTATGTTCCACCTCTTCCTAGGCCCTGTGAACGCCATTAATTCTTTTATGCTGCTGAGTCTTTGCCATTTTCAGATTACTTTGAGTATGAGATCAATTCACCTAGGCAATTCGATCTGATGGTCGGGATCACCCGGTGTGACGAACTCGTAAATGCGACGACCTGGACTGGTGAGCCCTCCTTTCTTCTCATCGGCCGTCATATATACACCCAGGGTGAGGGACCTAGTTTCGTTATTTTTGCATATGCCCTTGTGTTCAACGGCTCAGGGTCTGCGTTAAGGAGCATGCGCTCTCAGCTAGACTTCACACTTTCCAAACAGTCCCAGACAAAACATGGGCCGGCATACGCCGGGAATCAAACCACCGGTGGGATCGAAACCCCTGCTCGTAAAAAAAAAGATACTTTGGTTTAATTTTACAGTAGTGTATGTGTTGGCGCGGTCACGAGACTCCCACTCGTTGCGTGTATCTGTGTGAAACCGTAGAGCAAGAGCAATGCACAATTCTGTGAGAACAGTTGACTAAATGATGTATATGTATCCTCTCTGCACTAAACGCATTCTTGGGGAGTACCAGTAGCTGCATTGCAGCATGACTGAAAATGCTACATAAATTCCATTGCCACGTTCTAGTCAGGGCGTTTATCTTCAGCAACGCCACAGCAGCGAACTGCAAAATGTGATAACTTGCATTGAAAGAGTACAATGTGCCTGCGAGTTGCCTGAAGGGGATAGTGACCTGGTAGAATACACAGGGTCTGATGACGACTTGGTCGCTGGACGAGGCGACAGTGCGAACTACCGTCGGAGCGAAATTGCCGCAGTCGAAGAACACTACCTAAAGAAACCGACTATGGGGAAAGGCAGTATATCGGGCAAGACCCCATGGAGGAGCATGAGCACGGCAGCCCGGCTATCTCAGCAACGCTTCGGAGGCAGCAATCAGCTCACTGCGAATGCCTCGCCCATTGCGTATGGCGTCATGCGAAACATTTTAAAGACCCAGGTCGATTCAGAACTTGAAGCATTTGGATGTATTGAGTGTTTGCAGCCGGCGGACAAAGTGCCTTTCCTTGGAGGGTGATAATCACCCACCTGCTTGTCGAATCGCGTGGACGGCACATTCAACTTGCTCCGTTCATTTTTGTGATTCATCGGCAGATGGATGCATGTACAGCAAAATACTTATAAGGGACCCGAAACAGTACAGGCAAAGGTCCCACTACCAGCCTAAAGCAGGGTGCACTGGGCAACACCATGGGGCTTCTATGAGATTTTCAATGTTTGGGGCTATTTCTGCAGGTATAAACTATTTGGACGGCCACGCTTCGTACTGAACGACGTACAATACAGGTCACCTCCACTGGAGTTATATAGTCAATACATTGTATGTACATTAGATTAGAAATAAGAAAGGGTCACGCGGAGTGTTCTCTACAATGCAGTGCACTCCAGGCTGAAAAGTTGATTGCATCAGTTTATATAGAACGGAAAAGAAAGGAAAACAGCACCAAAACGCTGCTGCGTACGTACAACAAATCAAACATGGTGCTCCAGAAGGCCATTTAGTACAAAGAAGCTCCAAAAACTGCCCCTTTGCGCTTATTTTACCAACAAAGCTCTCCACTGGCTCGACTTGCTTGGCAGATTGCAGAATCCAGATATGCTCACCATGTCCTCGAGGTCAGCAAACCGTCGAGCAACGCTGTTGCCAAATTTGTCCTTTTGGAACCAAAAAATCCGCTTGGAAAACGACGGAGAAGACAAACATAGCATTCAAAACAAAATGCTAAGCTTCATCCTCCTGCACTACGACGTGCTTACTCCAGTACTCGACTGACTGCGCATACGCCCCGCGATCTATGGCCACGCCACTGCCACCCTCCTCTATCAGCGCGTTACGCATTATCCTTAAACGAACACATTCAGATCGTATCGAGCATTATTATTATTGCAGGTGATCCTTATAACATGGCACGTCCAAAAAAGCTATCTAGATGCACATAACAGGAAACCTTACAGAAATAAATTACTTGGGAGCGGAAGGCATATACTTTCTACGGGTTATTGCCGCTACGGTTTACTGGAGAAACTTTAACTAGCGCCAAGCAGGACGCGGCAGCCTATCTGCGGTTAGAATGTACTATCGAAAGTGAACTTTGCAGTGCGTCTTGCTTACGTAATTGGGTTCATTGGCAGCTCGAATGGCTCATTCTGCGCCTTTATGGAAATTAAAAACCACTCGGGAGCAGAGGGGTCTGCGGTACGGAGCAGCGAACACTCACTTCTAGTTCTTCATGATCGTATGCCACCCAAGGAGTGCATAAATTGTAGCCTAGGATACAGTTAAATTGGGATCTTCTCCCAGAAGTCTCGCAGACACATATGACCGTACATCCTAAACCTCTGATTTGAGCCCTGCAATGACTCTCACCGATCTCTGTTATGTCGATTTTAGCCATCGCAGCGTTCTCCTTAGCGACTTGCTCCCGCGAATACAAAATTAAGTCTGAATTCCCAATTGCCATATCGCAAAGGAGATATGAATACAAACTTCGTCACCCCCGTCACTATACCAAAACATCAGCAATAATAATAAATGCAACAACAGAATTGAAGTATGATCTTTCAGAGAATATGTGGCGTACCGAGGTACTTTGCACGAATAAGCTGGTCCCTGACTAAAGAGGCCGGAAGCCAACGGGATAAAACTGCAAGTTCTTCGGGTCGCCGTGCCAGATATCCCGTGCTAAGGCACCACGCAGTCCTCATACCACAGAGCTGAAGACCATACAAAGCCCTCATACACTTATGGGCGGACCGCTCACACTTTACGCTCCACGGCATAAGGTTAGACGAACAGGAAGAAGCGCACTTCCTACTTGCGTACGTACATACTAAATCATTCTTTGTCTTGATTGCATTATTGCGTCAATAACATAATGAGCAGATGTGACTGGTAGCTGGCAAATCCAAACACCCTTTAAATAATGAAGTGAGATCAGTTGTTTGTTAAGGGATTTCGTTGGGCGGCCTACCGAATAAGCTTCTTGTTATCTTCATTGATGGGTAGTGTTGACACCCTAGCGTCTGTAAAGTTGTCCACAAAAATATGTTTGCAGAAGGGAGCGTAGCCGGGCACCAGCTTAGGTCTCTCACAAGCAAGGACCTCATGGAGCTGTAAGCACAGTGACAAAAAACAAGATACCTGTCAGTTTCGGCCACGAAAACACTGTTGCCATTCTTGTTAATTACACTACGGTAATTAGGTGTACCTTTTCCATGAATGCATCCTTTTCCATAGGAATTCTAGTCCCAGGGTATTTAGGATCATCGAATTGCCTAAAGCAAAATGGGTCTGCGCCACGCACACACACCGCTTCCTGGCCACGTGCCGATATACACACACCTGGAGGAAAGCTTCAGCTGCATATCCACAGTCTATATGGAGGTCGGAGCTAAGACAGTATCATATAGCGCAAGCCTGTTGGCTGCCTGCGCGTGCGCTCATCCGGTTTCCTCACCGAGGCCGATAGAGAGGGGGCTCCCATGGATCTGGCTCGAAGCTTCTTGACCTTGCTGAGCCATCGGGATGCGGATGTCTGAAGGAGTTGTACTCGTGAAAGGGGCGCACTGCAGTACAGACGGCGTTGGAGACCACAGGGCGACGAAACCCGCACCCCTTGCCAGGTTGCAAAAGCGCATACCTTTTGGAAACAAGGTGTTCTGTGGCCTGACAATGGTTTAAGCAAAGAAGAAATATGACGGAAACAAGGAGAAGACCAGGGGTTTCTTGCTTGGGGGAGACTGACCCAGCAGCGCTGTGAGTAGTCTTAGTTGTAGTCTGGCCGTGTGCCTACATGCTGCTTTATACACAAATTGCATGGGGCGCTAGGCTCCGGAATATTCTTCGCGACTGCTAGCAAACTCCAATTATATTGTAATGCTGGTAGCCCACAATATTTTAAATATTGAACTTACTGCTATAAAACTAGTGGAGTTGCTCCTGTGCATTTGGGGCTGGATGTATTCCAGCCACGACGCCCCGCACCCCGTTTGTTTCTGCATGTGAAGCTGTGCGTTTGAGAGTCTGGCGAGGAACGAAGCACGTAGAGTCATCTTTTCCGTTAACGTTCCTCCTGCGGGTGCATCGTTGACGGTCTTCTTGTTGCCACAATGGCGTCCGCATCCGTCGCTGCTCCAGCCCGCAGCCTCGCGCAGCGCGGCAAGAAGCCCGCATTTACTGGCAAGACAACCAGAATCAAGTTCACCATCGATTGCCAGAAGCCTGTTGATGATAATATTCTCGAGGCAAAGGGGCTGGTAAGCTCAGATCGGCGTCGTACTGCTCGATTCATATTCCCATAAGCACTGTTCTCCTTGAGAGTCATTCAAGGTATTTGCGTTAGCCAAGGTTGCCCGTCTTATCTCCCTACAACCCTGGCTCTGGTTTATGACATAATCGGACTGTGTTACCGGATTCAGCGCGAGTAACAGCGTGCCAATTGAGATGATTATCACTCCCCACAGCTAATGCATGTGAACAAGTATTCCGCGTGCCCTATTGTTTTACTGCGGGTTTTTGCGTAAAGCCCCTGGAGACGAAGCTATATCATCTGGCAAATTCAGACGATAAAATGCACGCACACAGGGGTACAGCTTATATGGATAATTATTTCAGAATCGCGGCATGAGGGTTAGGTGACTGCAGAATATCTGTTCCTCATAAACATCATAAATCTATAGAATATCGACTTCGGCAACGAAATGAAGAAAGCTCCGCATACAATATGCCACTTGGACGAGTGGCTCACTTTGCATGCACAGCGAAACGGCCTCTAGGACATAGTGGCCACAACTGCACATAAGATGGTGGACTTTATCGTCGATTTCGTGGTGTGTAAACCAAGTGAGTGGCAGGTGTTCGATCAGCCAATCCGTTGCTTTATGATGCATGTGCTGACTGCGCTTCAGGAGAATTTCCTACGGAGCCGGATTAAGGTCGCTGGTAAACTTAACAACCTCCGGGAAAAGATTGAGGTGTCCCGAGAGAAGGCGAAGGTCTGTGTCACTGCAGAGCTGCCCTTCTCAAAGCGTTACCTCAAGGTGAGAGCACAGCATTCGAGCGCATGCATTAAAATGGCAAAATATTTTTCCAAAATGTTTCCCCTTCATTTGTTCAAAGGGAGTGGATATAGAACAGCAAAGCACTCTCCAGATTCACAATTCGACAGCCGTTCGATTAACGCAAGCATGTCGGAGCATGCTGCCGTACATTGACAACTGATCAACCGTCCTTGCACATGTTATGCAATCCACGCACAAGTCCTAGTAGTATGCAGTGCGAATCCATGCAGCTAGAGTATGTGAATGAGGAATTACTTAGTTGATCGCCTAAGTGATCGGGGTAAGTACGCCTGCATATGGGAGACAGCGCGAAACTTGCTGGGGGGTACGATTTGTAATGGAGTTTTGCCTGCCGTTGTGTTTTGTATGCAGTATTTGGTGAAGAAGTACTTGAAAAAGCATATGTTGCGTGACTTCCTTCGGGTTGTTGCAAACAACAAGACGTCATATGAGCTTAGATACTTCCAGATGCCTCAAGAGGACGAAGAGACAGCATGAACCAAATTTGTGCTCTCCATTATCTCGTTGCCGTGGACCGACTGCAATTCCGTGTCGGTCTTTTGCCAGGCCACAACTTCGTTTTTCTCAAACTTGAATAACTGCCAGCAGTACTCGGAGGACCCTAAGTGTAGGCATGCGACTGTTACTACCAGTGGAAATAATGTATTGTAGGAAAATACCTGCACAGTTAATAGTAGAAATCGTGAGCAGACGCGCAGGTCTTTGTTACTAAGCCGTGGCCTGCATGAAAATGGCGTAGTCAATGGGTGGCACGAGCCTTCAACGGCTGTCCAGAGGCAGGCGATTGCAGTGGCGAGTCAGAACCATAGACATCTTTACCGCATGGGCGGCAACGCACAAAGCAGCCTAAAACAAAGTTTGGCATTATGCAGGGCTCGAATCTGTTGCAACATTTTTCGGACAGAATACAGCGGTCCTCAGGCGGAGTAGGCGTGGGTCTTGTGACGGCCACCCACGACCGCTCAGTGGTGACGCATAGAAGTCGGCCTTCTCCTCGCTTGTCAAAGCACTGCTGTTTCCATGGTCTTCGGGATCCAAGCCCCTCCCCTCCAAGCATAGTTACAGGAGGCGGCAGCGCCTTGTTGGGCGTTGGTGGAAGAGTTGAGTGCACTATGGGCACGGTTACGCTGGTGCTAGTGCTTGTGTGCCGCTCACGGCTCTGCCGACTGCTGTCCTCCGTCACTCGGTTGTTCATTTTCTAGTTATCCGGCTGGGTTTCAAAAGTGCTTGCTAATTGAGTGCGCGACGACAAATCACACCAAATCGTAGATTAGAATCGCAAGAGCGTGACAACAGCCATTAATTGTCAACTATAAGAGCGCACACCACAATAGAGTAGGGCCCAGCGAATCCACGTGCCGTGCTCAGCGGCGCAAGTGCCATTCGACCGCTGCGGTGTTTGTCGATACCAAGAAAACAGGCTTTAAGAATGTATTCTTGCAAAGTTTAAGTATGAAAAGACTAAGTTGGAGGTGTACACTACTATGGCTAAAATACGGTGGAATATTGGAGAGTTCGCTTGCTGCTATTGTCGTTTGTTTGGACACTCGATGCTCCGTTAGCGAGCTAACGACGGGACTACGAAATAGTTAGTGGAAACAGTTTTCCATTTCTCACGCTAATGCCTTTTATTATTCCATGCATATGTCATGTGTCTGTAATCTTTAATCCTCCTTCATAGTGGAGTTCATTTTTACATTGGATGCTCCTAGACCGTCAAATGACCATGGCGCCCGCAGTTTCAAGGTTGATTCTGCAGTACTCTTGGGCAGTCGCATGTCTACCCAACATTCCTCGTAAGGATACAGTTTAACTTGAGTAAAAGCGCAGCTCTCAGCATGTATTATGAGATTTTTGTGTAGAACACGGAGCCGTGTTCTACACAAATGCTACGGACGAAGCTTCAGCGGGGCGAATTCTCGCCCGTTCGCTAATTTCAGCTCCATTGGATAAGGCTCATGGCGATCAGTCTCAATGGATCTATTTCGACGATCTAACAACAGTGGATCAAGCCGATTTAATGTTGCTAACTTCAGGACCGGTCAACGGAACTTCTGCTCCGCCCCAAAACAACTTGCCCCTTCCACTAGACTTGTTGAGCGCACACATTGATGATGCTAGCAAAGGTCAGCGGTCAGCCGATACGTATTCTCTGCATTCACCATGGCTTGAGAGACGCTCAGATGAAGCTATGGGCACGAGTTCTGTGCACGAGGCCTTCATACCGCCAATAATGGAAACGGAAGAGGAATACGGGGGAGCGCTCAAGCGCGCAGACAACACTGCACCAAGCCTGCCACTGTTTGTAGACTCTGGGTTAATGCCACCAGAGGCTTTCCAGAGCACTGGTCAACTCAGTCATCAGGCCTTTGTAGTCGAGTCTGAAAGCAAGGAAACGGCAACAAGTCAAGCAATGGAAGAACAATCACAAAGAGAAGTTGGTTATATCGTAGGATCAGCGTACAGTGGACCCGAGTTTCGCCTGCAAGAAACCCCTGCTTTTGAGAAACCACCAGTTTTTGCAATGCAGAATATCACGTTGCTGCCAGATCAGTACAGAAAGCCAATTGCCGCAGCACTTCGATCATTTACTGCAAGAATGCAGGAAGCCGCTGTGGAATATTGCAAAAAAAATCATTTGAACTGCACACAGGAAGAGGCATTGCATACTGCAATATCTGTGGCCATAAGAACATCGCCGGTGGCTTCGATGTTCAGGCAGATTTCAGCTTCGCTAAGTGCACTCGAGGTAATTTAACGGTAGGAGATCCTCACGAGGCAATGGTAATAGTCATTTTAGGGGGCGGTGACTGGGGCTTTGCGACCTCTAGGTTGGCCGCTGGACCCAAGATCTCCCGAAAATCCTCCACCTCCACCAAAACCCCCAGCAGAGACAACTGCGGTAGTCCAGTTTGCTTTTTCACTAGTGGGCACCGCTGTGGCCCTGCTGCGGGGCCTTATCCATGTTACACAATCTTCTACACCCCTGGCACCTGGAGACACGTACGTTCGCCCTCGATTCCACTTCTCTGCCTACGGATCAGTGTACCAATCCGCGATTTGCTACAGACACCTGCACGAACACCACCGATACATTCTGCTAAATATATTACTTGCCGGAAGAGAAACCACTGGTTGCTCACTGACAGCGCCTCCAAACTTGACATCAAATTGCAAGACTTTCCTCATTGAGGTTCGGGCGCGCACAGACAATCGCAGAGCCTGTGGTGCTGTCCAAGGTACAACATAATGTGGTAATTTATATGCATGCAACAACTATTGTTCGGCGCTTATCAGGTGGCAATGTGAAGTCCCTAACTGTGCACGGTTTTGAGTTGTCGTGTCTTTCTTCCCTAAAGTGCACCCAGCACTTTACTCTGCGCCAACCGTACAATTTGGACGGCGATTACACCGTGGTGTCGAGTTCCGGCGGCGTTCTTGAGTTCGAGAAAAAAGTGTCTAATGACTCCCTACAACCAATAGCCTCGTCGTGGAAGCTCTATCTCTATCAACCTGCGTCCCACCCCGACGTCAAGGGACCCCTTAAGTCTGCAGTGGTCGCCTGTAGCCCTCTGCCGGTAAGATCCGGCCGTAGTATGGTACATTCCGAGTCACACGAGTCGCCTTGCAGGTCACTGATGCTACAACCGGACCAATTGCCTACATGCAAGAAGCAGCGCTTGCATCCCTGACATCTACAGACAGAGATATGTCCCAGTGTCGTAGCGCTGCGACTTTTGCCTTCCCCCAATGCCTTTTAAACGGCCTGGGGCATTGGCGTTTCACTGAACTGCGCTCAGGGACTTCCGATGAGAATACGAACGACTTCCCGGCCATCGTATCTGTAAGTGAACAGCCATTGCAATTTGAGCTCAAGCTCCTCTTGATCATGCTTGGCTTCCACTAGGTCCACGCTGACTGCTGAAGAACTCGAAGGGCGCACGCCATCGGGTAGCGCACACTAACTTAATCTAGATCAGTAAACCCTCAGTCTACACAGCGATCCAGAGCCTGAGCGATTGAATATTCATCACGGGTGCCGCTCTCTCCGCCTGGCACGGGTTCACGCTTGAAGCACCGCCCAGGCACGCGGACTCTCGGAAAGGGCGCGATTCTTCACAAGAGACAGTCAGTGCAAAGGGCCGCCGATAGTCTATGGCGCCCACGTCGCTCGCTTGGCTATGCGCGGCATTGAACAATGAGGATGCTTCTCTGTCGGTGCTTTTTCAATTTAAAATTATGCGTCTCCAAGCATTAGAAATCCGTGGATGGCGAAGATATCAGAAAGCAACATATGTTTCCTGTCTTGAAATCGACTCTGCTATCCTTGATGGGCCCAGGTGTTGAGCGAGCGACCCCGTCAAATAACACCCTAAGCGGTGCTGTACTTTCTTGGGACCCAGCTGACACTGCACGTAGCAGCGTCTCTACCCTGTGTCTTACCTTTCTTTCTTCATTGTAAACTGGCTTTGCTTCTACATGTCGTGCACCAGCTGGTAGCCCCTGCCGAATTTGACCTGAAAGTCCGTTTCGCCACACTTTATCGCCTCCTCGTCCCAATAGGCCACTGGCCGTTTGGCATTAACCAGAAAGTTGACCTTCCGGACGTCTAGGCCTACAGAAAAACAGAGGTATGCGCTGACGGCGGCAACGCTCCTCCCCACTCCCGCATTGCAGTGTACGTAAACAGTGTGCCCATTCTGCACACAACGAAAACGTCGCACACAGACACACACACAAAAAATAGAAAGAGATCTGCCTCTTTGAGAGACTGAAACACTCGAGTTCGCTAGCGCAGATCCCTACTTAGCACCGACAAAAGCAACCACCTGAGGTGGATACAACCTCCGCTTGCCCTCGCACACCTTTAGCAAGGCTTCAAGGACTAAGGCGCATTGGGCCACCACCAGTTTGCGGCAGGTGTCGCTCATGTCCTCGGTAGGCATCCAAACATAACGCAAGCCAGCGGATTCGTATAGATGGCCCACAGCTTCTAGTGTGCGAGTGCTGGCAGTCGGGTCTGGAAAGTTCTCTCTGTAAAACTCGGACAGTAGAGCGAAACAAACAATGCCTCGCGAACGGACGGCACAGCAGCTACTCACACATGTTACTACCTATGTAGCCCAATGCCCTTTCCCACCTTCAAAGGCAGAGACAGAGGAGCATGTCTGCGGTGCTTGCTTGGCTTGCCTGATGTCATTCGCGGTTTGCAGGTTGAAGATGGCCGTGATCTTCAGGTCTTCTTTAAGGTGGCGGATATGTTGGAGCTGCCGGGGGCATGAGCCAACATAGAGGTTTGGCAGAATATTAGAATAATGCATGCGCGCCTCCGCCTTGATTGTATTATAAAACCGCGTGGTGTGGTCGTACTCGCTTGAGCCTCTCACTAAGATGGCCACACACAGTCACACCAGTCTTCATCCTAAGAACTACGAGAGCGCATAGGGGGCTTGCTGGCCTGTGAGGCAGCTAGGCATTGACTACCACTATTTGGACAAAATCTAGCCAGCTGGACAGCCACTTGCTTTTGTTCTTTAGGACGGCAATTGACGGCAACTCGCGATACAAATGTAAGCTTTGAGCGGCATGTGGCGTAGAGAGGGAATCACGCGCTCCACATGCGTCCCTTCTCTAGCATCTGGTTGCCTCAAAGTGGCTCGGCTCACCTCTTGGGTCCTCAAACCTTGCAATTTTGCAGAGGTATAAGGATACCAATTTTCCAGTTTCACACTTGTCCAAGACGACGTCCATTGGGTCAAACACGAACTTTCTGTTGCTGCTCGACCCGTACCCCTCCCAAACAACACTCAAGCCTTGCCTGGGGGGTTCGGTGCAGTTAGCTGGGGGTGGAGGAAACAGCCAGGTGCTCCAGGTGCAAGAAGGGCTGCCGTAGGCACACCACTGAAAGGCCTCTCCCGGCGTGTCAGGTACATACGGAGTCACCCGCTTGTTGAGATTCCATACTATGAACTTGTATTCGAAATTCAACTGCTTGAAGGGGTGTTGGTCCATAACTGCAGCAATCTCTGGGGCGCTCAGGTTGACGCGATACGCAGCAGCCGCTGCCAGGCTTGAGGCTTCATCGCCTGCAACGTAAGACGAAGCTCCTCTGCTTCCAGAGCCTTTATTCCGAGCTGGGTGGCCGTTTGTTCGGGTCACTGCTGCAATTAGCCGATCTGAAAATTGGTCACGAGTCTCGGAAGAGGCTTTGTGTGGTTGGCTGTCGTTGCAGGCATCTGATGGTCCGCCTGAAGGCCCGCCGCAGCGTTGCACAGCCTCATCACTCACCTCTACATCTGCAAACCAGAGGCTTGGTTCCGTGCCACTCTCGGGAACAGAGCTGTATGGCAACAAGGGAAGGCAGCGGCAAGGGTCCCACCTCCCCAGAAAGTTAGGGGACCCCACTACTCCCAGCTGTGCATCAGGAGGTACGAATGCCACGCAGCTGAATCGTATCCGCATACTTTAGGCTGTTGTAGGAGGGAAATTTAGAGGACGTGACAAGGCGCCGAGCAGCACCAGCGGCTGCTTACGTCTCGCTAGTTGCGAGCTGCAGCCCTGCCACTATTAGAATCCCCCTAGTATATTAAATATTGGAGCCTTAATGATATGAGAGAAGATATAGCTCTACATAAGAACGCAGTCTTTGGGTCATCCCCCTGCAGACCAGCGAACAGACCGGAGCAGAAAAGCTCGGAAGAAGCACCGCTGCTGAGTTGCGATCGCGCAGTTACTACACAAGTTTCCACGAAACTATGTAAGAAAGGACTGAAACAAAGTACAGTAAGCTCGAGGGAAGCCACTTCTTGCAGAGTGCACTCCTCCGAGACGGTAATGCCAGCCCCTCGTAGAGGCTGCAGTCATGCTGCTCCAACTTCGTAACAGTAGTAAAACAAAATGATGTTATTTTTAGACTAATGAGTATAGCGCCTTTATCTATTCTACACAAGTGTGTCGGATGTCATTTGCAGTATGTCTGCCTTTATGCCGTCCCACTCGACAGCAGCCCCAACCTGACGGTCCGGGCACCTCGTTTTTACGCTCTAGCAGCGCGGGTGTGATTCTGTCATCTGCTCCCCATGGTCCCGAATCCCTCATTTAAAGTAATTCTGGTGAATACGTTACATCACTACTTTGGTTCTCTATTTGTTTTCTTAAATTATCCCTGATCAACTAATAGTCCTTGTAACGCTCCATATAGGGACCCCCTATGGAGACACTCAACTCCATGTTCAATACAAATTTGATAAGAAATGATTGACCTTTTCTCCCAAGAGACCCACCTTTCCCTGCTCGTGTCCTTTACCTCCCGATATGGAGGGAGAGAAACTGCTTGACCACACTGAACAATCGCAGATGGCTGCACACTCCATGTAGCCCACATACACGCAGCGCTGTGGCTTTTTGTATCGATCTAACAGCTCTGTGCTTCATTATGACTAGTGTATCAGAAAGCGCTTGAGAGTAGAGTAGCCCTCTACAGGTGCGGACAGGCGCAGAAAAAACACTTTGAAACATACCCACTAGCTTTGCATTAAGCTTGAAGTAAGTGTCAAGTCAAGTTTGAAACGGAAAAACCCCCACTCAGGCTCTGGTACATTGGCGAATTTCATAAGATGGAGCCGCAGTTGGGGAGCAACCACAGTTCATTCCTTCGCAAAAAGAAGCACAGATTAATTAAGTAAAATGGCTAGCGGCCCTGTTCGTCGAGATCGCGCAGAACTGCGATCTGCCTGGGCCCCTAATACTCAAATTTGCCGATGTGCAGCAGGATGAAGGCATTAGCAAGGGTCCCACAGCTCAGTGCCACCTCAAGTCGGAATGGGTCCAAGCAGTGTGCTCTATGCCTGTATTGTTCGACCCATGCACCAAGGCCTATACCTAGGTATGCTTTAGATAGAGGAGTGCAAGGCATACGTGCGACCACATGCATGCCGCAAAGACTACCGTTCCAGGAAGCGCTAGGAAAAAGTCAATCTTTGACTGTACAACAGTGCCCGTTTTCACAATCTGGTGAGGCAGCATCTCCATGTTGGTGGCTTAATAGAACACCAAACAATATTAGCATGCATTCTGTCGTAGTGGGACTGCACATGATTCCTCACTGGGAAATTTGGGTAGTCTGTCAGCCGAGGAGCTACAGTGCTTTTGACGACTGGGAGGTGGCCAGCAAGCTGGCCACCTCCCAGTCGTCAAAAGCACTGTACTAAATTATCCCCAGCTTACCTCCAAGCTGTGTTCCGCGGTATCGGAGTCTTCTTCGCATCAAGAGGGGATTCAGAGATATGTGGATGATTTAATTAAAGGTAGAGCGCAGGAATCAACCAGCGCCTTGGGGCGAAACGAATGGTGGTGCTGTCAAGGGACGGGTGGCGTGTGCGTTCAGTTTAAGCCTATGAATTAGACCACTGACTTTGGACACATCACACCGATCAAAAGTTTACTCCACCTTTGACTATAAATGCCTTCTTTCAGATCCGCGTTCACTCTGCTGACAAGCACGAATGGTGTTCTACACTAGCACTCACACGCTCGAGTGTACTTGCTGCTGATTAAAACCATGAGTATTCCAGCTAGTGACCACGACAAATAATCCATGTTTATCCAAGAAGAGTGAAGGGTGGTGTTGAATTGCGCTATTTTATTCATGAGAAAAAAACTTTCAGGATCGCCCAGGCTACTTGTGGTGGGCGCTGGATGTGCCACGAGAAAGGCAGCCATGCGTGAAGGCACACCAGTGTTTTATTTTTATGTAAATCATCGTGATACTAGCACTTCTTGCTTTGCTTGAAGGAAGTGCGCCCGATCTGGCAAAAAGTTGAAGCAATCTAAGCGTAGCCTTCACCTTCACGGACCCTCAACATTCCTGGACTTGCTCACAGTCGCCCCTCCTTTACTAAAATACAAAAACACTGCATTCAAGAATATGGAACAAGGCGGCTGATGCCACAGCAAAAACGCTATATCGGCCACCTTGAGAACCCTTCCGTAATTTCGGTGCCCGAGTATCAGCGTCATTTCTTCGTAACAGCCTAGCCTTTTCCAAGGCCATTTATTGCTTGCTATTCCCTTCATTTTTTCCTAATCCAGCAGTGGTACCCAGTGAGGAAGAACAACATTTCGTAGATTAGTGGGGAGCGCAACAATGCTGGCACTGTTCCTGTGGGTGTTATTCACTGAACCAGACCGACCTGCAGTAGACAACGTACCCTACAAAAGCTTTTGAGGATCTGATAGCCCTAGAGCTGCTCTGTAGCCCGGTCTCTCAAAATATGACGTTCCAGTAAATCCTACTATAATGACATCACCAGCATGGTTGCCCACAAGCTCTCACAAAGCCACAGCAGATCACAAGTGCGCAGAGCAACTGCTCATGCCCGGGACAATTGACGGCTTCTATCGCAATCGCGTAACTCTGATGCGTTTGACCCCGTGCATTCACTAGGTTTGCCAAACTTCAGAATAGCAACAGGGTGAGGCATTCCCTCCTAGATCTGTGTGGTTCAACGAAGCGGGAGTCCCATCGCTTGTACACGCTGACTTCGCTTTACGCAGACATTCAGAGAAATGTCATGATTATTTTCCTTTGGGCCATGCTAGGCCTCACACTATAGTTGACCTTTCCGGTGGCGTGGGGTGCGTGCTGCGACAGAGCAATGCGCACTGCCATGCGCATAATGTCAGCAGCTGAAGTATTGAAAACTCTCCTAGACCAAGCGCCCTGCAAAGCCCCTCATGTGGCTGAGAGAATCTGGACTCTTTGGATAAGACGTTTTTCTAGGCTCTCTGAGGGTAAGTTTGAGATAGCAGCTTTGTCTTTTTCGGAAAACTTGGTAAACATGCCTTTTGCAGCCGTTGTTTCAGCTCTGTCGCAGATCAGGCTTTAAAGGATAAAACGTTTGTGTCCAAGCCACTCAGATTACCCAATAGTCTAATAACGGACAGGGAGCCGATGTTACTTAATGTGTACTGGCGTGCTTTGATAACCCGGTCACATATTGGCCACACCACGAGCACTGCATGCCAATCTAAGGCAGATGTACAGACAAATCCCATCAACCGCACACTTATAGAGTGCTTGCAAGCGTATGCCCGCATAAATCTAACTGCGTTTTTTGATTTAATTTTTGCTTGTGCTGAGTGGGTTCATAATACATCAGTGCACTACTCTACTCGTTGCTCTTCGGCATCCCTGCATTACACTGAGGAGCTCCTCTCCGTTGCAAAACTGGACATGCTGATCCATAGTCGGGAGCTGCCCTCAGCCGAGCTGGAATTCAGAGGACAGCTGGTCAGTGCACCCGAAATATGGGCTGCTCAATGCATGCAGGCACAGAATTTTGTTCAGCGGCGTTTGGTTGTGTTTTTCGAGTCTGAAGAGTTGGTCCCGATAGATCGGCGGGCCCTATGAGTGTACCAGGTTACCATGCAAAGACGCTTGCAGACAGGCAGCCAGGACCATTTGCCATCCTCTCACGAATCAATGCTTTCATAGCCTATCTGTTTGCTTAAAAGTTGGAGGTGCCATGAAACTACCAAGCCGGCATCCTATAGAAGCAAAACTTCCCGAACCATTTACGGACGTTGCAACGTAGGCAAGGGTCTGGAGGTGAAGATTCACATGGAGCCGTTAAAGTGCTCAATTATTGAGCAGCAGAGCACTAAGGACCCACTAGGCAGGAGATTTCAATGAAATGAGGCGGCGAAAGCGAGCCATAGTGGTCAGTGGAGTAGTATTTGCAGTCTTTGTTGCTTGCAGGAGGAGATTTCGCGGCCCTGTTTGGTTAGCAACCCTAATTGCCGTAGAGGGCACTTGCAAAAGCAATTGTTCGTCCCCAGAGCGTGCTCTGTCTGAGATAGCTACTTTCACCGATAAGGATTGCTCAAAATATTTTCAGAGATTATTGTTGAGGTGGTCTACATGCTCAGATATATGGGAGGACATACCTAGGTTGGTCACTGCTACCTTATTCCTTATGCCTCTTTCGGGGCCTTTACATTAACTATTGCATGCAATGGCTCGATTTTGCATGAAAGCAGTGCTGTACGAGGCATAGGTACTAAGGAGCTAATGTTTCAGTCCCCTTCTATAGTTTATTTGTCTCGTTTTCTTATGCAAGGGGGCTAGCACGTTGTAGCGCTCAAAAGCCCCCAAGCCACTATGCCGCCACCTTGGTGTTGGCTTGATGCCTTGTTCACTGTTGGCTTGTGCGTGTGTGTGTGTATGTGTGTGTGTGTGTATGTGTGCCTTTCCTTCAGTCAATTCTACTCTATCGATTCATGCACAGGTCTGCTGCTTTTATTTGTACTTTCTTGTTTCTGCCTAGGAGAGTGGCAAAGTGCGGAAACTCTTCTGCTATCCTGCAGGATGATGGTCTCGATAGACAGGTGGGAAAGCCAACGGGGTGAGCCTTGAGATGCCCGGGGGCCGAAAATGTAAGGGGCTAAGCTATAATTAAGCTATATTATTGGCTATGTAAGATGATGATAAGTAAAGTGTCAGATAATAGGTTCGCTAGTTCATGTTCCTGATGTATTGCACACCACTGCTGTCTCGATACAACGAAGCACAATTTGTGCAGCTGCGTTAGATGCTTTGTGTAACTACCTGTAAGTGCTCGGAATGATTAGCAGGTGCGGTTAAGTGAGCCTTAGATGGCCTTCTGTCTTAATTTTAGTAATTCAGATGGGTGAATTTGGGGATAGGCACGGAATCTTGTGAGAAATCTTCAAGAGCTTTCTACTTTATTTGCAGTCAGCGTGGCTTTCAGTGTCTCCGTGTGGAGACACTTAATGGAGCATTAAATTTTGAGTTCTTAGTTTGGCTGTTCGTGTATCTTGCCGGCTGCAGAGTAGACTTAATGACCGAAGCTTTTGATATTTGCTTCCGTATGTGGAGGGCGCAGCAAAGCCAACACTAGTTGTTCTTCGCCCTTGTTGTGGGAACCCGTACGGGATACGGCACCGAGAATTAAAAGCTTTACAAAATAAAACTCAGTAAACTTCGTTCAAGCTTTTAATGGGGTTTTAGGGCCAAGGGCTTTCCTGTGGAGGTTCAAACTGGGGCGGTACAGCACTCGGTCACATCGAAGATCCACAGTAGGGAGCCGGCAAAGGCTATGGCATGCTTGTACCAAAATAAGACAAGCTATCACAGTGTCTTTACATCAAGGCTTAGCTAATATATCAGTATTTTGCTATCACAGATTACAATGCCACTGCATTGATACCCTATGTTACAATATGTTGCTGGTGCGCCTGAAAGAGCTATCGAGGAACAAAAAAACGCCTGGGAAGGCGAAATTGGCAACATTTTCTCCCCAGCATACATATTGTATCGCTCAGAATTGCGATGCTGTGCACATCTTCGATGCTGTAGTTTAGCTGCAACGACTGTGAATATGGCAATTCTGCACTTAACAACGTGTCATTCCACGTGCCTTTATGCATAGGATTCTGAGGCTATGGAATAATTGCAAGATATTTCAAGGTTCTTGCAGAAAGGTGGGCATTGTACCATTTCAAGCGTAACCAGCTCCGGATTGGTACATGTACAGTAGAACACAGCTAGTTGTACGTAAATGTGGTGTGACCTCCGAACTGCTTTTTCTCCTTGTGCCCCCTTCCATATATGTTTGAAGTTGTGCTTAAGTGGCCATTTATTTGTGAAAAGGTGACTAAGTGAATTGTGCGGATTAGATAGTGTTGTTGTAGTGAGTGGGGCCCCTAGGGCCCCTCTGGGGCTCGCTGTTGCAGGCTTTGGGTACGATACTGTGCCAGCAGGTCCGCTAAAGTGTTAACATTCAAGGGGTGTATCAAGAAGCATCTAAAAATGCATCGACAATGCAACGTCTGTGCCTCTGAGCATGCCCTTATGCAGCAAAGTTTATCCTAGTGCAATCAGCGTACCAGCAGCTATTGGCATAAATGTGGCTTCTCTTGCATTCTGCTGTATTTCTCTACACTGACTTGCGAGAATAGGATGTAGTGGCTTCTTAAGGTCCGCTGGATACTGCTCTTTTAGGGCAAGGGCCCGCACACGCCCTCAACCCTAATGTTCACAGTTTCCCATAAGTCTGTAATTGGAGCAGGAGCACAGGGACCGTGCGTGGAAAAAAACCTGCACCTTTGATTGTTCCGTTTCCTGTTACATGAAAGACAGCCTCCTTTCGGGCCCAAGGAGGCCCAGGCTTCACCCTGCCTGAAGTCCGTACATGGGCACTGCATTTCTCCCTTTGATGAAGATGGTGACGAGTAATTAGGGAAATTTCTGACAATCATTCAGAATATTAATACTTGGGCAGACATTCAGACATAGTCATTTCAAGTCTCGGACCTGGGTCTACCTTCCGCTGCCTGCCCATTGGCTAGCCGCCTACAGTGGCACTGTTTTCCTCTTTGTGTGGAATATCCAGTTGGCTTCTTCAACAGCTAATGCGCTGTAGTGCGTGACCAGGCGGCTTAGCTGACCTCCAATAACGCTTTGCCGGTACAGCAGTTGTCAAGTGCTTGGCTACGACAAGACCACGACAATTTATCTGCCATTCCCGCACTGCTTGCATTTCAAACGATGATGGAATCCGGCCCTCTCTTCGTATATGCTGCTGTTGCCCGCGGCAAATGCGTGATAGCAGAGCATATTGCCCGCAATGCACCTGAAGACATTCCGCGTGCTGCTAGGTGAATTCTCTGTTTTTTGTCCACTACTAGCGGCCAACGCAACAATTTTCTGTTGAGTTTCTGCTTATTGCGACGCAGTATCACGCTTGGAAGGACGCTGGGTAGTACGTCATGGCTGCTGGGCGTAGTTGTAAATTACATGTCCTACAACGTATTGCTTTGTGTATTTTGTGCCCAGCGCTACGTTGTCCAGCTGCGTGTATGCTTCGGCGCATATTTTTTGTCTTGCTCAGGCAGGCGCTGCTCCGATTGCCTCCTCAGCGAGGGCGAAGGAGCTACGTCTTCCAGAGTCACCTCTTCTCCTTTGTAGGCTGCCCAGGATTTCGCTAGGGAAATGGGGCACTTGGAAAGTATTTAATCATGAGGGACAGCTATAATTTTGGCCAATTGCCTACTTACTGACAAGAGCACTGAATCGGAAAAAGCAACATCCGCTAACTATGGCTGATAGGATCTACATGTGTTGCCTGATGTGCAAAGATGCCACTGATTTGCACGCCGGCCGCTTTTCCTTCCTATGGCGCACCTCAAGGCACCACGGCGGCTCTTTTGTTGTGACTTGCAGCTGGTCGGAGATCAGAACATATTCCTTTGCGTATCGCCTCAAGAGGCCTCTTTAGACATTTCTAACACATTCCTGGTGCGCTTTTAACGGGAGGCGTACCTGACATTCATGCTGGGGGTAAACCACCCGTGGGTACATAAGGGGTTCCTGTGGCCCCTCCGTGAAGACGGTAGTGGTGGAGCTGAATTAGTGTATAAGAGTATCGCATGTGCCAGCGATCAGCTTCTTTCGTAATGTTTCACACAGTCTAGATGGGCAAAGAAGATGACCTTTGAACGCCAGTCGAGGGAAGATAGGGGGTCTTGTGCCAGTGCCTGCTTCTCGCAGACAGAGCTCCGCGCATCTCTGAATCAGCGCTTGGCAATGCGTCCGTCGTCTCCGCCTCCAAACCTTCAAGAAGAAGCCACCCAGGCCATCTTGCTTCAGCTCGTGAGTCCTGTAGATGTATTGCAACACAATGCACGGTATGCACTTAATCCATACACCGGTGTGCGTGATTAGACCAAGTATAGGTATGAGGATATTGACGTCTAAAACGGATGAGAGTAAGCCTACTTTGTTGTGTCGTATTCTCTTGGGGTAGGAAGCGCTCGAGCGCGGCGAAGGCGGGGGCGTTCAATTGATAACGCGCGTAGAAAAGGAGCTGGAGGCTGTCACCGACCTGGTTAAGGACAACATAAGTAACTTCTGATCCACTGAGGCGCACACGGACTCATTGAGACCCGCTGTATTGGCAAGGATGAATTAGCTGTTGAACTTTTTGTGCCCATATATAGTTGGTAGAATGTACAGCGGGCATAACATAGGTATATCTGTATACTGTTTATAGAGTTCTTTCTAAATAATATGCGAATACTAAGGCCACAGGGCTTTGCTTCAGTGCTTATCGTGCTTGTGGCATAACTCAGATAGCGTGCTAGAGAGGAACGAACAGATTGAGTGCCTCGTGGGCAAAACTTCTACTTTGAAAGAGGACGTAAGCTGCTCACAGGACACTTTAAGAAAACCACAAATGGTAAATTATTGAAATGTGTGAAAATTTCGAATTAAACATTTGATTAATTGTGGTCTCCTATGATTCGATAGAATTTTCGGTTTCGATTCGAGGACTTGCTGTGTGAAGGTATGCTACTTTGTGCACTGAAGGCGGTTTCGTTTCGACAATCAGCCCGAAGGCTAAAGAGGCATGTGTGGTGGTCCACAGCTCGCACCTATATCCTTGTGCTGCTGCTCATTTCCGTGAGTATACTAACAAATTTATTTGGCCTGCTTCTTGGTTCAGACCTTGGTGAAGAATCTTTCTTTAAAGCCTCTTGCTATCCTGCCTCCAGGAATACGAAATGTCCAGGTGTTTTGTGCAGGTTATGAGCACAGTAATCTTCTTCCTAATTCAGCGGTAACGCAGGACTTCACAGCTCGTTCACTGCTGGATCGATAGAATTCAGAGCAAAGATCCACGGGAAATCTCCCCAAGTGCTGCCTCATGGTAGCAGTCACTAGGGATCCTTGCCCCACCCGCGACAGCCGTCTACGGATTGCTTAAACAGTCTAATGCTCTCTATAACGCATAGATGTCAGTTGCTTTGTACGGTAGAAAATATAAGTGGTGGTGGCCACGTATGACTATTATCTGGAGATTCGCGCGGCAAAGGGTGGCGGAGCTTGCAACACTACTAAATTAGAATTATTAGGGGTCACCAAGCAAATCCTACTTCACAAAATCTCTTAAATCAATCCAGAAATGATCAACATCACTTACATGTTGGGTTTCTTTGGAAGGGTGCTGCTGCAGTACTTGGCTTTTGTCATTGACTTTACGGACATACCATATGCTGCGGCAGCCTCACTACCTATCAGGCGAACGCTGCGCAGGCACAGTGAGAAGCTCTGGAATGGAGGCCCGCATGCGCTTTCCCCTCCTCTCTACAAATTCTGTAAACGTATACTTGCCGATACTGGCTTGCACATAATATTGGAAACCGAGTTGCTGCACAGGAGCATTGGGTAACTCCCAACTCACGCCAGGCGTTGTAGGGTGCACCACGCACCGCAGAGCCTGGAGAAACCAGAACAAAAAAGGAGGTTGCAGCGCGCAATAAATTCTTAATTGAGTTTGTATTTAGTCCGGAGTGAAATGCACCCTTATGGAGACCCCAGATAGAGGGCTGTAGTCCACTTGCACCACCGGTAGATTTAAAGGTGCTGCCTTGGTTGCGCAAGCATGAAAACGTGCGATATCCAAGCCAGGAAGTCAATTCACAACACCATTTAATGCAAGTAGCCGAATAGCAACAAGATATCTCGGGCCTGTACATACTTTGCCATAAACGCAACTGATTATCCTCTACAGCTACGCATGATGAGAGAAAGCGCAACACGAAGGGAAAATTTCCCCATTATTTCGTGCACTAGCTGGCTCTCCTGCTCAAAATTTTGAGTCAAAAGGTTTCTTCTTAGCAGCACACTGGATTTAGTATAGACCTCCATCAAAATCTTCCATAGGGAGACATTTTATTCCAAAGTCGACAGAAACGATAGAAAGTTACTGATTATCTCAGTAGTACTCCCGCTCCCCCTGATCGCGCCCCTCAGGATCGACAACATGAAAGAAGAGAGATTGCAGCGGGATGAGCTGCAATACGAGCTTTAATGCACTAGTAGCATTGAATGCAAGTATAAAGAGTTGACCAATTGGTGTGTCTGTCCGTACATTTTATAAATTGCGCACTAGTGCTACCTCGAGATAACGCACTGTATGCACATGAGCTAGATGCTTGTGTAACTAGCTGTGAATGCTCGGAGTGCCCACAGGCGCAATTACGGATCCTAGTCGTCCCTCTGTCCTCATGTCAACAATCCTAGAAGGCGAAGGTGGGCATTTTCTTCAGAAAAATCAACAGCTTCTATACACGTTTATGTTGTTTTGCAAGCAGGTGTCTCCCCACAGAAGCCTTAGATAAAGTTTTCCATTCTACGGTTAAGCATTACAAGTTACCGCCTTTTCTTGTCCTGTGTCAGATTTCCAAGATAAAGGAAGAGAAGTAGCTCGACCCTTTAGGCACTACAGCTGGATTGGAAAGGCTTCTAGCGCTCGCGTAAAAAAAACTGCGTTTTATTGTATGAAGCTAATACTACTCTACAGCAAAGTGGATATCAAAACGAACACACTTACTAGTCAATTTGTTTATATATCGTATTTGATATAACAGTGTGGCAGATGGTTTTAAGTGGTGCTTAGCCCGCTACATGTAGCCTGTCGGGTCGAGACCAGAGATCTACAGCCAGAGCTGAAGATGAGTTTTCTTGCCCATTTCATGGGATGCTTGTTCTACAGAGGTATAGCCTCGAGAAATGACTTTGGGCACGTATAATTTCAGTACATGCATGGCATATTGGTTATCTTGTGTAAAAATGCATGTATTGGCACCTTTTCCAAATAAAAATGAGGTGGATTTTGTTTGAGCGCTTATGCGCAAATTCTTTATTGAGAACCATCTAGAACCCTTGTTGTTGTCAAGCAAGTATGAAAAGCACCCCTAGCGGCGGCAGCACTTTCGCGGGTCCACATAACGTACGACGGCCGCCGCAGTCCCATCTTTGGGGGTGCAGGAATCCTCATGTTCAGAGCAGCACAGAAGAGATTAAGCGTAATAATATACAGAGGTGTATTAGGACTTTTAAACTTTCTTCCGGGATGCTGCCCTCTTCCCTTGTGCGCGGTTGCGCACTACCTCTGGCGCTGCGCAGCAGTGGACCCGCCAGCAGACTAGGAACAGGACGCTCCTTTCCTCTCATTGTTCCTACAATAAGATGTATTGCAACTCACTCCCCCCATCTGCATGCGCCTTCACCTCCACCACGGGAATTCAATGCGGATGGCAGCCCCAAAGTGTACCGCCTTACCCAGACTACATACAACCACAAATATGATTGGGAACGATGGCATTTGGCGCCGGTTGGCGTCTTTCACACCGTATATAAGGGCCAGTTTGCGAAAGATTCTCCCGCCCACTAGTATGCACAACACCTCATCGAATCTGCTGCGCGTAAAGCTGCTCTACCGGACAGCTCTACAGAAGTTAGTTACGTTAATGCGACGGGTTGTTGCGTTGCTTTTTTGTTTTGCAGTGCATGGTTGCTACAGTACAATATGCTTGTGGCGTCGGTGCCGGTGCTGCTGCTTTCCCTATCGGTTGGATTCATGGTGGCGACTTTCTCCCTTATCGGTAAGGAAGGCCATATGATGTTATGGGTGGGCTGCTAGTGAATACATCAGGTACACTTGCTTCTTTGCATTTGACCACTGTGTTGTAGCACTATGCTTGAAGGATGTCCACTGTACGCGTTTTCAGGTATAAAGCCGAAACGCTACACAAAGGACTGGATGCTTGCAAACAAAGAGAGAGAACGCGCGGAAAATAGCAACCCCATGACCCGATACCTCGACAGAAGGCGCAAGGTGAAACAGCGCGCTGCGGCGTCCACTCGCTGCGCTTGGTTTGAGGCCTCTTCCGTGCTAGAGAGCCTGAGTTGCGTAGTTTATTTTGAGCGGTATATGTTTTGGGAGCTTGTTTTGTCTCCACCTTCTGCAGGAACGTGGCCCTAATTGGCTCCCAGAGAAGTACCTCCCGACCCACCCATTTTTGTCTGTGAATAAGGACACGCGAGCGGACCTCACGAGCTCAGACTGAACCAGTGAAGAGTAAAGACGAATGAAGTACGCCATGGGGTAGTGCAGCTGCATCCGAGGGGGTGCATATATACTCCTTGAGCTGCCGAGGTCGTCGCAAAACTCATTTGTATGTGCCAACGCAAGCGTAACAGGCCTGCAAATCGCTGTTTGCTTGAATGGTATCGCAAAACACGAAATGGTTCAGCAGCCTTTATTTACTGTATCAATTCCAATAGGCTGACAGGGGCAAGCCCACAATGATTCAAGCGGCCATGCCGATGGCAGGGAGTCGTGTTCGTCGTGATCTGTCTTCCCTTGTGAAACTTTCCAAGGTGGAAAAAACCATAACTCGCATATACTGGCTTTTGCGCTGCTTCAAGAATAATTCAATAAATGCGCTAAACTGGACATCCGAGCTGGGAATGTGTGTACAGCTCTTTCCCCGCTGTATCGAAAAGCCCACTGTTTGCTCTTGGGCGCTGCAGTGGTTTATCAGGTTGGTTATGGGTTTGCCCGTGGGCAGCTGCACGTGGATACTAATACCCCTTACCTGTTCAGGCTGCCAAGATCTAAGCATGAGAAACCAGCCAACTCATGACCTATTTGTGCAAGAACATATTTTAAGCAAAGATGCGGATCTATGGTAGACGAATATTGTCCGTTCAGGATGGGAAGAGAAAGCATAGCTTCGATACACTTAGTATCACTTTCCGACAATGAAAAATGGAAGCTCACAGTAGCGGGTAGTTTTAAGGCCAAATTCTCTCGCCTGCAGACGCGCAGTGGCTGTGGAGGATATGAAGGTGGAATGCCATGAGCCAAGATGCCACCAAAGGACTCCATGCTTTCAGGAAGCAAAAGGTGTTTCCTGTGGAAGCCCTCTTGGCATATACCAGATACACACTTCACGCCTCATCATTCTCTGTTGAATCCGCCGCGTGCTCCTTGATGTGTTCAACGAAAACTGAGGGACAGACACAGACCGCAACTCAACGCAGAGCGGCATCATATAATTGGCCGTGGCTTCTGTGTATGGGTAGCGCCTGAATCGAAAGATACGTGAAGCAAAAGAAAACGATTTTGTGGCTTACGCTTATACTGTTCGCGGTCGAGACGCATTTGTAGTTCTTGTAGGGAGTAACCGTCAGCGAGTAACCTGGTATGAGACAGAAACATGCACAAACGTGCCTGAAGTGGGATAGGGCAGAACCGATGCTTCACTGTCTCATTGAAGCATATCCTTGTACTAAATATGAGATTTGCGAGCTATGCATGTCTTCCAGCCTAATTAAACTGATCAGCAGTCTCACCTGTACTTCTTGCCATTTGTGAATTCGATGTATATCTCAGATGGCGCATCATACCTGTACCAAATATAGGCGTCAGCAACTCCAGAGACACCTTCATAGGGGCGCACTAATAAGTACTCTCCTATGCCTCGCTTCGTACACAACATATATTGTTGAGCTGCGCCGTTGCCGAGTTGATAATGTGCAATGCAGGACTAGTGCACCACGACCCTAGTAAGGCGCTCGCACGACTTCCAGCATAGCAAGAACAAGCCCCAAATAAACCTACCCCAGAAACTCGATGGAAGACTGAAGACCGGGGAATTTTTTCTGTACATCGCCGACGCGTAACATCGAGCCAAGCTGTCGGCACCCTTCAGACGCCTGCCGGCCGGGATGCAGCCGCACGCGGATCGCCTTCACATGAGCCAACAGAGACAATGGGCGGAACAGTTCCCACTTTGGCATTTTAAATGAACTTGATGCGACCTCCCACGCGCTGCATTGCAGGCATGGGTAGGGAATCTATGGCAGTGTTGCAGCAGGCTTCACCATAGCAGGTCCTTGCATTCCCATTGACTACACGGTCAAACCGTACAGCTAGCTTGTAAATCCACTGACCATTTCTGACGCTACGTTGTGGCTGCTTGTACCGCCGGAGACTACTTGGGGCCCCTATGGGGCTGCCGCAGAGCTGCAAGGCATGCTCAGTAGGGCCTATGTGGCTGTGTGGGGAATTAAGAACTCGTAATAGAGCTGATGCTACAAAGCTCCTCAAGGATCAATCCATTCGAATACGACCCGCTGGCTGCCTGTCAGGGTCAAGCTTGGGGCTGCGGTTGGCACATATGCTGATTTGTTGCTTGTTGCAGTGAAGGAAAGTCCAACCATTGCTTGCTGGAGCCTTCAATCTACAGACGCACCATTGCATATCCGATATGTTATTTAACCGCGGGATGCCAATGATGGGCAACAGTGGAGATGGGCTCCCCAGCAATGTTTTCTCGTCTTGAGCCTATGCCCGTTAGCGTCGGCTCTGATGCTGTCTGTGCTGTCTGTTGTAAACAGATTTGTGTTACTTAGACAAAGACGCTCTAATTTCTCGACTTCGTTGTGAATTGCTTGTGAGATGGCGAGTAGCAGCAGCCTCAGGGGGATGCAGACACCACATCCACTGGATTGCAATTACGGCAATAGTTGCCGAGGTCTATTGGCAACAATGACTTCAGGCGCTCTCAGACTCTACGGGCTCTTGGATCTGAGGTCACGGTGCGGAAATTCATTGTGCATAGCAGGCATAGCTCGTCTGGTGTCCCTGGTAGCATGGGTGTCATTATTTAGCACGAACCTCGTGACAAGCGAGAGTCCCTTGAACTCAGCGATAGGCGAGGGGCATTCCTCTGGACCAGCGAATGAAGGGAGCTCACACACGTCACATATGGAAGAAAATGCGTCGTGGGATATGAATTATGTTTTTAAGCCATCTCCGGTATTCTGGAAGCCACTTGCTTCTCTGCCAGCGCCCTCCTTTCCTCCATACGACTTGGGCCACCATGCAGAGCCTCCCCACAGACTCATATTCGCCTCATGTAATAGACAGCCTGAAGGCAAGTTTGCACTATTGCTCTGATTTGTCCCGCTTGCAGACTATTAGATGGGGCGGTGCAAACTGCACAGTTACAAGTGTTTTGTACCTTGTTTCGATTTATTTGATATCCCTTTTAGGTCTGGATAAAAAGCATGATACAGAGGGGCGCCTTGTATGGAGGCACATGCTTCGCCGCAGGCCTCGGGCTTTTCTTTGGATGGGAGACAATGTATATGGTAACTTTGCTTCACACCTCGATACACTAGGGTTTGCAATACCCCGCCTTCCCCTCCATGCACACCTCCGATAAAATCTTGCAAGTGCGCTAGGTTGGAGAAATACTAGGGTCGCCGAAGGTATTTGCTGGCTTGCGATAAGCTGGACCGGACGTGTACGTCGCACTCCTTTTTCTTGTGCCCCTTTGTACAGCGGACCATATGCAGTTACCCACTGCGAACGACTCAAGGAACTTTCTATGGAAGCTTTCGGAGGGGAAGAAGCCAATCCCACCCCCTGGACTTCTTGCAGCATACAAAAGCCAACTCGAGGCCAAAGAGTACAGAGTAAGAGGCAGTGTGCACATTAGTGGGTTGGGGGCATGCAAGTATTGTTTTTTGTCACGGAGGGACAAGGAGCTCTTAGAAACTAGCCACTCAGTGTGTGGTACGCAGTATGGCCTCTTATAGCTTTACTACAGACCGGTTTCCCCCCTGCATGTGCTATATATGGTCGTTACCATTGTCTACAGGAATTCCTTAAAGAGGTACCTAGGATTGCAGGGACCTGGGATGACCATGATATGGGAGAAGATAATGCCAACAAGATGTACTTATTCAAAGACGGTACATCTGCTATCATATGAAGTTTTTGTCTACTACTGCTAATGGTTTTTGGATGGCCTCTCTCTAGCCACACTATTCTGCGGCGGGAGTGGTAATTAATGAATCCTCAAAGAGAGAAACCGACCTGAATTCTAGATATGGGCCTTTGTTTCAGAATCAAAAGAAGCGATGTTGAATTTCTTGGGTGTGGACGAAGCTGCGGCTATTCGGTCGCTGGAGTGGAGAGGCGTGTACTCTTCGCACGACACGGTTTTCGGGGAAGATCTGCGTGTAAAAGTGATCTTTCTTGACTTACGGTGGGCTTGACGCGCCCCTTTTGATAATTCAATTTTTTACAGGTGGAAGATTTTGGTGCTTTTATATCGTGCTAAGCTTTATTGGGCATGCGAGTGCTCAGGTTTGAAAAGGACAGTTGGTGGCTAATGGATCTTGGTGACATGTTAGGCGAGCAACAGTGGGACTGGTTAACCCAGGAACTGCAGTCGTCTTCAGCAGATATCAATGTGGTTGTCTCATCGCTGCAGACATTCGCAAATCACAGGTAAGAATTTTCTGGCGGACACGCCACTTTGACGACGAAATGTTTACAAGCATATCAGTGTAGCAATGATGCCAAACATGTACAGCTGTGTGTGCTACTGATCACCTTTGCTAATCGTTGCCTTGTAGTCTGATATGCCTAGAACAGCCGTGCTTAAGAACCCGATCGTGTTGCCATGTGCTTTTGTGGCTCGCGCCGTTAGGGGTGCATCTACATGAATATGCTCGAGTGGCATTCTCTATATCGCCAAAAAGATTGTTCCTAGATTGGTACAAAAATTAGCGTGAAAGGATACCTCCGTGCCCGTCTCTATGAACTTGTTCTTGTGATCTTCAGAGTCGTTACCGAGGCATGGAGTCATTTTCCGTGGGCTCGTGAGAGGCTTTTTGCGCTGCTTGCTGGGTCAGGCGCAAAAACACCGATTATTCTTTCAGGGGATTCGCATTACGCTGAATTCGGGGGTACGCTTCACAGTATGGCCATGAACACTAGCCTTATGCGTGCAATGTCTGACGGTATCGTTGGAGATGTGTATTTCTAGCCATCTGGACAGGGAGAGTTGTTGCAACTTACTGAGTTGCTCTGTAGGGCATGTTCACTTTTGCAGCGGTGCACTGCCAGCGTTTGCGCGACGCTTGGTGCCTGAATGAGCCAGAAGCCAGAAGCTATTACAACATTTTGCACAATCGTACCACTGGTCAGCTGACTCCTCATCAGCAACTCCGACGGCTAGCAGACTCAGATGATGACGAAATGAGCCTTGGCCAAGACCACGATCAGACTGCAATTAGTTGCCATCCCTCTGATCAATGCTGCAGCCTACCGCCGACGCAGTCCTTTCTTTTCTGGTGGGTGCCTCGTCACCTACCATTCTTCCTGATGGCCCTGTTCCGTGCTGCAACGAACTCAGATGCGTTTGCTCCTAGGCAAGGCTGGAGGCGCTCACGGGCTCCCGCTTTTTCGGGTGCCTTTCCGGCACCACCATTTGTGCCCGATCAGCCCCACCAGAAGGAGCTGTCTGGAGAAGATCCGTCGAGCACTTACCTTTTCGACATGACGAGTAGCGGCTTGGGGAACGGAGTACCGGAGTCTATGTGCCTGGCGGCTTCAGCAGTGGTGGACCTTGTTGCCTACTTCCTGAGTGAGGGGCTTCCTTTTGCATCGCCTTTGAATGCGGACATTACAGGTATTGATAGCACTCTGGTCCCTTAACATTTAACAGGACTTCTTATAAGCAGATTTCCGTATAGTTGGATTATTCGATAGAGCTTGGCCATGCTGTTGGACACACGACTGCTGATGTTTCAGGACCTCGTCTACTGTACACCGAGCGCAACTTTGGAGAGCTACAGTTCATCGAAAACCCTTTGCAGCTCGTTTTATTCCCTCCCAATGACGATGGCACCCCTGCTGCGGTACAGCAGCAGGAGCTGATGCAACGAAAATGCAGGGATAATTCAACATGTTCAATCCAGCTTCTTCGTGTGAGAGAGAAGCAGGAAGCGCTTTTGGAGATGGCCCGAAATATGCAGAAGGGAAGGTCGTTGGAGAGAGACCGCACGCTGACGAAGAAGCAAGCCGCTGAGTTCCGAAGTCGACTGCGCGCCTACAAGCGGCAGCGACAGCTTCTCATCGACCAATTGCGGGACGAACCCGTGCATCAGCTTCCTGTGTTGGAACGTCTTGTGGCTCAGTCCAAGAGGTTTTCTGTCTACGTGGAGGCAATGATGGGTAGTTACGACGTCTTTTTCATGCGATTGCTTAAGCTTCACTCGGCAATGCTTTTGGCCCACATGTGTGAAGATGAGGGCAGTGGCCAAGGAAGCCCAACTCAGAAGCCAGATGGTCGCCAGCTATTCGAAACTTGTAGTCTGTTGGCTCATTGGGCTGCCACTCCACTTGAACCACGTCCGCAGTCTGTAATTGATAAAGGTCTTAGGTGGCTATGGGACCTGTTTTTCGGCTTGACGGCACGCCGAATAACCTTCTTTGATTCTCTTCCACTAGGAGACGCTGCGACGTTGCGTCTCAGTGCTGCAACCGATCAGTTGACTCGATCATCTGCTGCAGCGCGCGCCGCGGGCCTTGCACGTGCAGCAATCGCGAAGCGGAGTTTTACCGGTAGGCTGGGTTGTAAACGCTTACTTGGACGGCGAAGCCTCTGCAGGGTAACGCAGCGGCCCCACGAAGAGCGGCTAATTTTACGTGGCGTTTTCGCGGCAGTAAGCGATGGCTTGTTACGACAAGCTTGCATGCAGCTACAGAGTCCGCGACGTCAGCAGCAACGTGAAGAGTTGAATCAACTTTTTGAAAGAGGTGTAGCTAGCCAGCCTGCAGACCCGTTTGCCTTCGGAAAGCTAGACCCAAACCTTCATCAGATATGCTCCTTGGTAGACGTTCCCTCGTCTCGACGTCCATTCAATGAGCCAACAACGTATCCTGTCTTGTCAGAGGCAGCTATCACACTTGAAAGCCGGGCAGCTCGCGCCGTTGGAGGCAGTTGGGTACTCGTTGAGTTACTAGAGACGAAATCATGGGTGCTAACCCGGACTTTTGAAGTGGTTACTGGGCGTCTCGTAATGGAAAAGCTTCTTTCGACGTTCGCTTCTGAACAACGCGCGCAGCGACCTGGTATCGGCCAGTGGGCCTGTCAAGGCTGGAAGGGCCCCACAGAAAGCCGAATGTATTTGTACCATATGTACATCCTTCTTGCCGTGTTGCTTGCTCTCGGAAGTATAGTGTCGTGCCTCTTATTCATCGTTCTATCCTTTTTGAAGCGCACTGCAGACGCGTCATCAGGCCTGAGATATTTGTTCTTTCACGGAAGCACAACTTCCAATGAAATTCGCAAGGGTAGCTTAAAAAGCTGTCCCTCGATTATTCAGCGACACCGGCTTCCAATGCCAAAGACTGCGGTAGCCATTGGTGCCATTGTGGCACTAGGAGCGGCTGCAGTGGCGTTTTTTCATAAATAAAGTTTTGCCTTGCTCCATCCTTATTGGAATAGAGTTCATCTTTCACCTCGAACTCTGCCGTCTCGCACATTGCGCATTTACTAACATATCGTTATGCACTTCCAAACTACTTAAAGTCCGAATCATTTCTTGAGATCTACCTTTCCGCAAGTGATGCGCTACTATACAGGCGAGATGAGCTTGCAGACACAAGTAGCTGGGGCAACTTCGATTGGTCAGGGACTGCTACTGGAAACGCGCTTCTGTACTGGTTCTGCACTCTGGCTTGGACTGTCACCGACAATGGCGTGTGATGCCAGAGGCGTTGGGAGCAGCCATCTGCATCGCTGTGGAAAAGCGCAGGGATGCCGAGTGCCTCGTGCCTATCCAAAGCAACACTGCCAACCATCCCAGATATGCGTTTTAGTGAGCGGAACAGCCCTTTCGCAGTCAATAACGCGGATATAAAAGGCTGAGCTGGCTGAAACACCTGCTCACTCTGTGTTTGGCTATCCAGCTGTACGGAACGCAACCCAGCAGTGAATGTTAGCGAATATCCGTATCGGCGGTTGTTGGCACGTGACCTGAGCTTAAAGTGCAACACACACTGGGATTCTGCAAGCACAACATGTTGAAGAAGTACCTATTCTAGTTGCTGCCATGTTAATGCTAATTTCCTCGGTCTGCACGATAGCAGCGTAGAGAAAAATGCATTCCCAGCCTCATCTCCGCAACATGCCCACGTATTTTTTACCTGTTGCGTAGCCCAAAAAACGTGTATTTCTCGAAGGGACGGCTCAGCAAGGAGCAAAAAGGAACGGACAATGCTCAAAAGTGCCGATAGCCAAAAGTTGAGAGGCCACCGGTGGTCTTGTAAGACATTTTCTAGTTCGATGATTTGCTGACCCACAAGCGGGCACGCTTCCCGCTTCTTCGTAGCTAAACGAGACTTCGGGATATAAGGGAGTCAGCAAAATTAGTTATTTATACTTAGTAGAGCCGAGTGCCGGAAGCACCAGTGCCGTGCAGATTTATGGCATCTATGGCTCTCTCCAATTCATGCAATGCTGAAAATACTTTGGGAGTTCCTGCGAACGACAGTACACGGCGTTCAATCGGATTCAATCCCTTTAATCCGTCAGGAGCAGTACCACTGGCAAGTTGCCGTAGGCAGGCTCCGAACGCCGCAGCGTGATCCTGCATGCGGCCAAGCTCGGCAAGCGCCTTCGAGGCGAATTCACTATGCCCTTGCGCTTTCGTGGAGTCTTGGCCCTCCGTATCACTGGCCTGGCCTGCCAACGTATTACCCAGTACTTCAAAAAAGCCGGCTTCATGAAGTTTCTGATTGCTGATGCACGTAGTCGGTTGCAGGGATACAGGGAGGCCCTGAGTGCGCAGCACAATATTTGTAAAACCACGAAAGGAGCATGAAGGTACCATTACTTCTTAATATTCCTCGTAGGACAAGTACTTGACCCATAGGAAATAAAAGTGGCTTAGTTAAGCCTCGAGCTACTAAAGCACACCTTTTCCTGATCAGTTGCAGGCACAGTGGGTCCTGGACTAAATGGTCCTTGTACAATCCGTTGTTCAAAGCCCGCCAACTGGATACGAAGCTGAAGCGACAGGCATCAGCATCCCCCCCAAAACATGCAGAATACTGCTTTTAACAAGTCGTGAAGTTAGAAAAAATCTATCCCCGCTTGATACTGACACTGATGTCCCCTTGACAGTTCTACTGATAACTTACTTCTGAGAGGGACTGCGATACAAGATGCCAATTTCTTTCAGCAAGAGTAACCATCCTATCGACTTCCCATAACTTCTTCTGCTGTTCTGCAAGCTGCTTTGCGTCGGCTGATTCGTTAGCCTCTAGCTTTTCTAATCTCAAGTGTACCCCTTTCAGAGGGCGTGCCACGGCGGACTCAATGTCTGTAGCAACGTCGTTCTGCAAGGCAAATAGACCACCTAGCATCCAAAGTGTACACCAATCAGATACTTCCACGCTGATAATACGCAAAAACAACCATGAATAAGTGAAGTATCAATTTTAAAAACAAAAAAGATTAGCTTTTGATGGGTTCGTTAAGATTGTTTGGTGGAATCACTGAATAAATCTGGCAACACAAGCTGCTGCTGCACTCTTCTCGTACCTTTAACTCAATAAATTTATCACGCAGCTCCTGGATATAAAGCTTATTGTTATTCTGCATTTCAGACGTGGCTGCTGCAACAGTGTGGATGTCTGCGCTCATGCTCTCTACAGCGCGCTCTAGTGATTCAAGGCGCCTGTCGACACTCTCCTTCCATGCACCCGTGCAGGGACAACCGTGTGCAGCTGCACTTTCCAGTTCTTGCTCGCCGTCTGCGTTTACCCTGTGCAACTCCCCTGCATGGTACCCACCTTCTGGAGGGTAAGACGCAAACAAAGATTCTGCCTTGATACCTCCTCTGTACGTGCAAAGCCACAAAAAGACAAGGTTGGATTTGGGGCCCGTCAGTTTCGCAGCTTTAGAAAAATTTTCTGCCCTACACTATCAGGCTTACATCCTTAGCATTGCATTCTGTAGTCTGGTCCATATTAAGAGTAAAACTTGTATCAAGACAGCTGGGATACAATGCTTTAGGAGATGCAGCTAACTTACCGTTCACGGGCCCACTGATAATTAGTTCTTGACTTCCAGCGTAGATTACGTGCCCTCTCCTGCTCGCCCTCCGGAGCTGTACTGGTACCCTGCCGTGGTCCTCCATTCCTGCCTCTTGTGGGACTCCCGGATGGTTCATCGCATGGTACCTTGCGTGTCAAGTCCAGTTGTGTATCCTGTGAAGACTTCCGATATCTTACACCGCCGCGCTTTAACGTGGATTCCTCGCCCCTGCTTCCCTTACCAAAGCTATCCTCCCCCATAGGTTCTTCGCCAACGTTTACGTACTTCATTGGCAAGTCACCCTTTCGGTCTCCTTTGTCACCAAGACCACCTGCCAAATCAGCGAAGCCGTCTTCACTTGATGCTCTCCTTCTAGCGCGCATTTTCCTTGAGGCGGCATCTTTACCTACCACAGCCATTGACAGCTTGCGCCGCTCTCCATCTGCTTTGGTAATCCTGCCGTCAATTCTTTGTGCTCTAGCACCCAATGCTTCTCCTCTCTCCTTGAGCGGCAGCCAGCGTTGGCCTTCCCCTTCCGCTTCGCTGTCACAAAAGACGCATGCAATAAACAACACACACCAAAGTCGTGACTTTTGAAATTGTACAATACAGCTAAATGCAGCAGTGCCGTGAAGACTAAATACCCCGTAAGCGATCTGATTGCCGCCAAGCAGTTGCTTTTCGACGAAATTGTGTCACTCAGTATGGTTCTAGAAAATACACTCTCACCTAGGCACACCGGAACCTCCTGCCCAGCTCTTAACATCAGAAGCCCGCAGTTCTTTTGCCCCTGCAGCTTCCGCCTTTCGCATATAACAAGCCGAAAGCATACGATAGAAATGCAAAATACTGCTATATCGAGTATTCGGTCCGCATAAACCCTGATACCTGCATTCTACTAAAGAGAACGTGATAACTGGGTCTGCAAACTAAGAGATAATATGTTTTTCGAAGGAAGGCGTTAAGACAAACTTCATAACTTACTATTGCAGATTCTTCCGTATCTGTCAATTCGAACTCCACACGTACGCCTTGACGGCCGGCATTGAGCAAGGCTCCAAGTTCCATCCCGCAGCGTCCCTCATTCAACCCCGCAGCGTGCCTCACGACGTATTCCTGCGGTTCGCACGTAGGTAGAAAACACGTCGTGAATACACTTATTGAAGAGAAGGCTGCAAGCCTCTCCATATTCGATAAGACATCGCTTGCAGGTGGGCATCCGTGTCACCGAAGTGGATCGGACACCATACCTGTGCTGGCTCGATGAGGCCCTGAGGTGTAAAGGCTGAGACCGGCTTCAGCACGGGCTTGAAGTACCAGTAACCGCCGTGATGGGAAAGTAAGCACAGCATCATACTACACTCCTCTCCGTGCATGTTCCTTGCTTTCAGTGGGAGCACTCCGAGGCACACCCACTCATAGAAATCAGAGGAACTTGGGGGAATTTGCCCACAGGGAATATGTGGGGACTCCATGCCCTCGCCGACATCCATACGAGGAACTAAGGCACTGAGCTGCAGCACAGGCCATGAAACCGTAGTGTTCAGTACTTTCTATAGTAACAACAACCGCGCAAAGCAATCTTCCAAGATACGATATACTATATATCACACACAAGGGGACTTTAAGATAGCTCATATGTGGCCAAATATCTCTCCTGCTACCTAATTGGTGTTTGCAGCTCTCAGAGCTGCTGTTCAGGTCTACTAACAACTGCTGATGAGCAGAAAGAGCATCACTATTGTGCGAGCAAATGTTCACTTACCTGCACAGTGCTTTCTCCTAGTTGAGCAACAGTACCACCAGAGTATATTGCCAGGGTGCAGACGATAAAACTGCACCTTTTGGGGACGTAGCGTAAATCCACAAGGAGCTCTTGTTCCTGCTGAAGAATTCTGACGCTTTTGCCCGCCAATTGCGGGTTTTTATAAAACACACAGTCGACGTAGGTTCCGTCCACCTCGAACAGGAAGGCATGGATGTCTGGCAAACAACAGGTGCATCAGAGTCCGTACAGGTTTAAATTAAAGCTGCATGCTCTGGCTGCTGATTCCAACAGATGAAATAACTGTGGAGAACATGTCATGTTTCGTTATATTCAGAGTATATGAATTAATCTATACGCCGCTTCATGCCCAATCTGAAAGCACAAAGGTTGACTAACCAATATCAAAACCCTTGCTAGGCTCAGGCAGATGCAACTGCACGCTGATAAACCGCAGTGGCGTGTCTTCATCCTCTTCTGCTTGCTCGGGGGGTTGTAAGGAGCTAAGGCTCAGGCCGTAGACGAAATCCGCGGCATCACCGCCCGTCCGCACCATGATTGTGAAAAATTCTCAATCCTGAACGGTTCTCGCGAGATAATTAGAGATTTTCACCTTGTCAAGAATAAGGGTCAGTGCTGAGAGCTGCCAGGGTTGTCGGACAGGAGTCGAACACTCCGCAGGGGGACTTGTATTTGTTGCGTTGAAGCTGACGATCAGATACGTTGGCGACAGCTCACCAAAGAGCCGGGCTTAATTTGTCTGGATGATTCAAGCGTATGGTCTGATAAGGAGTGTAACCAGATGAGGTACGTTTATGTGATGCTGATGCCAACCCGACATGTCCTGCATGTACTTCTCATATTACCGCCACCCTAGTAGCACAAGACAGAAGCCATTAAGGGTCTCTGTAGCAAAATGACACGAGAGTAGCACGTCTGTCGAATTATTTTTCCACTAAAACAAAAAGTAGCCAAAAGTAGCCAGTAAGGCTATGGAGCCTCAGTGCGGGAAGCACGCGGGTTAGTGCACTACTACCGCTACTGTGGTTTCAAAAAGAGCCACATTTCCTTCATGGTGTACTTGGAAAAACCATACAACGCTGCTTTGCCCTGAAATTTAACCTAGTGAGTTTTTGAATGTGGCTGAGCCGGTTGTTTTTGTGCATCCTGTACTCCCTGAGGACCATTGTAGCCGCCAGTGGGACGTCTCCTGGGTCCGTCCTACCTGAGAAATGACAGCCAACTTTAGCTCCAAAAATACTTTAAAATCTCAAATACTACAAAAGTAAGATTAGTTTTTTTGTCAAAATCTGAATCCAATTCTTACCAGGGCAGACTCGAGATGGAGACCATTATTCTACAGACGAAACTATGAAGGCATTGAACGGCTTAGATCGGAGTATCTCAGACCCAGTCAGCACGTAGATGCAATAGCGAACGAGTTATGAGCTGAACGGCCTCTTTTAATAGCATAAAAATAAGGGTTTTAGGCCATGGATTATCTGCAACCATCGCCCGTGTTTTCAACTGGACTTTGAAGTGTAATGTTCACCCGCTGCACCACCAATGCTGTATGCTTAGAACGGCGTGATGCGTCATGCAGAGAATTGCCTGGATGAACGTGCTAGCGCCTTACTGGCCTCATGCTGCAATGAAGCGGAAATAAAGATGCAGCAAAATGGGAAGCGTTAAGTGCATCTTTTGCAATCTAGCGAACATTGAGTTTGTCGGCTGTATTTAACGATACTAAGTATTCTGTAGTAACATTGTGGGCACCCTTGACTGGGAACATAGGGTTGCAGGCTAACAGTCACATTTCCTATTTGCTGGCTTCATACATCTGCATGGATGGTGCTTTTACTTAGAACAACACAGCCCTACAGAAAAATTATTGAGTGTGTAGCAAATTAGCTCCCCTTTCGCATGCCTGGTCCCAGAGCTCCCTAAAAAGGGGAGAGGGACACTTTAGGTACGCGTAGCAGCACCCTCTAAGCACTTTGACTTTTCACAGCCAGTTGCACACAGCGTCTATCGCGCATACACACACTGCGCCGTCTAGCGCGAAACACGCAGTACTCTGCAATCTGATAAACTACACGAACAGACAAACCAAGTGAAGACTTCTTTACTATTTCTTAGTGAAATATAACTAGCATAGTAGAAAGTGTTTGATTGTACCTTGGATCGCTACATATGCTGGCCAACATAGCGGTAAAGGTGAATATGCCTCACCACGCTAGCTAATTAATAGGTATAGCGGCACTCATGATCTCTTCATGATAGAGTGACTTCATGAAGATCGTGAGAGAAGAAGTAGCCTGTCAATCACTTTAGGAAGAGGATGCATTTCTCATGACAGCGGCTTCCTTTCTGGGCAAGACCTCGACAGCACGTTGCCAAGAAAACAAGAAAACTTATCTTCCGGCAGCTTGGGATGCATTTCAACGTTGACTTAGGACTTAAATTCAACATTGTATCCAATGACACATAGAATACCTCCCAATTTCTAAAAATTAAAGTATCCTGCCATATACGTAGCCAGCTAATCAATGCTTTAGTGGGCCTGAAAATCCTATGTGGTAATACGGTTTATTTTCTGTAGGCAGTTGGTTCTCCACCATCTTACTGTGATCACAGGGGCCCTGCTTGCATCTTCGTTGTGTGCCAAATTCCTCGAGGACCTGTCTATGTCACTACGAGGCCAGAAAAGCATTCCACCTAGGGTCCCCATGCTGATGTGCTTGAAAGTCACTCACTTACAAATACACTTTCTGAAAGTTCTTGCACATGAGCATACCTGTACCAGCATCAACAGTTACAAAGACTTAAAGACTGCTATTGCTCGATAAACATGAACGTGTGTTTCCACGCAATTTACGATAAAACTTTTCTTCAGGAACTTACACGCCATGCGAGTCATCTCACACTAAAAGCGCCGTTGGCCACTTCGGTGGACTGAAACTGTGTGTTTTCCTATTCTTGTAGTAAAGGCATTGAGTAAATTATTTGGAATTCAGTATGCGGGGGAAGACATGTAGGTCTACGTCGATTTGCTTGAGCTTAGCTATCCTCAATAGCCACCGCTACGACGCTTGCTACGCCGCTTCAACACTCAAGGAATCCCCGATCCGTACCATATGCTAGTACAATTTTTTCCTTATGCAACTTCCCCAAAACACAAGGTAAATTTCTTGCATGGACTTATCTTCCTCGTAAATAAGACTTGGGGAGCAAGCAGCTCTGTGTCATTCACTCACTACCCAATGACTAACTCCAGAGACAATCAAGTAGAATTTGAAAGTCACAACTAAAACGGCAATGCATCTGTGCTAAACAAGGCCCAGAGGGGACTTCAGTAGCTTTAGAAAACCACAATCCAAAAGGTAATATATATTTGCTTTACAAATTCCATAAGACACTCCAGTAGCTTTATAAAAGCCACATTTGCAAAAGCAATGCACCTGGAGTAGCAATTATGCTCAAAGATATAAAGTGCTTGGTGTCTAGGTTCCGTACGAGATGTTCGTGCTTCTGAAAACTTGAAGTATCTAGGTTTTCTCAGTAGCATCAAGCTCTCTAGTGGCGTCAATAAAGGTTCCTCAACACAAAAACCCTGTGCAAAGCGTAAATGAAATCGCTTCTTCCACCATCAGTTTCCGGCGCTTAGCGATAAAGCATTCAGTCAGGTGACACGCGGTGCAGCGATCAGTACAGTTCTGCAAACAAACCGGTTCAACGTTCATTGGTAAGGAGCTTACGGTATCCACTAAGGTTAGATCTACCCGATAGCTCCGCCTTTAAAGCGTGCTTTAGACCTGCCTCGCATCGTGTACCCACACACTATGGTGAGGAACAACCTTCTGCTCCCTCGTCGTTCATCTAGTGAAAGGAAGATGCGCGACTCAACAGTACGGTGGCATCAGTCAAGCAAAACAACTCGCCATACTGCAATCTAACAGGTAGATTGAGAGTAAGAATGTTAAGTGCCAAGACTCTTTCTTACTGTCTAAATTTCTTCCCCTTTTGGAGGATCGAGGAGGTCGCAGTGGTAAAAATTCTATGCTTTCATCCGAGCAGCTAGATATAATGCGCTAAAATTCTGTGTGGGCCTTCGAGAGGATATCTTAGCTACACTTTCAAGATCTTTCATGCCTTTTGTTTGAGGTGAGTAAATGTTTTCGCAACAAGCCGAGTGGTTGGTTTCCCATTTCACTGGGCGGTTATCTCCTGACTACCGACGGAAGGGCAAGTAACGAAAGTATCCCTCTTGCAGAAAAAAAGCTTTGAGTTAAAGATACAATTATGAACTCACTTTGCAAATTAGATTTCATGGAAACGTTGCGATCTATATGCGTCGGGAGGCATTCAGCTCAATGTTGGAGGACCCCAAAATTCAAGATCTATCGAGTTTCGAGTGAAGAAAGCCTGGGACTTGACTTATTAAGAATGGAGGCGCATCTTCATCATTTAATCGGCTATATATTTTGGTCATACTCAATTAGGTCTATCAAACCATCCTTGCGTTTGTTTGCTCTCAAAGCGCTCGATAGGACGAGCGCGCTTGAAGCCGTGCTCCTTCGCTTAACCTCCACCTGCACGTGCATTAAACAAAGCTTCAGTGTTGAAATAATGTTCAACCCATAAACTTATACTATATTATATGCCCATTTCAGGTAGAAAACTTGGGTAGCTCAGGTATTTTCACAATGTCACTTTTCACCCTATATGCTGCGGTGAGCGCAGCCACCTTCGCTCTAACGCAAGCTGTAGAGCCAAATACTGCAAGATCATATGCTTATGCCCCTTATGGAGTAACATCTTACTATGACTCCATACCAGAGCAATGGGGTCCCACTGATTTTGATGCCAATGCCTTTCTGGAGAAGTTATTCCAGGAATACATGACCGTGAATGACCAATCAGTGATAGGATATTCAAATTACCCGTCGACCACAACACCCCCGCCCTCAATTGGAAATCCTGAGCACCCGAACAAGCCTGGAAACCCAGGACACCCTGGAAACCCAGACAAGCCTGGAAACCCAGGACACCCTGGAAACCCAGACAAGCCTGAAAACCCAGGACACCCTGGAAACCCAGACAAGCCTGAAAATCCGGAAAAGCCTGAAAAGCCAGACAAGCCTGAAAAGCCAGACAAGCCTGAAAAGCCAGACAAGCCTGAAAAACCAGACAAGCCTGAAAAGCCAGACAAGCCTGAAAACCCAGACAAGCCTGAAAACCCAGACAAGCCTGAAAACCCAGACAAGCCTGAAAAACCAGACAAGCCTGAAAACCCAGACAAGCCTGAAAAACCAGACAAGCCTGAAAAGCCAGACAAGCCTGAAAACCCAGACAAGCCTGAAAACCCAGACAAGCCTGAAAACCCAGACAAGCCTGAAAAACCAGACAAGCCACACAACGCAGACAAACCCAAAACCCAGCACACGCACGCCAAGC